GGTTTAGTTTTTTGTAATAATGATATTTTATGATTTTTAATAAATTCTACGTCTAAGAAAGAAGTTGAGGCTCTTGAATCTATCAAGATGGAGGCTTTAAAATTATTAGGTCCTAAATGCACATCTATTATAAAATAAGGATAGGGTTCTGAGGAGAAGATAGGACTTTCATTAAAAATTGTACAAGATTATAGTTGCACAGTCCCTATTATAGCTAGAAAAATTTGTTTTCCAACACATTGTCTTTTTTGACAATTGTGCTCCTTATTTTGTGGTTTTTTACTTTTTTGGACAATGTTGAGCAGTGTATTTAGATTCTCCATAATATAAGCACAATCCTTCTTAATAGCAATAAATCTTTTCTTGCTCAATAAGAGATTTAAAACATACTGTATCAATTTACATAACATCTATTTTTGAATGTATGTATTGATGAGATCTTGATATTGCCATCAAATTGTAGTAATGTTGAGATGTACTTATGTAATTCTCAGATTGAAATTCAAAAAGCCAATTATTGTACTTCATACCAAAGTCAATTTTTTGACTCAATGTTTGAGGATCAAGTAAGTTGAGCATCAATTTCTTTACTTCATATTATAATCCATAGGAAAATTGGCTAATAAGTGCAATATCATCTTACTTGATATTAGTTGTAAGTTGTCAAAACTATGAAGCATATAATATTATTAATCGATTGCCTTGTCACAAAATACAAATCTTTTTGGTTGTAACACAAGTTGCATCATGTTTTTTATACATGGATCAAAAAAATTCCAAAAATATCTCTAGATTATCTAATATTGGATCTTGTTCTTCAAGAAAAGATGAAAACTACGATAGTGTTGAATTTGAAAGAAGTGTACCAATAAATCTAACTTGTGATCATAGAATTGGATAGCTTTGAGGTTGAAGTTCAATCACAAGTTATACTTGGTTGATAAAACTTCAAAATTTGGATTTTATACCATCAAATTTCTCAAGCCAGACAACTCTTGGTTCTTTAATACTTGAAGGATATTCCATTGTGGATAGAAGGACATGATTTGGTGCAGATGTTGACATAGCTCTAATCATCTCTATATCCTCACTTTCTGCCATTCTTATTGATCCTTGTGGTAGTAAGCTAAGTTGATGCATCGCAAGCATCAACTCCCTCAATTGCTCTTACATTTGTGCCATTGTACTCTTCATTTTAACAAGCTTTGCCATAATAATACTCAGAAAAATATCTAATACCACTCAAGACAAGTAGAAGAAAGGACTTGAGCACAAAGAAGATACTAAAAACAATATCAGTTTAGAAGAGGATAATCAACAACTTCTAATATGCTTATGTCTTATCATCAAAAGAGGATAATCTACTCTTAATCAAGATAAGACAAAGCTCTGATATTATAAGTGGACTCTTGTCAATTTGTCAAGGACATGAATTAAAAGATGATACATAAACCAATAAAATCCATGCCAAAGAAAAAGTGATAAAATAAAAATAAAGAAGTACATATATTAAAAAAAAAAACTAGACTTACTTATTGCCAAAAGACAAGAAAACTTGAGACTCTTGAAACTAGACTAGAAGTAAGAAAGAAATTGACAAGAGTGAAGAGGGCTTCACTCTTGCTTCTATATATACTATCTAATTAATAGCTACATGGCGATGTTCTATAGGTCCTCTAATATGTGTTGACTTTACACAACACATGTTTTAGCTTACAAGGCAAGTTTTTTATATGTGGGCCACATAGTTAGCTTGTTCTTCAAGCTATCAACATATGTGGCACATAGCCAACTTGTTGATCACGTTTCTAATTTAAAAAGTCAATTAAAGACACCTATAAAATCAAAGCAGTGTCTATCCAGCTTGTAGGAAGTTTCTATAAAAGATATTATGGAATTGACCTACTTTTACTTACTATTATCTAAATCATATAAATAATTATTGGTTTACATGTATATGTTTGTGACAGGATCAATAGAAGATAAAATATTTTCTATATAAAAAAACCAAACCTAAAGATTAGAGACTTTATTACTGAGAAAAGTACTTATTTTTATAAAATAGATGTATAAAATAAAATTTTGTCTTGATAATATTTTACAAAAGAAAAAGACTCAATTTATTATCCAAGGTCTCAAGAAAAAAGAAGGTTTCAACTATGAAGACACTTTTGTACTAATAGTAAAGTAAAAGATAATAAAGTTGCTTCTTGTTTTTGTATCTCTATGCTAATAGAAATTATATCATATGGATGTATAAATTTTGTTTTTTTATAGCAATCTAAATGAAGAAATCTTCATCATACAATTCAAAATATTTTACTAAATAGTGAGCACTTGATCTATCATTTACAAAAAATAATATATGACTTATGTTAAGTTTCCAAAGCTTGATACAAGAAAATTAATTCATTTCTTTGCAAACAAGGTTTTATAAAGGTTGAGAGAGACAACAATTTATATGTTGTATATAATAATGACAAGATCCTACTTTTAGCCCTATATGTAAATGACTTATAATTTATGAGAAATTATTCCAAATAGATAGTTTGGTTCAAGTAGTAATAAGAGTATTGCTTTGACATATCAAAGCTAAGTAAAAGAGACATGATGCTATTTTTGAAGGCTAAATGCATACTAGTACCAAGATAGATCTTTCTTATACAAAAGGCATATGTAATTTAGACTCTCAAAATTCTTAAATTAACCAACTATTTGTTGGCATCTATATCAATTGTAGCAAGATTGAAGTTGAGACTTGATATGAATACATTGTACATCGATTCAATTTTCTATGGCAAGATGGTAGGTAAAAATATTTATCTAATCCACATTAAGATTGATATGTCTTATATTGTCAAAAATTTTGTAAATATATGCAATGTATAGAAATTCTTTGCTTCCAAATAGCTAAGAAAATTCTTTGCTATGTAATTAAAACAAAGGAATTCAAAAAATTTTATCCCAAAATAAATTATTTACAAATTTTGGACTATACTAACACTAATTGGGTGGAAAATTTGGAGTATGGAAAATTTACAATAAGATTTAAGTTTTGTCTTGGAATTGCTCTATTTATATGACTAATTAAAAAAATAATCCATTGTAGCTCTCTTTTCTTTGGAGGTAGAATATATGGATTTATCCACTCCTACTTGTGAATCAACTTGGTTAGAGAAACTATTGCAAGACCTAAGACTAAAGATTACAAAGCTAGTACTAATTAGATGTGATAATGAAGCCAATATGAGAATGGCAACCAATCTTGATATTAATCTTTAAACAAAATAAATGTCTATAAATTTTTACTTTAATAGAGACAAGATTGAGAAAAAAGATATTTTCTTAGATTACATGCAATCAATTGATTATATTGTAGACATTTTTACCAAGCTTTTAGACAGAGTCTTATATGAAAAAAATTATATTTTACTTAACATGTATAACTTCAAGAATGTTGCAGAGATGAAACAACTAAAGTCAATATGCTAATTCAAGTATCACCTCTAAACCTACATCTAAATTTTTTTGGCTACAATCAAATAAATACTCATCTATCTACTTATCAAAATTCCAGTTTACTGGGTCTTTATTCCTATCATAAGCTATTGTTGTGCTAATATAGCTCTCTTCATAATAGGCATGAAATTCCTTGTTTCCAATCTTCATAATTGAGTATCCAATCTTACTAGGCTTTGCATATTGACTTAAGAAATGATATTCTTTTGATCTTCATTTAGATGCTTGCATTTGCAAGTATCTTATACAAAATCTAAGCTTGTATTATCTCTTCTAGTATTCCTTCAAGAAACATGTTCATTATTCTTGGTTCTTTTATTTCTTCTAACTCTAGAGGCTCATTTTTTGTAGCATCTTTGTACTTATCATCATTTGAGTCTTCTTGTACAAACAACAATGATAGTATATTGGGCCCATCTATATCTTTAAATACATGTTGATAATTATTAGGAGTCTCACATTGTGTCTCTCCTTAATCTAATCAAAACTTCTTATTATAGCTCGTATAATATGGCATCATGTCTGCTCCTCTACTATTTTATCTATGATTCCCTCTCATTAAGTCAAGTGATTATTATGTACTTCCATGCTGAAGGCCAGCTTTCTCCTTTTTTATTTCTCTTAGAAAATAGGATCATTTGGTCCTACTAGCTATTTTGTAGCAAGGGAGGGAGTTGGAATAGTTATTATTTTTAGCTAATAAATATTACTTTATTATTAGTTGTTAGTTATTTATTGTAAGTTAGTTTTTCAAGTTTATTTCTTGGCACCCTTTGAAGCTTGTGTACTTATACTAGTTCACATCCCTTAAACAATATTGAATATAATTTTATTAGTTTTACTTCATTTCTCTACAAATGTACATTAAAACTTACCACGTGAAGAAACCAAGGGAGAGAAATCTAAGACTCTTTACAATGGATTAATCAATGGAAAGACTAGATTAGACTCCAAAATTTGATACCACATATTGAAGCATACTAAAACATTAGAAATATGAATTTTGTTCAATAAAATTTAATGGTGATACAAAGTATGCAGTTTCTGATCCTAGTTTTTAAAGCCTATTTATAGTCCAGAATGGTGTGTCTGTGAATATTGGTGCTCAAAAAAATAGTATGACCTTGTGCTAGCTCACGATGCTACCATGAAGAAGGCGCTTGTTAAAAGCCACTCTAAATCTTTTTTACCTTTCATATGATATAATCGAATATTGATTCTGCTACAGAAAAGGAAAGAAAAGGAAACCTCGTCTAGAAAAAGAAAAGGAGAAAGAATAAACCAACCAACAAAGGAACAGAAAATATTACAAAAAAAAAAAAAAAAAAAAAAAAAGAACAAAGAAGGAAACAATCCACCTAGAAAGGAAAAAGAAAAGAAAAGAAAAAAACAAACAACAACAACAACAACAACAACAACGCACGGACGAAGGCAAAGAAGGGAGAGAGAGAGAGCGAAAAGAGGAAGAACGAGCTCCTCCCCTGCCTAATCAGGAACAAGCAAAAAGAGCTGGCTGTGGCACACAATTAATTGCAGAGGAAAAGCAGAGCGGAGGAAGACGAGGTAGACGAGGTAGACGAGGAAGAGTGGTGAAGAAGTAGAAGAAGAAGAAGAAGCAGTAGAAGGCGGACGAGGACGACGAGGAGCCGAGATCGATTGATTGATTGATTGTTTGATTGGTGAGGATTCAGCAGCAGCAACAACAGCAGCGATGATCCATCGCCGCCACGCTGTTGGGACTGAGATCCCCCGCTCTCCCCGACTCTCTGCTTCTGCTGCTGATTTGGGTTTTGTCCGCAGAGCTTGCAGCACCAGCGGGGTCTCACTCGCTTAATCCCTGCTACATTCCATTCCAGAGCCTGGAGCGTTGATCGAGAGGTGGGACTAGGGGGAGAGATTGCGGTGAAGCAGGCGGTGTGAGCAGGGGGGGGGGATGGGAAACGCAAGTGTGCGAGAAGGAGGCGGAGGTAGTGTAGGCGTAGCAGGAGCAGAAGGAGGGGGAGGGGTTGGTCAGCATCACCATCCGCATCAGCAGCCTCCCGTGGGGTTTCATGCTGCAGTATCGGGTGGGCAGCAACAGCAGCAGCAGCGAGGAGGCCCCTCGGGACATGGGATTCGTGCGCATTCGCAAGCGCAGCCGATGCGTGATCAGCCGAGGTTTGGGCATGCGCCGTCCACTGAGAGTATGAATCAAAGCCCGTCTGGGAGCCCTGGCAGCGTCGCGCGATCGCCTCTCACGTTCAATCCTCAGGTCAGGAAATATTCTTCTCTCGCTCTCTCGTTTGTGTGGATGATCCTCTGGGGTTCGATCCGTAGGCTGAGATCAGTTGGCGATTGGTTTTTAATTTGTCGAAGTGATGGGCATTTTTGACTGTAGAAGCTCAGAGACAACTGCGTTTATTGCGCCAGGTGTTGTTGTGGGAATTGGGTTGGTCACGGGAAATGACAAATGAGGCACGAGTTAGTTTTGCAAATGAAGAGGGTGAAAATTGAAATAGAATATTTTGCGACGGAGTCGGTCCCCTTTTTCTTTAGGGCTTGGGCTGAGTTGTTGTTTCTGTAATTACTTGAGTTACAACGATTCGGAAGTTTAGGTCACTAGGTTTGTGTTACTAGTTTCCAATGGGTCAATGTTTCCGACAGCACATCCGCTCGAATTATGGCCGCATTCAACTATGAGTACAGGCCAAGCATACTTGATGCCCGAGAAAATTCATGCTGCACAGCTGCAGAGCATTGACTTAGTCAGATTGATGGTATAGTTCATTAGCTTCGGCCATCGTAAACACTTTTTGGTGCATTGAAATGTGATTAATACAGATTGAAAATATAATTTACAAATCTTTGGCCAACCCCAACTTCTTTACTAATGAAAGGAGCCAGTTTAATCTGTCATTGATGTCAAATTGGCGTCCGCTCCTAATCTTATGCGGAGATATGCTGTAAGTGTTCATCGAACGATTGTAGGGTTCCGAAGTCTTTCAACTGGTTAGGTTTTCCTTAAATTTTTTAAAACTAGGTCAAAGAATGGATTCAGTTTACAGAATCATCGAAGTTGATGAATTGTTTTGGTGTTATAATTTCTGCTTCTACTCATCGGGGTAGAGAGGTTTCGTGTGCATGTCGCAGGTGCCCATGGTGCCCATTTCTAAACCAAATGAGTTGAATTTGGGAGGATATGCACAAGCGAAGCGCACTCAACAGCAAAATTATTATGAGACGTGTCTGTACGGAGAGCCTGAAAAGGAGGTGGCTACCATGATAGTGTGGAGTCATGGGGGCGTCCATGTTGGTGTCATAGGCTCCTGGGATAATTGGCAAGTAAGGTGCGGAATTTTCGTTCCTCTAGTGTCTCAGCAACGTAGAAATAGATGGCTGTCAGCCTTGCGGAGCAAAAATTGCCACTTCAGTTTATGTGTCACACGTTTCGTGTCTCCTCCTTTGTTCATATGTTGGTGACTGCATAGAACTGGTTATTGTCGTGAGATTTTGCACCCGACATAGTATGGATGATATTTTCTGACTTTCATGCGATGGCAGAGAGTGAATGAGTTGAGTTATTCTGTGTTGTACCACAGGCAATCACTCCAGAGATCTGGTAGGGATTTCACATTGGTCAAGGTACTTCCCCCAGGAGTTTATCAATACAAGTTCTGGGTTGATGGACACTGGAGGTACTCACCCGATTTACCTGCAGTTTCAGATGGCCCTAACAACTTAAACAATATGCTGGACGTGCAAGTAAGTGTATTTATAGACTTCATTACATTCAGTCCTTACTCTCTAATCTGTTTGAAAAACTACCTCGAGTATGTATTTGTGTGCCCCTTCAAGGGCATCATATGCATGTGGTAATGAGCATTTTTGTGATGCACTATCTAGGCTCTAGTCGATGCTGTCTGGTCGATCAATGCAGAGTAATTCAAATAAGTGCCATCTGAAACTGGCACTAATAGAAAGATCTATTTCGGATCTTTCTTTGTTACAGTACCTTTCCTTTTCACTTGTTAAATCTTTTTTCTCATTTCCACTTGTCGCCATGCTGCCTTGTTTACCAAATAGACTATTTCTGAGTGCTGTATTGTACAAACACAATTGTAGGACTACGTACCAGAGAACCTGGACAGTGTTGCTGGGTTTGATCCACCACGATCACCTGATTCCAGCTATAACGATCCACTGCCTGGTCCTGAAGATTTTGGTAAGGAGCCTCCATCCTTGCCCTCACAACTGCGTTTGACACCATTGAACATGCCTCAACAAAACGAGACCTCAGCAAATCTTCCTCGGCCACAACATGTAATTTTAAACCACTTGTACGTTGAGAAGCAGACAACCACAGACAACCTTTCTGTCGTTGTGCTTGGTACCACAAATCGTTTTCGATCGAAGTACGTGACGACTGCACTGTACAAGCGCTTGATATGAGTTTTGGAAGCGGTTGTTGAGGACGGGGCTCGTATACAAGTTGAAGACCAAGGTCCAATTTATTTACATGTAGTGTACACATTAGGCTGTGCCTAGCATACAACAGTGGCCAGAGCGCTCTCACCATAGCTCTCAGACCACAGGTCGTAGAACTGAGATTTGATTTCGAAGGCAAGATGTGGAGACCTTATTACTTGAATTGTGATCTAGCAGAGTTGGTACTCCTTGCACAGATGTATATTTAAATTCGCTGGACTTTAATTTGCCAACTTCCCAACTGCGTGACTTCTTGTCTTGCAAAGATTGTTTCTGCTACTCCTGATATTCTGCTGGCTTACCTGGGTACTTATCAGTTGGTTCCCTGCTTCCTTGTACTTCTAAATATCTTATTGTATCTATCTTGTGAGGTTGGCTCTTTCGTTGAGGATTGTGTTCTGCACAAAATTTAGATTCATTACGCTAACATTACGAGGTCATTATCTTTCCCATACTGATGCAGGTCGGGATTCTGCTAGTGTGATGTAACTGGCAAGGTGTGTCTTTTCTGACTCGAAGAGAAACAGGGAAGGAAAGTTTCTATTGGGGTTCGATGGTGAGTTCACTACTTGAAGATTCGTTAGATGACGCAATCTACTCTCTTGTGATATGAACAAGAACCAGGCCGAGATATGAATGAACAAAGCAGCCCACCGTCCTATCTCTCTTCTCGGTTTCTTTGAGAGCGTGAATGAGGGAGCTGATTAGGCTTGTAAATTAACTCGAAATTGCAGCCGTGGAAAGGGGAATGAAGCTGCTTGAATCGATGTGCGGGTCTACGTTTGCTTCTCTTTATGATAACTATATTGACAGTAGTTATGCTTTGACCAGGAACCAGTGGAAGTGATTCACTGGTTGTAGTGCTGTCGGTGGTGGTAGTTACAGATTTTTAAGAAAATGCTGCCAATCTCGGGGTTGCTCGTCTGGAGGCAGCATCTATGGCTCCGCATCTGACACGATAAAGCTCCAATTTAGTAGAATCAACCTTCAAGGACAAGCGAACCCCTATAGAGACGGAGAAAAATCAAGCGGTACACGATAATCTGTCACACTTCAGAGGGTGTTACTCGCAGGATTCAGGCACAAGGGGAAATGCAGAGTTCTGAAATTGAGGTTTACAGGCCCAATGAAGATTCGAAGTTGGAGAAGCAACGTTTTTGGAATGTGGTCACTGGCAAGGATGCTTGCTTGCGTTTTGCTGCAGTGGGCAGTATTGTGGATCAATGTGGGGACCTTCGCCCGGGGTCTAGCCTTAGATTTGGTAGAGACGGAAACAGGCTGGAATTTCGAGGACGTCGTTGATTATTCCTCTCCTCCCATCGAGGTCTTTGATGGCAACGTAACAACAGCCCTATCTGCCCATCTACCTCCGAAGCACATTTTTGTTCTGAATAGTGACTTCGAACTAACCACTGTAACAAGCAACGTCACTGTCCTCGCGGATACGACCCTTCCCACCATAATTCCCAACTGGTTGCCTGGTGGAGCGGGGGTCCAAATCCTTCAGAGCGCATCATACCAGATGTCGACCTTCGCCGGAGGTGTGTTCGCCATACACCTGAACAACCCTTTCTCTGCGGGTAACAGCACTCAAGGTTCGATATCCACCATGAACTTGCCTGCAAATCCCAAACCTGCCACATTATATACGGTGCAGTATGACTGCGCGCGGATGCCTGACGGACCTCTCAACCTGGTGACCACTTTGAAGGTCTCCTCGATGACGGGGCTTACGACCAATTACTACACGATTCACACATCGAGGTATAACATCACAGACACTCCTAAGCAAATCACCTGGACCCGGAAAAGCTTTCTCTTCATGGGCACCGGCGCTCTCACTAGCATCCGGTTCGAGAGTATGTCGGAGAAGTATGGACCCATCATCGACAACATCGTCCTCCAGCAGGGGGTCCACATACTTCACGACCTTGGCCCTCCAGCTCGCATGCTTGCTCTGTGGCAGTGGTTGTGTCCCATCTTCACCGCCTTCGCCTTCATCGTCGTTGTGCAGCCACAAGATGTGCTCCTCTTCAGGGAAGCAGCTCAATACCTACTCTAATCGGTTGTGTAGATGTTTTGTAAGTCCAGAATCTTGTGTTTGTATTATTTAATGGAACCAAAATGCATGGTGCGTCTTTATGAAGTTTATATTTATGTTTACTCCTCCAAATGTCATTCCTTTTACTGGCTCTTCATGTTCATGTAATGGCGACAGTTAACCACAGAACCCAGAGTTGCGCTGATCATTTCATTACCAAGGAAGAGGACCAGATTCGCCCTACCGTGTGCATAATATTTCCATTTGGATGGGAGATGTTTCTTTTCATTGTGGGATTCCAGTACAATTCAGATTGGTCTTTTAATGTTGATAATCACTGTAGTGCAACACTTGAAATATGCCATTGTGCACAAATGATAGTGTTTGATTTGCATGGAAACGTATATGGCTAACGCCACACTTGTCAATGTGTCTCTTGAAACGACTCAGCACATCTTTTTGATTCAGGAATGGTAGTGCAAGGGGTTCTGGTATTTATGAATGTGTTTGTTTGTTTGTTTGTTTGTTCTGTTGTTGTTGTTTTTTTTTGTTTTTTGTTTTTTGGGAGGTTGCCATCTTCAAATTGTTTTTGCAATGCAGGCCTTAATTGCTTGTTTATGTTGTTCCAATGATTCAACCACCATGTAATGTTATTCGTCTAGATTGCCATTAAAAGATTTTTGTCTGATGTAAATGTGATTGCTCAAAATACATTTAAAAAGTACATGGTATTGTGCTTCACTTTTAGTTCCTGTATCACTATTTTTTTAAATTCAAGGACTATTGTAATCATTTAGTACAAACAAATTTGTAAAATTACAATAGTTGTGTTTTTCAACCTATACTCAAACACTACTAAATTTGATGGAATAAAAAATTTCATTGATATATATAATGGTAAATAATGGTAATTAGAGGATGTAAATTCAATACAACCGAAAATTAAAGTAAAATAAAAAGAATAATATTTAGGCATAAATACATGGATGTAAATGAATATATTTAGTGAACTATAAACTTATTAAATCATGCAAAAATTCATGCTTTTTATTCTGTATCTACTTTAAAAAAGCTTCAATGTACTAAAAACATATTAAAGGTTTGTAAATGAAAACTTTTTTAATTATATAAATAAAATTTCTATGTTATTGTTATTATTCAACATCTTAAAAGACTAATGTCTGATGCACTATATTAGCTTGCTACATATTAAGTAAAAAATCTCAAATATGTTTAAGTTTTTTTTTAGTCATTTTTTATTTGGATGTTTTTAAAAAAAAAATTATAATTATAATTTATTTGATAAGATATTTATTTAATATATTTATAAGTATCTTATTATATTTTTAAAGATTTTTCACTTCTTAAAAAGTTATATCACTTGATCTTCTTGACTTGGTAGCAAGAGTATTTGAACTTAAGCATTGTCCATTGATTAAAGACATCTATAAGAATTACATTTTAGGACGTGCACTTACAAGAGTACATACTATTGAGTTTCAAAAGCAAGGTCTTCTGTACAAGCATTTTTTTACTCTTTTTTGAACAAAATAGTAAAGTAAAAGATCCAATCAATATTAATAGAATTATTTGTACAAAGTTCCCTATTAAAGAAGAAGATCCATTACTATTTGAGACAATTATTACTTGCATTGTTTATAGTCCATGTGGACCTTAAAATATATAAGTTCTATATATGAAACATAGAATATATCAAAAGATATATTTAAAAGAATATCAAGAAGTAATATCAATGAATGGTGATGGCTATTATCAATATTATAAAAAAATAGTAGAAGAACTTTCAACATTGGCAATTATGTTGTAGACAATTGAGATGTTGTTCCATACAATCCAATTCTTAGTAGAAAGTATAAGTGCTAAATTAAAGCAAAAAATTTTAATGTTATATTTATTGATCTTATTATGAGAGAAAGATTCTATCTTTGGCTTCTTCTATTGATAGTACTTCAACTACATTCATTTGAAGATCTATGTATTGTAAATAGAGTGCTTCAATCAAATTTCAAGAGTGCATTTACAAATGGGATTGTTGTAAGATGACAAAGAGTGGAATCAATAATTAGAAAAATCCTCCATAATAAAAACGAGGAAGCAGTTAAGAGCATTATTTGTTATTATTCTTCTTCAGTGTTCACTTACACATTGAAAAGAGCTATAGAATAAGTTTAAAGAATTTTTTTGTGATGATGTAAGTTATCAATTGATTCAAAATTATAGAATTAAAAAGCCAACAAAAAGAAATATATTAGATTATAGACTATTTCTTCTTAATAAAATTCTTTAAGAATCAAATAAAATATTTATTAATTTTCTATTGATGCTATTGTGAAAAAGAAATTAGAATAAAATTGCTAAAAATTGAATGTTTATAGAATATATGACATAGAATCATAAAAAGCTAAAATAAATAGTAGAAGAATGTACGTTAATGTTGAATGATGAATAACGTACTATATATTTTGATATCCTTGCTTTAATAGATAACAATCTTAGAAAGATACATTTTTTAGAAGAACCAACAAGAAGTGGAAAAATATTTATCTATAGTACAACAACAATAAAGTTTTGGGATGATGGAAAATTTATTTTGTATATTGCTTCTTCTTAAATTGCAACACAACTTATAAGCATTAGGTGGACTACACACCCTATGTTAAAAATTGCACTCCATCTTGATAAAGATTTGTTTTATAATATTGCAAAGAATATACCATATACAAATGTGCTAAGAAAGATAATTCTTTTTATTTATGATGAGGTACTAATGCAATATTGCCATTGTATTAAGATAGTTGATAGAGCTCTTTAAGGCATAAATGGTACTAACAAGTTATTTGGCAAAATTACTATAGTTTTTTGTAGATATTTTTAATAAATTCTTTATGTTGTTGTTAAAGGCTTAGAAGAAGAGATTTTGATGCTTCTTTGCAACAATCAAATATCTGGTTTAATATTAAAGTATGCAAGTTGACCAAATATGAGCATTTAAAAGGTGTATCTAACGAGTATCAATCATTTATTGAAGAGCTCTTGAAGATATGCATTGTATAAGACTATTACATTTGAAAGTTTTTTTTTATGATACGATATCTTTATTTAATATATCTAAGAAATTTTTTTATTTACAAATTAGAAATAAATTAAAAATTGTGGATCCATTGAAAAATACCAAAATTCTTCTAAAATGTATGAAAGTAGGTCCAACATCAAATGATTTGATTCAAGTTGTTTATTTGGAATTGGATGATGATATGATACTTAAAGATGAATATTCCAATAATAAATTTATTTTATTTTCTTGAAAATATAATATTGATAATTTAAACAAGTGTACTATATAGAGATTTCATGGAGTTTCATATGTTTATCTTAGCATAGATGTAAAAATTCTAGAAGATAATGCCCATAAGATAATTATTATCCAACCAAGTATTTGAATAGCTTAAGCCTATCTAGATTGCCATCATTTAGCTTAGGACTCAAGATTGGATGTCCTATTATATTATTACAAAAAATTGCTCAATGTCAAGGACTTTGCAATAGATCATGTTTGGTTACTATACAATTGATTGATTAAGATACAAAGGCAAGATTTTTATCTGGAGACTACAAAGAACTATAGGCTTTTCTTCCAATGATCATATTATATCCATTATTTGCAAAGATTTTGTTCAATGAGCAACAAAGGTAATTTCTAATAAAAGTGAGATTTGCAATAGCCATTAACAAATCTCAAGAACAATTGTCAAAGAATGTAGGAATAGATCTTAGAACCTTTATATTTGCTCATAGGCAATTGTATGTTGTCCTTTCTTGATGCACTTTTCTGAACATGATTAAGATCCTAAATCTTAAAAATAATGAAGTCAAAAATACCACCATAAATGTAGTTTATCTTGAAGTTCTTTTAACTTAGTTATTTTAGTTGTTATTTATATAGAATATAAAAAAATATTTTTCTCAATTAAAATGAAGAAACATAAATGGTTCCATTGTTATGTATATATTCTTTTTTATTTTTATTTTTCTTGGTCAATATTTTTTATGCATATATTATTTTTTATTTTTATTTTTCTTGGTCAATATTTTTTATGCATATATTCTTTTTTATTTTTATTTTTCTTTGTCAATATTTTTTTAAGAGTGATCAATTTTTGACTAAACAACCACAAATTAAGATTTTTCAACTTTTTTGAGGCCAAAAATGCGGGTTTCCATTAATATATATATATATATATATATAAACTACTATAATTATTCATACATCCATTTCGTTAATGAGTTTAAATTGTAATAAGGTTAAAAGAAAAATACCATGAAATGTCATTTTTAAAAATACATCCTTACATTTACATATCATTCCAAAAAAATCATAAAAAATTTCAAACACTTTTCATTCACGAATTTCGAGTCTACACATAATTTTGTGTACCACATTCAAGCAAGTAGCCGTGTAGAAAACGAAGACTGTCATCGACCTGATGGAACGAGGTCTTAAGCCGAGAATCCAGTCCCCCGTGGTTGTTAAACGACGGTGTGAATGGATCCCGAAACGCCAACGTGGAACAAGACCTGTGTCTGGACCTTGAAAGTGGATAGGCAAGCGGCAGGCCGAGCGCGAGCGTGATGGAGAGCGAATGCGTGCGTGAGTGAGTGAGTGAGCTGCTGCTGCTGTTTCACAGCTCCTCTTGCAATTGCAAGCATCACTCGCCGAGCTTCCTCTCTCGCTCGCTCTCCCCTTCTTGTCCCGCCGGCTTGAAGCCCTCTGTTCCAACGCAGTAGCACCGCGTTGAAGAGTTTCTCTTACTGCGGCTGCCGTTGCGATTCTCCGACTATCTTCTTCACCCGACACCGCGATTTCTCTCTTTCTCTCTCTCTCACCATGGCTTCTTTCGCATTCCACGCCATCTCCCTGCGTTCTTCCTTCCTGCCCCCGACTTCCTCTCTCGCCGTGACTTTTTCTTCGTCTTCTTCACCGCTTGCATCCCCCTGTGTCGTTCGATTTCCAATTCTCTCTTCTTTGCAGAGTACTGCGGAGGACAGGTTTTTACCTCCTTACCCCCTCCTTTACTTGGCATTTTCACCCTCGTTTTTTTCCTTACACTCCCTGTTTGGCGTCTTTGAAGATTTTTGTCGTATGAATTTTTGGATTGGAGTTGGTTAGAGCAGCGGTCGAGTTGAGCAGATGGTACCAGGCGCCGTGGACAGGAGCTCCAGAGATTGTCGAATTGTGACATTGTTCGTGCCCCGAGTTTGGGCTCTTTTTGTTTCCGAATCGGCAAGAGATGGATTAGAGCTTTTTTTTATTGTCACATTCAGGGATTGTATTGTATTGGCCTGCTGTGTTGTACTAGACTTTGGTTCTACGTCAGGGTTTATGGATACGTTTAGCTAGTAGTTGAAATTACTAAAAGTCTTTCATAACAGTTCTTTGTTGATACTGAGAATAGTTTCTCAATTTGAAAACTGGAAACAAGTGGCTTACAACTGCTCTTCTATATTCCTCCCTCGACTACTCCTTCACGCTCTCAATCAGGTCGCTGTTTTTGATCAATCGAAATTTTGAACATCGGCATTTCGTGAAGAAATCCAGAGTATTGAATTAGGCAGTTGACGATGACAATATTGCCAGTTGGATAGTATAGTTGTCAAAGGATTTGATAGCACATATGAATTGGAATAAAATCTCTTTCCAGGAAGAGGACAGGCGTGAACTGGGGGTGCGATCCTCAATCCATAGAGAAAGGGTCGTTGCTGCAAGATTGGTTGATGAAGGAAGGACTTGCGAAACAGAAGCTGGTGTTGGACAGAGTAGATTCTGGTGGCAGGGGTCTTGTAGCAACGCAGAGCCTGCGTCAGGGTGAACGGCTGTTGTTTGTGCCATCTGGGCTTCTTATCACTGCTGATTCGGTGAGTTCATTCCTCTGGCGATTTACTGAATCATGGAATGGAGTGGAATGATGTTAAGTAATTTGGAATATCTCCTTCGTGTAGAGCTAGCTGCACTGTGGTTTATGGTCGAGAATTCGCTTGAAATGTTTGTGAACGGTGCATTACATTGTCTTGATTTATGGTGTGGCAGGAGTGGGGGTGTGCTGAAACGGGCAGAATAATTAAGGAAGCCGGACTCCCAGAATGGCCCATGCTAGCAATATTTCTTATCAGTGAGGCCAGTCGAGAAGAGTCATCTCGTTGGTTTCCTTACTTCGCCACCTTGCCGAAGACACCTTCGTCAATCTTGCAATGGTCAGTTCTTGTACATGTTCAGACCCTGAGGTGTAACTCTTGCTCTTAGAGCCCGTAGAAGTATCTTTAGTCTAGGCAGGGTCGCATTGGCGAAAATTTTGCACTTTCTTCGTTAACCTAAACCCTAAGAGGCCTGTTGGGATTTCGGAACAGGACCGAGGAAGAAGTGAACACATGGTTGACAGCATCACCTGTCAGAGAGAAAGCTTTGGAGTGCATCAGAGATGTGACAGAGACGTAAGAATATTGACCACTCAAATTGCAAAGTCGTGTGGAACTTAAGGACGATCTATTGCGTCGTCAGTCGTGAAGTTTTCATAACAAGTTGCACATGAGATATTAACAGCGTTTCGGTCTTTGAACAGATATCGAGATCTCCGGGCGACCATTTTCCTCAAGCATCCCGAAGTATTCCCTTCTCAGGTATTTCAGAGGTCACTAGTGTTTTATTTCTACTTCTCTAGGTTCCCTTCACAATTCTTCCATTACATCGAGAGTTGTGGCTGTTTGTGAGATCGCTCATGCTAATTCCCATAAAATGGCGTTGATCTTTCAATTTTTGACGTTCAGCAATGCCTGATCTCAGGTTTACACTCTGGCGGCCTTCAAATGGGCTTTTGGAATACTCTTTTCTCGCCTCGTAAGTCCGATCTTGTTCCCCATTGTGTGTGGTAGTGTATCATGGCAACTTAACAATTTAGCTGTTGACTTTTTAGAATTGATTTACTGACTTGTTTGAAGCTGTGTTCATAGTAGGTAAGCCAAGTGTGAGAAACGTCACTGTTGATACATTTTCTATGGATTTGACAGGTAAGGCTTCCGTCGGTTGGAAAATTGGCCCTTGTACCCTGGGCGGACATGTTAAACCACAGCCCTCAGGTACCATCTCGTATTTTCGGCGTTCTAGATCTTGTCTTTTTTTTTTTTGAGAAAGCGTTACAGCAAGATATCTGTGCCGGATTGTTTGTTTTGGTGAGCTCCGTGATCTGAGTCAACCATAGAATAAAGTTCGTAGTTAGAGTCAAAGATGGTGAGTATTTCTTGCCACTGAAGCACCGTGCCAGGAATTTGCAGGTAGATTCTTTCTTGGATTTCGATCAGAACAATGCAAAGTCGGTTGTGACCGTCACTGATCGCGCTTATCAATCTGGAGAACAAGTATTAACTCCCAGACTTTTAAATCATGCATTTAATATTGTGTTGCATTATCGTCGTTCAGTAAATAAGTAGTATCTGCTTTTCTTTAGCGATTAGTAGAGAATATGCAATAGATTCAAATTTGTGTTCGAATAGGTTTGCTCCGCATTGGCCAAGATATGGGGATTCAGGAAGAGATATTAAACAGGTATTCATTTCCTACGGCAAACGATCAAGTGGGGAGCTCTTCCTCGCATACGGCTTCATTCCATCAGAATTAAATGTACATGATTCTGTGGAACTGGAAATGGAAATAGACAGCGACGACCCTTCATTCGAAGCCAAGTTGAGAGCAGCAAACGAACAAGGCCTTTCTTCGTATCATTCATCATTACTTTGATATATTTGAATTTATGCTTTTCCTTTACTCTGAAAAGTTCCGCTAGTGATTCTTGAAGGAAAATTCTTTAGGTCTGTATGCTTTACTTTAGACGGTAAAGGTTGGATCCTTGACGGAAATAGGCCTCAGAGATTTCCAGTAAGGAAAGATGGTTTTCCAGCACAATTACTTGCATATGCTAGACTTATTGCGAGCCGAACTTCAGACCCTGCTCAACTGTCTCGGGTATGGTTTATACTTGCAGCTATTTTACTAAGAACCTACTTGATTTCTTCTCTCGTACATCAATTTGGGGTTGCTTAGGCTCATTTTGTTTGTTATTTATTGCCGGAATTCGGAATGCCCAGATAGATTGCTAGAGCAGCCACTGAAGCAAACGCAACGGAAAAGGACGATTCTGATGTGATAGCCATGCTCTCTGCTGAGGAAGAAACGAACGCTTACGAGCGAGTTCTGGCAGTCTGTGAGAATTCCATCGCAGAGTATACCAAGTTTCTGGAGGTAAGCCCTACAAGGATTAATCATCAAAAGAGTGTGTTTCGTTTTGTATCGGCTGTTTTCCGAATGCTCATCATTTTTGTGGTTTTCCATGCAAATCAATCTTCTCCAGGCACACGAGTTGGATGAAGTAATGAATTCGGATACCAGCACACGTGTCAGCAGAACTCGAATGTTACAGCAGTTGGCGGTGTCCCTTTGTAAAAATGAGCAGCGGATGCTCTTTAGATTACAACATGTCAGTAAGCTACCCTTCTCATCCTCTAGAATGTAATTTTCATCTTATCAGAATGATGACAGAATTTCTGATGCTTTGTCATCTGGGGCTGTGGCTGCAACAGATTCTACGAACAGACCTGCGGGGACTTCGTACCTTGCCCGCCACAGAGAACATGAGTGGAGGCGCAAAGGGGAAGGCACAGCGTAAAAATGGAGGTCTGTTCGGATTGTTTAAATGGGATATTGACATCCTGCAAAAGTAGTGTGGGATATCGTGGAATCTTTGAATTCGTCATCTACTCATGATAGAATGCACGCAAATTCTAGTCCTACGACACTTTTTTTTGTGTTAAGCTAGGAGCAATTCAACCGTGATTCGAAGTGTCTTTCTGTAGCCTAGAATTTAATGCCTCCTGAACTAAGACTTAAATTTTCTCTACTTCTGGTTTGAGAGTCATTTTAGAATTTCACCTAGTTGCCAAACGGTGCTGATGATATCTCACTTGAGGGACTGACGTTGATGATATCTCGGTATGCATTTTCAGAATCAGCAGTTCTCATGATGTAAGCCATAGTTTCAGTGTGTGGAGTTTTCATTCAAAATGCAGCCTTATCCAAGTGGACCTTGAACAGCTTGAATTGTACATGAATCCCCAAACCAGATGACGAATGGGTCTGATAAGAAATATAGTATTTTACTAATCAACAGTGGTCACACAAGCGTCAATTGAAAGTGACTCTGGTCGAAGAGTGAAAGATGTAGGCCACGAGAGCTGATTGCAAGTGTCATGCTCGGGACAATTGAACATTTTAAACCATTGGATGCACTCCTTGTATAAAAAGAATATGGATTGCTTGGGGATGCAGCCAGCGTTGGAGTTGTATCCACATCACAGATATTTTGCAATAAATGCCCCTTTCGTAGCTTATTGCAAAACAATTGTGTGCTCTTCTTTAGCAGCTGTCTCAGGGCAATGGGTGAGAAAGAGAATGATAATTTGGGAGTTGTTGCAAGAAGCTATTTGCTGATATGGTAAAGTGCACTATGTGGAGAGTACACTTTTCCAACCATGTTTTTCCTTGTACAAGGAGTCACAGAATGTGACAAGCTGTGAACACATTCAAGTTTTGTGCTCTAAATTGATGAAGAACAGAAGAATTCAAGTTGATATTTCATGACGTGAAATTCAAAAATTAAAATGTAAAACTGCAAATCATGCTATTTAATTAGTTGTGTGTGATGTGATGATCTTTTGTTAGTTGATACACATTTTTGTAACTAATCAGGAACATTAAAGAAAAATGTGAGCGTGTGCAGAGAATTAGTGAGTTTGTGTAGGCCACATTAGAAATAGGATGTAGCTTAAATTTTCCTCAATTGAATTACTTTTAAAAAACAAGAATAAATAAAATAAAAAGACGTAGAAAAAAAAACATGAATCAATGTATACCAATTTTATTATTAATGCAATTGGGTTCCAATTATATTTGATCTGAGATGTGGAAGAAATTTTGCACAATAATTATTTCATACGAACATTATTATACTATCCTTTAAAAGTGTTCCAATCATGATTAAATTAAATAAATAATGTGTTATATATAAACATAATTAATAATAATTCATTATGTGCATTAAATTACCTTTAATCAAAATTAATATCAAGTGTTTGTTTCTTTTTAATGTAATACTTGAGCTATCAAGCTTAAAAAGAATAGTACAGATAAATATTACAGTATGATGTTATATACTATGTTGTAATATCTACTATGATGCTTCAAATCCTCTTTATCTCATCCATTAATAACTTAATATTTTGTCAAGGTAAACTAAATTTCGTTCTTTTTCATTAACATTTCTTAGAAAATGTAACAAACTAACACGTACTACTACTCCCTTTAACAATTAATTTATGTTTTATGTTTAAAAAAACGCACATAGAGATTCGCATGCAAACTGGTTAAATTATACATTTTTAAAGAGAATCAAATTATTCCATATTAAAATTTATAATAAATAGATAAATGGTTGTTTGTCATACATAGAGCAATTAGTACGTAAGTAGACTAATTGACATTTGATCACTTTGAAAACCACAATTAAAGTGAAGACAGCACCAAGGATGATCAAGCCGAGGAGGAAACAATTGATTCCAAATTACAAATGGAATTGGATGTAGAACTGAATGACATGACGGTGAGTGCCGAAAGTCTAATTAATTTACTCAACAGATGAGATTTGATTTATAAATTGGATACGTAAGGAACAATATCCTGCTACCTACGTCACTACTGGAATTCGTTGATTAGGAGAAAGAATTTATTTACAATATTGCGGCCATGGTCAAGGATTGCTTCAAAAGAAGAATAATGCAACCATGGAGGAGCTCCTTCTGAATATTCATGAAATAAACACTCAAAACAATGGAAACTTGAATTATAAGAAATCAGCTATCAAATCAGCTACCAAATCAGTAAATTACTTGGTGCGAACTCATAATGTACGTGTGATGAAGTGGCACAAGAGCTTCGAGCTCCGAGGCTCTCCCTTTTTAGATGCCAGTTGCACAGCACGAATTCCCTGCCGGAGCTCAGTGACGGGTACGCAAGATTGGCCAACCATATCATCTCGGACGATTCTGTCATACTCCCTCACCTCCAACCTGAGTATTGCTAGCTCCGGCACTGAAAACAAATTTACACTTTAAACATTAGATCCACCCCATGAGTCTTCTAAGCATGTTTCTCTACTTCAATGATTTCTTGACAGAAGCAACAATTGGATCACAGGATCATCAATGCTTGCGATTGCTTAACTAAAAACATGGGACTTCACCTCGAATTTGAAATACAAATTCTTCATCCTCCCAGTGAGGTTCCCGAGACCGTTTGCACACATGTGTTTTGAACTTCTGCTCATCGTCATGCATGCCATGTATGGCAACCTGATGATCAAAATATTTTAAGAACCAGGTCAACATGCAATTTTTCTGAAAGCGTTCGTTCTGTATCCTGAATGACTAAAAGTTCCTGACATGACTTGCACTCAAAAACTGTCAACCCTCAGTGATGTAAGTTGATAATATTTCATTCAGGATGAGGATGAAGCATCTAAATGATTTAACAGATTGAAAATCCTTTACTGCTTCTGAAGACAAGACTACGCAAAGTACCTTCACAAAATAGTCTGGTTTCTTGAAGACGTCATAGTTTTTGTGCCAGTCGGTCCCCAATAGAACCGTCACCTACATCAAGTGTACAATGTAGGAAGGTTAAGACGCTGCTCAAGTACTAAACAGCAGGTTCACTCAGTTTCACCATTCAGAAGGCTATCGGCGTGATAAATTGAACCTTGTATTCACCTTTGGATAAACCTATAGTCATAATTCGTTACGGAGTTCCGACCTAAATTGACGTGAAAAAGAACTGTAAATGGAAGGTTTTCAATGTTGCAAAACGATCTCAAAATGTAAAAGTGTGAATCGCTTTGCTTCCGTGTGGCGAGTTGCAATAATTAGGTTATACCAAGAATTGGCAATCCATTTGCGAAATCAACTGGTCAGTAGAGGACTAACCTTCAGCTCAAGCTTTGGTTGCAAATTCATTAGGCTTTTATGGTCCATATTAGATTCAGGTAGAAGAATATCGGGCTTCTTGACGTAGCCGCAACCACCGTTCCTACTAAATATTGCTTTGGATATCCATACAGGTCGATCTCGTCCTTGCATATTTATAGCTGCAACTTGAACTCCATGCTCCCAAGCGTCCATAGGGTCTGCATTTGATGAAGTAACCCGAAGTCCAAATGGGTACACTCTAGTCAAATTGGTCTTCGAGAACCTGGCAAACCATCGCCATACCACATATCCCACATAACCATGGGCGAAATGGACTCAACATACTGACACGTATGTGCTGATATGTGTGTAATTTCATTCATACAACGAGTCCAAAATCAAAATAAGACTTTTAGGGGTCACAATGTAAGAGTACTTACTCTATCAGAGAATCGGTGTGATCCTCAATAAGGTCATCGAGTTGTGATTCGCTTAGATTAGCCATTATTGCATGTTGTCCTTTAATCAATGGGCCACCTTTCTTTTGCTCGGTAGCCATTTCTGTGGGTTTTTGACAATGAATGTATAATAATTCATCAAACGCAGGATCATTGGCTATGGCTGGCCTGCCAGAGTCACCAAGTTTTCCTGAGGGCAGTTTCTGTATCCTGCTTTCAGCGATTTGGCTTTGACGTCTGCGTAGCTTCTTCTTCTTCCCCCTCCGTCCATGTCTGTGTTCATGTCTGTTGTCTGGGCTGGGGTCTCTCACCACTTCATGCAATAGCGTCTGCTGTGCAAATTCAGGCTCATTTGCAGCCTGCAGAGAAATGATAATACTTTGCTCAGTTTCCTGCCATTGTATTCCTAAAATAACAAGAATAAGGTTCTTCAATTCGTTTGAGTTAGACACCCTTGCGTAGAACAGAGAATACTGAAGTCTGGCAGACTACATCGCTGTAACAGTTAGTTTCAATGCTGCGATAATATTTTATACCTGACTTAAAAGTGCGTCACCCGGAGGTTTATCAGAAATGATAATGCGATGCTTCAACTGCTCAGGTGATCGAAAAGATTGGGGTGGAAGTTCATTGGGAGGGGGGACAAACATGATATTACCGAGTATCTTGTTTAACACCTGCAGTCCGTAAGAGAACACGGTAAGTCACAAAATGAAACTGCATACTAAGGAATCCTCTGTGTTGAAGAAGTAAATCAGTGGATGATCATCCAATTGAAATATTCAACTTACCCTGGCGGCTTCCTTCTGGTGCTCTAGATCCAAGTGACTTTCAATGGTAACAACGACAGGATAAGCCGAAGTCGTGAAGGCATTGTCTTTTATTGCCTTAACGCAGTCCTCAAATGGAACTGCCTTCGTCAAGGTCCTGTTGAGCCAAAAGACATGCCAGGGCTAACGATGAAAGCTGATATGAGTTGAAAATGAAGAAATGCAACTGCTGCGTAATGCCTCAAAAACAGTCACATTCACTTTTGGAAGACATTAATGCATTTTGACGAGTATAAACTCATAATACTCCAAATCGAGTGAATTCGCAACGGATACTTACCCGCCATGAAGGACATCAATTCTTTTGTTAGAGCCATTCCAACAATCCAGCTCGATTACACGACATCCATCCAGCAGTGCTTTCACAATGGGGGCAGTGCTGGATGGACTACACAACTGGTTTCCCATCAAGTAGGTATTGTGACTCGAAAAGATATAGTAATCTGATAGTGGCGCATTCATGTCGTCTGTCGGCTGATAAAAACGCAAAACAAATATTTAGACCAAAGCGAAAAAGATTAATCGTGTCCACACAGCCCTCTCGCAACACAATGCAATCCAGTGAAATGCTTCTGCGACCACTACAGTTCTCAAAAGCATCAGCAGTTGACCCAGTCTTACGAGAGAGTTCAAAGTTCACCGTTTTCGAAACAGGTACTCGGTGACCGTTAAATTCAGGATGCAGGAGAAACTTTAGAAAGGTAGCAATGTCAAAAGTAGGAGTCTCTGGCGCCGATTGACCGTGTTTGGAGCCACTGTGCCTGGAGCTAAGGGAATATTTCGAGCTGTGACTTAACCCAGGAATCCTCAAGGCGCGAGAGGCAGTCGACTTCAAGAAATTAAAATCAGCCATCAAGGATGTCGCGCGCTCTTCGGTCGCATTTCTGTCGCCCTGCCAATCTGTCATAAATTTTGCCAAATCGGCGGGACCAATTACCCGTACATCCCTTCCTATCGTCGCCTGCTCAAAAACTCTTGTAACTAATGCTGGCGGAGTACATACAGCATGGTAGGGCGCTACGGTGGGCGGTAGGCAATGCGAACATGCCTCTTTCAATCGCGCAATAGACACCATCCTAAGCTAGCCTGACACACACCCCCAACAATTCATTACATTCACCACGAGGGCATTGAGGAGGATCTCGTAGAAAAAATCCTCGAGGAACACGAAGGCACCGTTCGAGCGCCTCCGATCAAGATGTCAAGCAAAATCCCTATACAGATCGCGGTTGCGCGTAGCAACCAAATGAATCCTCAAGTAACTACCTGCTCTAGCTCTGACACTATCAAACTCCATCGCCAATCTTCGTACCCTAGACCTCCAATGTAGGAAGTTGTTTCGCTAAAAAACCATCCGTTGCACACAACAAAGCACGATTCAACCGTAACAAATTCGACGAAGTGCTTTCTTTTAAGATTCTCGCCCGTAGCCCTATTTCATACCACCAACTCAGCTGTTCACTCTAAAGCTACACTTGCAACGGTTTCCACAGGCCAGCCCGACACCAATCACCCCGAAGTGACAAGAAGAATCCCCATTACCTGCTAGACAACTCGTAATCTGAGAACGACACCAACGCCCGCAGATGCGGGTGCTTAGATCTCAAAGGGAGTCCTGATGAAAGATCTTCCTCAACGAAACTACACAAAAATTAGCGCCATATGTATACACCGAGTGGGTGCAATGCATCAAAGAAGCACGCACAGCAATTGTAAACGTTGAACAACGCGGAAAAGATTTAGGAAGAATTAGTCTATATACCAATTCTAGCTGGGCGACTACTGGTGATTTTAATGCGCAGAAGACCCACAGACCGACGAACAGTTCTGCACGCACGTGAAGAGGACGAAAGCACTCTAAATTCCTTGACCTCACACCGAGGAAATCAACCTCGAAAATTCGGGTCTACTGTAGGACCAGACTGCACTATCCTGTCGATCCATGAGCCCATACAAGTGCACGTGTAAAGAGAGCCATACAGACAAGAAAGGAAGACTTACAAACGTCGACTGGTTTCACCGGTGGTCTAAGACCACCCATATTGTAGTACGGCTCGCACACGTCCGGTCCAAGAAAACGCCAGATAAAATTAATGAACACCTGCCAACCATGATGGCGAGGAATGGCAACCCAGATTCGCGTAATTGAGACAGGAAGGAAAGGTTTCGAGGGTTGGTGCGCGCGCAGTCAGTCCTCCACGGAGACACCGACAGTGCTCCGCTCCAGGTTTCCAGTCATCCAAGGCTCCAGCGCGTGTGCGTGGACCAGTCATCCACGGAGGAGGAGTAGGTGCGCAGACGAGAGCAAATCAGGTGGACGTGGTGTCAAAATTTCCCTGAACAGCGGATTCAAAGCAGTAAAAGTAGAGGCAAAAATGAGACAAGGTGAGGCCAAGGCCGAGGTAGAAGTAGGAGTACGCAGGGAGAATGGAAGGAAGGAAGAATGGAAGGAACGCATTTTGAAAGCGAAGCCGAGGCATTGCCCCGCCCCCACCACCGCGTCCCTTTCTAGGTGAACCTACCCCAAACGTGCCCCCGCCCCCGCTGCCAGCCTGGCAGTACTCCTGTTTGAATCCCTGGCCTTTCCCTCCATGGACTCGCTAGCCCCTCGCAATCTGACTCAGATCCCCCTCGCCGTCGATCGACCACTCTGCCTCATCCACGGTGGTCGTGTCCTGTCTGTTGGTTTTACCTACTTCAGCTTTTAAATGATTTTGAGATTCATTACCTTTGAATTGAGCTTGCATGGTTACAATTTTGGAGTGTGTGGATTAAGTGAACTAGGAATTGAAATAAAAAAATGAAATGAAATCGAACCCACATAAATCTCTTCAGTAAATAGTTTTTGATGGAGAATACCATTTCTTGTTTCTTATTGAATAATCATGCCATGATCATCACACCGAGGCCCTTTTTTTATAGACCTTGAAATGGGTAAACAGGTGAAACTTTTTCTTTCTGAATGAATAGATATTTAAAAATCCAATGGTCCAAAAAGTGAGAAATTTAAAAGTCAAGAATGTTATAAAGAACTCTTTTTTAAATGCCCTTTGATAGAAAGAGCATTTTCTTTTATGATGATTTAATAATATATAAAATAACATAAAATAATAAATATTTTAATGCAATTTGGTAAAGTATACTTGTCTTAGGTCTAATCTAAAGATTTCTTTTTCTAAAAATTTACACTCAAATTAATAAATAAATAAACTTATATAACTAAAATATATATAGCAAGTTTAGAAACACATGAGAGATTTCTACTTACAAATAAATTTAGGTTTTATATTAATTAGTTAAAGCTTTATATCGTACTAATTTGCCTTTCATCTTATTAATTTGTCCAAATTTTTTGATAAAATAATCCCATCATGATAGAATCTTAGAATAATTTTTTTTTTTTTTTGTTATTGATATAAACCATGAAGATGAATCATCTCTATTTATTGATATTGAGTTGTAAACTAAAAAATCCACAAGATAATAGTTGTTTCATAATAAAATCATAAAATCATAAAATCATAGTGATAAAGCTATTATTAAGATATTGAATGGATTTGATAATATCTATCTAATTGCCATCCAATCAAGGTAATTTTAAATATGAGAATGTTAAATCAATCCCATCTATTGTTAAAACAACTCATCCAATATTAAAATCATCAAAAACTATATCATCACCAAATTGCACCAATATGAATATAAATCAAAAATTAGAAAATAGATTGTTAAAGTGCATTTTGTCACCATAACCATTATTAAAAGATTGATCGGAACAATCATATGCACTTGTCTTTGGATGTTTTATCATAGTTGCAACCAGCTTTGTAACCATGTTTAGAATGAGTAAGCTTTCTTTTAGAACACAATAGAAGACTATCTATTATTTTGAATTCTATATGACTCTTTTTTAGTGAATATAGGAAATGACTAAGAAAAAAATATTTTACAAATATATTTGTACATCTTATATCACTACCTATGCCAATGATCTATAATTAAGAAACTAAATCAATCTTTCATTATTATTATTGTGTATTGTGAGCAAGTGTATTTTCTATGAATTATGTTAGACTCAACAATTTAGCACGAGGCTAATGCTTGTAACAACAAAATCTAATTACAGTTGATTGTTTTCTTTATTATACCTAAAATTAGCCATGAGCTCTAAACTAAATCAAATTCATATTCAAATTGAACTATGTATAGGCAACCATTGATCTACAATACAACTACTAGATAGATGTAAATCTAGCAACCTATTTGCTATATTTAATATCTATACAAAATATTATTATAAATCATATATTTATACAACTTCCAAACTTTATCAACCACATCTATTTACTTATAAATTTCAACAACTTCAACATAAATCACAAATCAAAACTAATAACACAATATCAAACTATATAAATTATAGGATACATATATTATAAGATTCAATCCAAATATTAAATTCCACATTCATAAATAATACATAGAAGATTAAGTATAGGAGGTGGAAAGAAAGTGATAGTACTAATAAGTTCAAATCTAACAATAATAACATAATATCATGGACATACATATTTATTTATTTAAGAAGTATTAAATAAAAGATAAATATAGATAGATTTGATATTATCTTATGTCAAAGTTCTTAGAAGCTTCATAGACATGTATTTGACATTAAACATGTTTATAGTTGATTAGTAGGTTAAAAACTTGGCCAATAAGTTAACCATGTGTCGCATATATAGGTAGCTTGTAGTAAAAGCTAACAATGTGGCATCCATATAGAAAAATTATTTTACAAGTTAAAATAGGTGTCTTGTAAATTAGACATGTATTGAAGGTCACATAGAACATCACTATGTAGCTCTTAGTTAAATAGTATATATGGAGACAAGAGTAAAGTCTTCTTCATTCTTATCAATGTCTTTTTAGTCTTTAGTCTTGTTTCAAGACTTTCTAGTCTTCTTGTCTTTGACAATAGCCATTTTAGTTTAATATTATACTATCTTTGAGTGATTTTTATATCTTTTTGAATAATATAAGAGTATATTGATTTTTTAGTTTTCTAATTTATGTCCTTAACAATTTGATAAGAATGCTAATTTTTTGTTTTTATTTTGTTTTAAAAAATGAATGGATTATCTCACTTCTATTGTTGTGTTTTGAAGGTTGTAGATTACCTATATTTAAATTAGTATTCTAATTTTTTTTTAAAATAAATTAAATAGAATAAATTATCTTTATTTGTGAAAATTTTTATTTAGTATTAGATATTGTAGATTATCCTCCTCTAATTTGACTTGTGGATTTGTTTGAGTTTTCAATAGAAGGAAAAATTATAAATTCTACTCTCCATTAATTAGAAAATAGATTTTTAACTATTATAGATCTTTATAACCTTATCAATATTATTAGAATAGAAATTTTATATATTTTTAATATAAATTATAGATATACTATTTCTTTGCCTATGGAAAAAATCAATAATAAAGTTCAAAGACTACATTAAAAATTTATACAATTAAAAAAAGTAAATAAATCAAATTTTCAATCAAATCCAAGAAACCTTATTATTACAAGTATGAAGGAGGTAAGAATAAGTATGCCAAAGAAGTTTGATGGAACAAAATCAAAATTTTGAGGATTTTTACAAGTGAAGCTCTATCTAAGGTTGCATCTTTTTCAATATCCTAATCGATTTATTTAAGTCAGATTCATATATATCCTTCTAACTTAGAGTACTCTTTTTTTATATATTTAATAGAAAAGAATTTATTCTTAGAAGTATTTATGGCTATATTTTAAAAAGGTGATTGAAAAAAGATAATAGACACAAAATTCATATCTTTACAATAAGGATCATGTTCAACCACCATATATGTTCTTAAATTCTAAAATGTTCTTGTAATATGGATTAGAATAACAAAGCTCTTATTAATTATTTTTTATATAAATTGAAAGATAATGTTAAAGATTTATTATTTACTATATCAAAAATAGATTTATTAGAGTAATTTATTCTTTAAGCCATTGTGTACAATAATTGATTCTTTGAAAGACACTAAGAATAAAGATTTGATTAGTGAGGTACAAGTCAAGTCATGGTGACACCTTCTAAGTTTATTGGAAGCTTATTCATCTAAATTAGAGCTTATTCACAATGACACAATATATTTTAAATTGCTTATTGAGCAAGAAGGTTTAGGCTTATATTATAGAGAATTCAAGCTTATATTATGGAGAATTCAAGCACACTATTCAACATTGTTCAAAAAAACAACTTAATCACAAAATAAGGAGTATGGTTGCCAAAGAGAATAATGACTTAGAAAATAAGTTTCTCTAGTTATAATTGTCACAGATATACATAGGTACTCTAGTAAATATCTATATGATTAGATAGAAATAGATAAAAGTAAATAAAAATAGATTAATTTCATAATACTTTCTAGAGAAGCTTTTTAGAAGCTTCATAGATACTACTTTGACTTTACAGGTATTTGTAGTTGTCTAACAGATTAGAAACTTGGTCAACAAATTAATCACATGTTGGTAGCTTACAAAATAAGCTATCTATGTCATACACATATAAAAAACTTGCTATGCACGTTAAAATACATATCTTACAAAGTCAACACATTTTTGAAGTCCCATAGGATATCTCTTTATAGTTCTTAGTTAAGAGTATAAATGGAGGTAAGAATAAAGCCTTCTTTATTCTTGTCAACACTTTTCTAATCTTCAGTCTTGTTTCAAAACTTCCTAGATTTTTTGTTTTTGGCAATAGCCATTCTAGTTCAACATTATATCATCTTTGAGTGACTTTCTAGTTCCTTTCAATGGCACAAGAGTGTATTGAGGATTTTCATTCTTTGAGATTTATATCCTGCATAGTTTGACAAGAATGCTAACTTTTTTTTTTTTTGTCTTGTTTTAAAAGTAAGTGGATTATCCTACTTTTATTGTTGTATTTTGAAGGTTGCAGACTATCTACCTTTAAACAAAAAAATCTTATTTTCTAACATTGATTTGTTCCTTAAAGAGAGTGGATTATCCTTCTTTGTGGAAATTTTCATTAGAGGTTGCAAATTACCCTCTTCTAATTTAACTTTTTGATTTAATTTGAGTTGTCTATGGAAGGAAAGATTATAGATGCTACTCTCAATAGAAGTGAGAATAGATTTATAACTATTGTAGATCTTCATGAACTTGTCAACAATCTAAGAATAGAAAACTTGTATATTTTTAACGTGAATTATGGAGGTACTATACCTACATCTATAGAAAAAGTTCAAAGTGTGTAATAAGAAGTTGTGCAATTGAAAGAAGCAAATAGATCGACCTCACAACCAAATCCAAGGAGTTTTGCTTCTACAAGTATGACAAGGAAAATGATTAGTATGCCTAAGAAGTTTGATGGAACAAGATCAAAATTTTGAGGATTTCTGTAACAAGTCAAGCTCTATCTAAGGTTGCATCTTTTTCAATATTCTCATAGATTAACTCAAGTTGGATTTGTAGGTGTACTTCTATCAAGAAAAGCTCTCTCTTCGTTTGCACTTTTAATAAAAAAATATTTTGTAACTTCTTTATGATTTGAATTCATTCCTAAAAGTGTTTACAGCCACATTCAAAGAAAGTGATCAAAAAAGAGTAGTAGAAACCAAGCTCTTATCTTTACAACAAGGATCACGATCAGCCACCATATATACTGTTGAATTCCAAAACCTCACTTTTGATGTAGACTGGAATGACAAAGTTCTTATTTATCAATTTCGATATGGATTGAAAAATAATATCAAAGATTTGTTACTGACAATGTCCAAGGCAAAATCTTTGGAACAATTTATTGCTCAAGCCATTGCATGTGACAATTGATTATTTGAAAGAAGTTAAAAACAAAGATTTGGTTAGAGAGGAACAAATCAAATAATGATAGCAGCTCCCAAGTTGATAATATTTTATTAATAATTTATAATATTCTAAATAATAATATATTTAAAAATTAAAAATAAGAATTTATATTTTCATAAAAAATAAAATAAAAACTTAATATAAGATTATGTTTTGGTTTTTTTATAAAATATATATTAAAAATTTTAATCTTTATAATTAAAATTATATTTGATTTTGTGTTTGTATGAATTGATATGTTAATAAAACTTCATGTAAATTATGCCTTTTAAAACATCTTTGAAGAAGAAGGTATCTACTTATTATATTCAACTATTAAAAATTTATCAATATTTAACCATCTTTTAATGATTTTTTTGATTCAATTATCTATGTATCATTTTAAAAAATGCTAAAATTTCTATACTTTATCCAATAATTAAAGTAGCAAATATTTAAATTAACATTTTAATCATATTTTTATTTCTTCACCTTTGTCTTTACTTTCCTAGCATAATATTTATGATTAATTTATCTTTGATTTTTAAAGACTTTTGTGATAAATGTGGAAAAAAAATTGACTTGCATTAGTTGAAACTAAATGAAGACTTCTATATTTTTATATTAATTTCATAACTCTTCAACTTTAATTAATTAAAATTTTCAAACATACATCCCAAAGTCTGCAAGTTGAAAAGAAACACCAACTTAAAGATTGGATTCCGCTATCAATTAAAGAAGTGGTATCAATTTCTTTTTGGAATACAAGCTTTCTTGTTGAATTTAATTTAAAACAACACAAACTTTAAGCAAGCCCATCACATGATAGAACCCATTCTAAATGCAACAGTATTTCAAAAGAAACCTAACAGAAGGGTTTTAATGCAGTACAATGAACTAAATCACTAAGGTTCTGTATATCAAGCATCTCGCTTTTAATTGAATATATATGTTTACAAAAACCCCATGAAATCATTTCACAAAATCTGCAATCATCTATGAAATTCCCTCATCATCACACAAATGCGATAAACGGCAAGAGCCGTAGAAGAAAACATCACCAGAAAAGTGAAGAAGCTCAAAGTTACAGCAGCATCTGCCCTAGCGCAGAAGGAAGCAAGATCAAAGCGTGAGCACAAGGAAACACCCATCTCTCCATTGTAGGAGATGTTGGCTATTGTTCCTGCTGAAGTGCTTGCAGACAAAAGGAGATAAGTGAATAACTGCACATGCAAGCACCACGAACACATAAAGACACCCAGCTTAAGCACTGCATGAAGAAACGCTCACTTTCAACTGAACTGAATGAGGTAGAAATAAATCTGAGCAAGAGTTATATGTACGTCTGAAAAAGTCTCCGTTAACTAGAAGAAAAAGGCAATACAGGAAAACCAACCTGATCAAATCCGTAAGTTGTCCACGTGCTGATCACAATAGAAGGAATGAAAGAAATGCCTAGAATCACAATATACATCAACTGTGTAAACTGCAGAGTAGAGTAGAAAATAACACACACATTTACAGCTATCAAGTACCTGCATCCACAGCACAGATCGACTGCGTTAGCATGAGATCTGGCAGTATTACACCACAGTGTCAAATGCCTGAAACCGTCAATACCAGAATTTGAAATTCATTAACACAATGCTACTTAGTACCCACTTGACAACACAAGAGACATTCATGGTTGCAACACCAGAATAGACACCAGGGTTAACTTCATGTGGTCGCTTCTTTACGGCATGGGCGCAGAATCAACACCCTCTCCTGCTCAATATTGCACTAAAATTTTAGCCTCTTCTATACCATTTTCAATCTCGGAGCATTCCAATCAACATGCTAAAACTTCCATGGAATCAAGGAAATGCAACCCAATGGGTACGTCGACGCAAATAGACGCCATTGATTCAAAGAGATAGAACTAATACTAGTCGTGGCCAGAAATGAAGACTTCACATATTACTTGTGTAATTCAGAGGTACTGAGCATCCAAGTGTCAATTTTTTTATCAAATATGAAGCTCCAGATAAATTTCTTTACAATGAAGGATGGAAAACAAAGCAGCCTGAATGACCCTGTGGAATTAAAATCCGAATAGACTTGCTCCTCAAACACTAATTTGCATTTTAAGCTGTAGCTAGTTCTGCTGGTCACTCAAGGATCTCCAGAAATTAGAATTAGAATTAGACCCTTTCACAGACTCATTGTGACCTTCACAAAGGTCATCTGATAAATCTCCAAAAAATTTCATCCACAAGAAAGACTTGAGGCAACGTTTGTCACGCCGTTAAATGTGATTTGTGGAATAATACCTGTAAGCCTGGAAGTGGTTGAATTTCAAAGTGCCGAAGTCTACCTCAGGAGTGTGCATGCGTTGGGAGTTGGAGCACATGACCACAATGGAGATAAGAGAAAGTACGATTTGTGAGAGGCGGAATCCGAAGCTGCAGGCTCCCATAGGAGTCAAGTGCTTGCGCAGCTTGGATTGTTTTCTTGAAGGAACTTCTACCATCGCTCTTCTTATAGAACCTCTTGGGGTTTCTGGCAGAGTTTCGACCTCCTTCGTCTCGGTAAAGTGCATCTGCAGACCTGCGTCGTCATCCGGAAGCCGTGTCATTTCGAAAGTGATGCTCTGGAGAGTAGGGAGATGAATACCGCCGCTGAGACCACGAAGAATGCCTCCACTTGCGCCACGATGGATATGGATTCGTCCAGGTGAAGCATTGACACGTTTTGCATGAGATTGTGCCCCATCTTCAGATCCCGCCGGGCCATCTGCGGTTCCTTGGTGGTAGATCGAATCTGTTGGCCAATCTACCTTGACTCCAGCTCTAATCTTACTCGAGACATAAGCAACATTTTTTCCATTAGGCTTGAAGTTGTTTAGATCAGGTGATTCCAACCGATTACCGTGTCCCTGAACCGCATCGATCGACTCCACCCCGCCATCTGTTTTCTCTCCATGCTCGTCCGCTTCTGCTTTTGAATCCGTCACAGTTCCCATTCTAATCCTTTCTTGTTGGCAGCACAGAGAAACTGCAATTCGCTAAGAGGTTTTTTCCGCGGTAACTTTACCACAAATATGAACCCCAGATAATGACATATGTCGAACCTGATATGTTCAGAAATCCCAAATCTCACCAAGTTTCAAGAATTACTCCTTTGTCCATCCTTGGATTAATGATCAATCTTAGCATACTCGACTACAAGATTTACACTTAAAAAGAAAAATCACCTCCTCTCCTAAACCTCCAGACTCTATGGTTTGCAATTCACCTTCGAATATCCCCACCACAAACCTCTTCATACCCAACAAATCTTGATGCTGACAATTTTAAAGCAGCTCAAACTCCCAACCAGCGACAAGTACCTTTCCTTCACTTGTGACAACAATTACCAGAGTTGGGAACACCTTATCCCTCTACTGAACACTTATGCACCCCTTACAAATCAAATAATCCACATAGCGCCGCTAAAACAACTGTACAATCAAAACGATGTTCCAAAAATACAAATTCCACATTAGATTATCTTTCCGACGGACACCCTGACAACATAGTCACACTGCATGTACAGTCTCATTTGTGAATGTGTCTAATCCCACGGTGGTCGTCTATGACTGTGTTTGATCACCACAAATGATCACTGTCATCGCGCCGCTAGTACATACAGAAGTTGAAAACCTACCTTACTGTTTCGTCCGATCATTCTAAACTGCATACAAAAAGTCCTTCGACCGACATAGTATGCTTCTGAATCGAACTAACATCACAGAAGTGTTGTGATGCAAAACGACTACCAGCCCGGACGTATGCAAGATGGTCAATCCAATGGGTATCGTGAACTCTATCGACGAAGCTCTTTCAAAAAGGAAAAGCCTCCGCAATATCTTGTGTCGGAAATGATTTCACAGTGTACATGAAGGCCAGAAGGGCTGCGAAGCTGTTCCGAATGACACATGGCGCGGCAAGAGTAACTTCAGGGCTTTTTAGTAGGCGGGAACCAGAAATCCAGGTCCTTGGTAAGTTACCGCGCTCACATTTCCCACCACCCACCCAACGCGAAATCAATAAAATGCGTCGCAAGGTAAGAGTTGAATGTTCGTTAACCAGGATTGATATTGGTGTCACATACCCTCATGTGGAGGATGTCGGATAATGATACCCGGTATAAGTTTGCCAAGATTGAAGCACGTCTTCTTCACAGCTCTAGAGTATTCTTGCACAAGACGATGGCGGTACAACCCCCAAGTGGTTCCCGCGATTGCTCTCGCATCTGAGTTATCTCGGCATTGGCTTCGAAGTCGTCTGTTTCCAGTCTTCTCCGGTGCTCCTACGGTTGCCAAAGCATCCGCATTTGCCTACTCACGAGGTCGGAGCTCCATTACCTCGATCTGCTCTATCTTTCCTAGTTCCTGTTGTTTTATGTGGAAGGGAAGAACAGCAATTTTGTTCATGTAGATAGCATCTGTAGTTGTTTAACATTTAGATGTTTTTGGGTTGTGTGTTTTTATTAATTCCTGGGGTGTAGTCACGGTTTTATCACTGGCGTTTCTGATTTTTTAGGGGAGAGTTGCGGAATGATGCTCGAGGGTTGAGTGTTTTGTTCTCGTGACATTTTATATTAACAATGATTGATTCAATGTGATGGAAGTGAAAAGATTTGACATTAGTAGTCATTGGCGGGCTTTCTCAGCCTTGTTCTGTTTGATTTGATGCTCGATTATGCCATCGAGTTTTGATAGACTTTTTTATTTTTATTTTAAACTTGCGGTGGTATTGATTGATTGTAAGCTATCAACCTTGCGAATTCTTAGGGTATCCTGCGAGATGCGTATCCTGATGTAAGTGTTTCTTTTTTGTCGTGTCAGGTTTTGAAGGGCAGGACTTGAATGATCGGGCCAGGAGTGCGATTAGCAACTATGTCTTCTCGCCGATTCTCCATGATCTTGCTTCTGCTTCTAGCGGGGGTGTTCATTTCTGGTTTGGAACAAGTAAATGCTGATAAAAAGGTGGTTGCTACAGCTAGAAAGGAAGACATCCCATTAATCAAATGTAGTGTGTGTGAAGTCATAGCTAAGCAATTGGTGCGTCAAGTCAAGGATAAGCGTGAGAAAGCCGCTCCTCGAAAGGTATACGTACCACCGAAGATCTTGAGTCACTGATGATTCAGCTTTATTTCATGTTTGGAACAAACCTCTCTCTTGTGCACAAGTATATAGCTGGTTGGCCGTCGAATGCCGTTCAGAATGTTATTTTGGTGAGTCTCTCTCCGGTCACGCTCTGTGAGCTTGAAGATGTTTTCAGGATACGTATGCCAATATTTTTTTTAATTGTCTGCAGATCACGGAACTTGAGATTATCGATGTCGCGGAGAATATCTGCAACATGAAAAAAGAAGAAAGTGACTGGATTTTGAAGCTCGACATTGTGGAGAAAGGGGACAAGCTTCAGGTAGGGTACAATATTTCTGCTGTGGCAGAAAAAGCTGTACTAACTTGTTAATTTTCCAATTCGTTTCTATTGAAAGCTAGGTAGAGAATAGTACATACCCTACACTAAGAGCGATTGTTTTCTGACTTCGGTATTGATTTTTGGTGGTCGTTGTCTTGAAGCTGGTAGAGCAACAGGAGGAAGGTGTTTGCAACACAGAGTGCAAAACTATTGAACGAGCTTGCCGAGAGGTACTGGGATCGTCTTTTCTAGCAACCTCTTACATTTACATTTTTATTATTCGGAAGAAAGTTGCCATTTTTCCACAGTAACTTCCCGCAATGCTTGAGTTGAGAATTTTCCTTCCCCGCATTTTTTCCATTTTCTAGTGGCGACCAGTTGATGAATTTCTAGGAAGGACAGGAATCAATTCATTCTCTTCTGAGGTACTTTTGTAAATACACAAGATTCCTCGGTTTTATGGCAAGCAGTCCGATCTAGTTGGACTAAGCTGGATACAAGCTCTAACACCTGGTGTTTTAATGAAGGTTATGGGAGATCATGACACGGATCTAGCAGAATATCTTTACAAAGCTGGGGCAACACGAGCTGGCTTGACGAAACTGCTCTGCAAGGATTTGAGTAAAGCCTGTGTAGGGAAAACACCCCGTGTGCCCAAGGTAGTACTAGATCACTTCATAAACTTATTTGTTTGAGTGGATACTACATACTGGACCCTTACGTTCACACCAAAGTGGAGGACACCCAAATCAATTTGTATCAAAGTTGAGATAGCTCAGATTGCAGTCTTTTCCGCATTTGGGTTCCATAATATTAGCTACATTCTCTCACAAACTTTGACTGTATGTGGTGTTGATGAGCAGGATAGAGTACCAGGAGAAGCTTTTACTCCAAAAGGAGGCAAGGAAGCTGAAATGGAGAAGCTCATGCGCTCTCTCAATGTGAGTTTATTGCAATTTGTCAACTGTTTGATCTTAGACTTAAAGAGCAACGCTAATCCTTAACTGCTACATTTAACTCCCGGCCTAATTTTCTACCAATTATGCCCAACTATTGCGCAGGACGTGCCAGGAGCACCTTCGATGAAAATGTTCTCCAGGGAGGAACTTCAAAAGAATCCCGGTTTAATGGGTGGTGGCCGCGGCTCTGATGACCCTGATGCCGAGGATGAGGAAGAGGACGAGGACGAGGACGAGGGTGAAACTGACGCTAAGACGAGTCAGGTATTTACGATTTATAGGCTCCATAGAACACTCTCCATGCCTTCCTGGTTTCTAATTAGCCGTGAGGGCGCGCAGGCCCAGAAACTTTACTACAAAACTAGGCTGAACATCGACGTGGGTCATTGTGGCTGTTCTCGCTTGCTTCCCTATATTTGTGTATATATGTGTTATCTAGTTGTTAGTTGCTTGAAAGCTTAAAATATTCCTGAAAGTCGTATTCATTAGGCTTGAGCTGCACCAGTTCCACTTTAAAATTCCTTTATTTAGGATCACTCATGTATGTGGTAGTGAGGGAAGAAATTTGGAAGCCAGTAGAAGGTTGCAGATAAACCGGATTCCATTGCTGAGGTTCCGGATGCTGTAATGTCATGTTACGTGATGAGGTTTCTGGTTGATACTTTTGTGACGTAAATCCCGCAGGTGAAAAAACCATTGGTGAAAACATGGGGAGACTCTGTTTCTAAACTTAGTAATGAAGTCGGAGCCCGCACTCAAAAGGCCATTCGAACTGCGTCGAAAAGTGTGAACAAAGCAATGCGAACCATTAGCAGTTGGTGGAACGGCAAGAAGCCAGCTAGAAAGGCTGCCCCATCATCTGGTGCTAGGCAGAAGGCAAGTTCACATGGGGAGCTGTAATATTCTCCCTTCGTTACTTTTTTAGCCTTAGCATTGCATTCACGAAGTTAGCGAGAAAAAATTTAGCACTACATGTCCAAAACAAAAGTACAAATTTAACTGTCATGTTTACTGTCTGCTTAGTAATGATTCATTATGGAAGAGACTATGAATAAGCAGAGTGGAGATAAGAAGAGGAAGCAAACAAATAAAGGTTGAGACTACAGATTGGAGCATCACCTTCTTTGCTTGTGTCCTGCAATGACCATCGCTTCTGATGGTGTTGCTGAAGCAACGACTACAGAACCATCTCAATTATCATAAGTACCACAAGGTTGAGGTCGTCATTAATTACGTCAAGTTTTACTCGAAAAATTTCGCATCATTCTGGGTCTCGTTAAACCAGAGATCCACTAAACCAGTATTAGTTCAAAATAAATACTTTTTTTTGTCATCACGATTGACAGACATTTAGCTTTCATTCTATATTCATGGATTCATCAGGTCCAAAGAGATGGATATTAAACTCAGACTTATGATGAAGACCATTCTATTACCCAGGAAGTAACTCGTCATATGAAGCTATTTTCCGTGAGGGATTGGTTTAGAAGCGACATTAAGTTTTGCATGAGCCACTTGATCAAATATACAGTGCAAGATGAAATTTTAGTGGAAATATTGTAATATTTATCTTACAAAATTGATTAGGCTTGGTGTTTTTTTATTATTATTATTATCCTTGCTAATCTGCTTAAAATGCTACGTAGTGATGTAAGATGCCAAATCAATGAGGGTGTTCTGGGCAGTTTTTGGAGAATATGTAATTTCTCCAAGCTCAATAAGATGAGATAGAAAAGATTGCTAGTATGAAACTATGATAGTTATATCATTGAATGACTCCTTGATCAATTTCGTTGTGTATAATGGGGGTGAAATAATGAGATCACCCTTTTCGTTGGTATTTTTTACGAAAATTTTCAAATCCCTTTCCCGTCTTTATCTTTGTAAGATAAATATTAAAATAGTAAAAACATAATAATAATTTTCAAACTTTTCTTGGTTTAATGAAAAAAATTAGATTATGTTTACAAAAGTTATTAATGTTTGACTTGGTTATACTTTTTTCAAGACATTTAATCATCAATATAATCTTATTTATTAACAAATGATGAAGTTTACATTTAAGTTCAATAGAGTTTTAAAATTAGTTGTAAAAAGGAATAACAATGGTTTGTAATTCTTATATATATATATATATATATATCTATATGTGTGTGTGTGTGTGTGTGTGTGTGCTTAAACAGATATTTTCTCTTGTTGTATTTTTTTTTTATCTTCTTTATTATTTTATAATTTCTTCAAATTTTTAGCAGTGATTGTTGCTTGAACACTCAAAAATAAATAAGTTATTGCACACATCATTCTAGCAATTTTGTGAAATAAAGATTAAAAAAACAGCATAAAAATTATTAAAATGTGAAGGTATAACAAATAAAATATTGGCAGGATAAGAATCATATTAAAAGAAATAATAAATAAATAACTACAAGACTTATGATTTTTTTTCCCATTGCTAAAGAATAAAAAAAAAATCAAATAAAAAACTAAATTTCTTAAATGTCAGAAAAAAATTAAAGATTTTAATACTGGACTGTCAATATTTAAAAATACTAGCAATGACAAATGAGCTAACATCAGAATCCAAACTATAGGAAATTTTTTAAAAATTATAAGAAAAATAGATTTCTTAAATAATTTCAGCATAATACTTATTCTAAAAAGTAAGATAAAAATCTAAAAAAGGGGGTTTTAGTCTCTTTAATCCAGAACCAGTAACAAACCCTACTGCACAAGTAACGACCCAGTGAGAAACCAGAGGCTGCTAGTTCCCAGATCCGTTCTCACGTTCCCAATTCAGTTCCCATGTTACCAAGTTCCCTTTACAGTTCTCGTGTTCTCAGAGGAGTTCTCAGGTTCCCCTGGCAGTTGTGTCGGCCGAAGTCGGTAGAACCAGCGGCAGTTGGGAGGCGGAACGATGCGCCTCATGGCCAGCCAGCCTTGGAAAGGATGATCCTCTCGCCTCTCCCGGTACTGTAATGTAATGTAATATAATGTAATGGAAGGTAGTCAATGTAATGCATTACATCTTTGCTCCACCCCGCTCCACCACCCACCCTACTCGGTATCTCCTCAACCGCCACGCCGCTCTGCATCGCCTCTCTTTCTCTCTCTCTCTCTCACATGCTACCACTTCTTGCTTTCTCCCCGATGCATGGGATCCTCCGCCTGTAGTGTCGTCGGTGCCAGGATGCGTTAGAAGCTATAGCAGCGGATTTGGAATTGGGATATTTAGGATCTCTGGGAGTAGAGCAGGAGCTGATCATGAATTTGACGTTGGGAAACGGGCAGCGTGAGTGAATAGAGTGGGGTTATGATATTAGCAGGTGGATCGTGACCTTGTTTGCTTCTCGTTTCTGAGAATGTCACAATTGGGAACGCCGATGGTCCAGTGCACAGACAAGAACATTCTCGTGACCCTCATGTACAGCAAAACCAGCCAGCAGATTCTGTTTGTGGAAGCTGGGAAAGAGTTCGTGGATCTGGTTTTGGGGTTCCTAACCCTGCCCATTGGCCGTGTCATCAAGCTTCTCTCCGACAGTGAGCGTTTCTTCTAAACCCAGCTGCGATCGCCAACTCATTTGTTACTGCCGGTGTTGGGTCTGCATTCGAATCAGTGTCGGGTTCTGAAGTTTTCATGAAATTAGGGTTTGTTAAGTCACGTGTATTGTGTGGCAGCTTCAATTTCTTTTTAGGCGTCGCAATTCTCTAAAACCTTCTCTTCTCGACCTCGGATTATGATGGTCTGTTTCTTGCATGAAGTGCTTATGCGCAAGTATTTAAGAGCTACACGCGCACCGCATAGATTTCTGGATCGAGCTGGCAAGTTGAGACCATTTACGCAGAATTCTCTTACAAATGGAGACATTTAATGTCGAAGTTCCTCGGAATGATGCAGATTCATTGATAACCCCCAAGGCTGTAGGCGGCATTGCCAATGTTTTCAATAGCATCCAGAGGCTTGAAGCTGAGGAGACTCTTTGTACCAATAAGATGATGCTCGTAGATCTGAAGCCAGTGCATGGGCTGGGTCACTTGGCTACAGAGGATGAGATTAGACGTTCGAGAGAGGGTACCTCGGAGCCCAACAACTCTGAGCAAAGTTTCTTCTTATGCGGCGCAAGTTCTCATTGCGCCTTTGTCTCTCCAACGCACGTTCCAGTTGTTGTTGTTCCACTTGAACACTTACTATTAAATTCATCTTATATTATTGATGGGTGGCAGATTTGTTTGAACTTTAGATTGAAAAGAGGTAACCTGACACAGTTAAGGGGATTATACTCTCCACTTTAGAGCCCAATGACCTTTAAGGTATTTCTTAATTATTTTGGTGAATCCAATTCATTTAGAGCACAGCCACAGCTCATGAGTGTGACACCGCGGATTCAAGGTTTTAAATTATCTGCTTGACCAGATGCGGAGCGAAATGCCCTCGGCACCAGAAGAAGATAACCACGCAATGCAAGATAATGCATGAGAGCGAGACGTCACCGAATACTGAGACACATAATGGTTATGTGAAATGCGGTAGCAAATATTTTGTGACTGATAATCTTGAGATCTTTCCCAGCTCCAAATCCTTGGCTTTGCTGAAGAAACTGAATGTGGAGAACATGAGCATCTTCACACCTTTAACAATCGATATACTTGGCAGCAATTATTCAGCACTCTTTTAGGCAGGAAAGTATGAACCAGGTCATCATCATGTACTATCTAAAATGGGTGCTTTTCTGCAGTTGATGGTGAAATTGTGGGTGATGTCATTGCCTTCAGTGAAACTTGATTATTAACTGAGACAATTCTGAATTCCATTCCCATGAGAGTAGTACTATTCATCAGTCATAGTAATGATTTCTCCGAGGCTCTATTGTAATGACCCCCCCCCCCCATTTTCAGGTGTTGCAACTACTGAGGGCATCCCTGACATCCGTCAACGTCATGAGTGAAGTGTTCGGAAAATCACTTGGGGAAACCTGTGTGATTACAACCAACCAAGTGAACCTTCCCTCGACACCTTCACAATACAAAACCTTCAGCAGCGAGGAAGAGAAGTCGGAGCAGGCTCCACAACACAATCCAGTGAGACAGGCCCAGGAAATTGCACGTCATTTGGGGGCAAGGACTCCACACTGCCTTGAGGGAAATCCAGGACACAGCATTTCACAGCGGCAGCCTTGTGAATTACGAGAAGGAGAGGGAGCACAGGATCAGCTGTGTTTTGCGAGACTTGAGCTACCCTGCCTCAAGTGTCACGTCCCATTCCAGCAGATCAAGCTCCACTAGTGTGGGCACAAAGCAAACCATCAGATCGAATGGAGACCACACGATGCCTGGGCCTTGCAAGGAGATGCTCATGTTGGAGAAGCAGGTGGACAAGCTGATGGCGAGGGTGTGTCATCTCACCTCCTTGGACCACCCACCCAAGCCCAGATCTGCCCCACCAACTGTGAAGCCTCCTTGGATTACTCATCACTCTACTTCTCGCGTTCGAATACCTCCCAGAGTCTGGCATCTCTGACACGCTTTATTCTCTTCTTTTTGCTCCATGCGGGTCTTTCTTCATTTTTTAGCCTTGAGAATGAATTCTAGTTTACCATTGTTCATGGGTATGGCAAACAAGAGGACGGTTTTGTCATAGCTGGGTTTTGCTGTTGGAACATCTTCAGCAGAGACGTGGGTTAGCGGCAACAAATTGCAGTAGTTATACTGATTTGATAGGAGAAACTATGAAGATTCCACTGCTTCTCTCTCTCCGTGACTACAATCAGCGAAGTTGCAACCTCATTGGTTTAACATGATGTGGCAAATATATTTCAGTGGGTTCTTTTCAAGAGCAAATTCCAACAGTATTTATTTGATGTCCATTCATCCACTGTAAATATCACTTAAGTCAATGACCATCATATGGGTATGTAAAAATAATTATTAAATAATACCCAAAACTGTTTATTTTCCAAATGACTAGAAGAAAAAAAAAGAAAAAAAAGAGAAAAGGAGAAGTCAAGTGTTGAATGTAAAACATATGGAATAGAAGACTTAAGGTGTCTAGAACCTTTTTTGTTCAAAAAGGAATATCAAAGATAGTAAATGAAGTCACATGCAATTCATGGTAGTCTAATGAATTATTACTACAGAATACCAACAAGAAATTTTAGATTCATGATGGCGAAGTTGTATTTTACTTTTGTAGGTGTTAAAACCTTTTAATTGCTTTATTTCTACAAGAAAATATATTTTTTTAAATAAACCATGAAAACATTCAGAAAAAAATTATTAGTATCAACATTTTTAAAATATGTCATTAAATATACTCTTATGTAATTTGAATTCTAAGTAGTTTAGAATGATTGGAAAAATATCTTAAGAAATGTATGATTTTCATTATGTACCAACTCTAAAACAATACTTTAGAATTTTATTATTAATTATTATTAGGTTATAAATTTATTATTTAACAAAGATATTATGTTACAAAATATTTACATACATTTTATATTTACAATGTCAACTTGTAAGTTTCCAACTAGATAAATATTGCATAAACAACATTATTTATAATAAATAAGATTAAAAGACAAAATTTTAGCAAATAATTTATTTTATAATAATCTCTATTTTGATATTATTAGAAGCATATCAACAATAAAAAAATAAAAATTAAAAAAATGTTGTTGAGAGCTTTAAAATAAATCAAAGCTACATAAATATAAACATTGGGTGCATATAAAGAATGCTCATTTTTTTTATAAAAAATTAAAAAATTAAATTTCCTTAGTAGCTAAATTTTATTTATATTTTATAAAAAGAAATTTATCAAATCATCTACAAAATATCATTGAAAAAATTCATAATTATAAATTGAAGTATTGTATGCCTAAAAAATGAAATTAATCATAATGTTTATTTAAAAAATATCATAAATTTTATTTAACTAATAAGTGATTATAATCAAAGTAGTATTTCTATTTTAGTATGTACATGCTATAATGGATTATGTTGTTATTTTTGGTAATACTTGTGGAATTTTGACTTCTCCAATTTAAGACCTTTTTTTTTTTTTTTTTTTTTTTTTCTCTTCTTCTCTTCTTAATTACTGATTGTTATGTTTATCAATAAAATTTCTTTGTAAGATTGTGAAGTGTTAATCTACTTTTTGTTATGTTAATTTTCAAAAAGATATCATAAGCTTAGCGTTTTTGCTCGAACATCCAATATAATAATTTCAAGATAATATTTGTTGGAATCCATTGAAAGAGTTATTTTAGATAATAATCACTAGTAATGCAATGTTTTAAAATTCAATATTTTAAGTTATTATCTATAATAACTATAATAATGATTTATAATATTTAATATTTTGAAAAATAAGAAATAAATGTAATTTTTAACTAAATCTTTTGCAAGATGATTTGTGTAAAATGCCCTATTGTATAAATATTCAAAATAAAAAATATAAATATTAGAAAATATTAATTCTACACACCTTAAATTAGGTCATGATTAGAATACATCAAAACGGTAATTGATTCAAAAGATAAAAGAAAAAAAAATCAGTATTTGATAAATATAGCAATATTAATAGAAGAACTTACATTTCAAGAAAGAAATTTTACCAAAAGTGGTAATCCAAACACTGAACAGCACTAGTAATTAAGGACTGACACTGAAAATGGTGTGGTGAAGACTTGATCCTATTGGGCTAACAATGGTTACACTAGTTTCATTACGGTGGTTCATCAAAGGCAGGAAAAAAATCGTTAACGTTGTTGTTGACTAACAAAACCGACGATGAAAGAATGAGATGTACCTCAAGTTCAGGTCAAAGAGCCACAATCTTGTGACGACACCATTTGTAATGCAGAGATTCAAATGGTGAGTGTGGGGTTTCTGTGCAGGAAACTGAAGTGTTGCTGAAGGTATGAAGCTCCAAGGACGCTACTTTTACACATCGTTCACAAGAGGGCTGAACCTTCCGAAGGTGGGTGTGAAGAGAAGGCTCAGCTGTTCGTCCCCAACTGGCAATTCCCAAAGGTTTCCACACCAGATGCTGCCATGAATGGTCCACATTTATTCACACCCACACAGATAGCTATTCAGCCCTGAAACTCATCAGCGCGGTGCTCCAAGCCCTGCTTGCGTTACTTTAGTTCTGCAACCTCATCTTCATTCCTGAATGCTCGAAAACCTTAACCTTCTAGCAGAAATTGTTTTCATACAGTTCGATGGTGAGACCGCCAAGAGATGTGCTTCTCTTAGCTCCTGATCCAGCTAAAAAATCGTTAACGTTGTTGTTGACTAACAAAACCGACGATGAAAGAATGAGATGTACCTCAAGTTCAGGTCAAAGAGCCACAATCTTGTGACGACACCATTTGTAATGCAGAGATTCAAATGGTGAGTGTGGGGTTTCTGTGCAGGAAACTGAAGTGTTGCTGAAGGTATGAAGCTCCAAGGACGCTACTTTTACACATCGTTCACAAGAGGGCTGAACCTTCCGAAGGTGGGTGTGAAGAGAAGGCTCAGCTGTTCGTCCCCAACTGGCAATTCCCAAAGGTTTCCACACCAGATGCTGCCATGAATGGTCCACATTTATTCACACCCACACAGATAGCTATTCAGCCCTGAAACTCATCAGCGCGGTGCTCCAAGCCCTGCTTGCGTTACTTTAGTTCTGCAACCTCATCTTCATTCCTGAATGCTCGAAAACCTTAACCTTCTAGCAGAAATTGTTTTCATACAGTTCGATGGTGAGACCGCCAAGAGATGTGCTTCTCTTAGCTCCTGATCCAGTTTTATAACCTGCCTTGGAAAACTCGCTACTGTTGGTTGTTCCTAGTTAAAATGGTCTATTGGCCAACATAGGAGTCCCCATACGAGAACACTGGCAGCAAGGCTTGTCAATACACTGAGGGAAAAAAGCGTCCTTCTTTTCTTCATGGACTGTACATTGGCAAACGGCAAGCTCAAACACAGGGCATTAACATCAAGCATCCAATTTCTCCTATTCTGATATTCGCTTACAATGTTCAACTCCTCTTGTAATACCACACTGACAAAATACTTTGCACACTGATTGAGGGAAGGCTTGTGTAGAACTAACCAACGATTTTAGGATCGGTGCAGTACTTGCCGAACACGTCGTTTAGCACATTTGTGGAAGTAAAGGAGAATTTCAACAGCTCTAAGATCTGTAATGAATCCCATCAGCAAGTATTCACTAACAAGAACGATATTGTTTCGTAAAATATTCTCAGCTCGGTCAAAGGAGACAAAGGAGACAAAGAAGGTAATCACCTCGGCTATCACGACCTTCACTGGCATGGTGTCCAAGTCACCAACTCGTTCAGACCGAATAATCTGAAGGGTAATAAGGGCCTTGATTGCCTCAGAGCTTGCGTATATTTCAAGAGTGTTGGTGACCATATACTTGGTGCCTTCCCTCACGTATCCTCCTCTGAAGTTCTGCCAAGCACAACTTCATATGGCCAAGCTTTAAAGCGATAAACTCATCCCGCAATGACCACAACCAACTTTGTATGTATGTATGCCTATGCAAAAATGAAGGGAATGTAAAGGATGCAGGATCCGAGGACCCTTGCAGCGAAGTACATACGATAGAACGAGCTCGTGGAGCGGTAGAAAATGCCAGCTGCATGTCGCGACTTCCCCTCGTCACTCGAACAGAGTCAAATGCAGAAACTACAGGTTTCTCTGTCAGAGATAGCCTATTTTGAGCTCTACTTGGAGAGCGCTGAAGCTTGGTAGACGGGGCGAGGCGGGGCGAACCACAACTCTGCGAGGCACATTGCCGTGCACGCTGTAGTCTAGTACCAACATGAACTGACTCGGTATCTGGCTGCTCCTGCCCAATTAGAGTTCTGTAAATCTGTCAGCTTTTAGACCCGTCACAATTGACAGCAAAGCAGCACGACACCTCTATAGCAGCGCTCTCGACTAAGAGCATTTCCAAATCCCACCAGTGGTACAATATTCTTGCAAGTGATGCTTGGTTTCGAGTTTGTTGGAAAATAATTTTACTAATATTAGCAAGCATCGCAAATGCCATGGAGAGAACGGAAAATAAATTCTCTCCATGGCATCTGCGATGATACATAAGAGCAAAATATCCATAGCCTAACCTGAGGGATTTCGTCACTCCCTTCAATAGCGTCACTCTGAGAGGCCACATTTCTCTCCACAATCTTGAACGGAATGTTCATTTTCTTTTTGTGCTTGGGGCACTTAGTGGCTGAATTTGAAGTGAGGAAACAGCAAACATTCCCACAACCATAGTAATTTGCAACTTCCGAACCTTGTGTTGACTCGTCAGAGCTAATGAAGCTCTGCGAATCCAGAAGCTTGCCAGCTCCGAACGGCGTAGCTGGCTTCGGATCAACCAAACAATTCTTCTCCACCATCATCTCCTTATCATCCAGCTTTGCTACGCTCTGTAAAATGTTGGAGATGGAACTCATGGCGAAATGCTCACCAGAGTCTGTCTTTCCTTTTCTAGGGGCTGGAGAGTAGGGACAACCGGGAGGGAATGTAACGGTAGTCGAAGGCCGAGGCGCAACTTTGCACTCTGGCCTATGAATCATGGAGGCTCCTTCAAGAAATTTTATGATGCGACCAACAGGTAGGGTAAGAAACCCAATCAGCGTGTCCACAAAGTCTTTCCCGGCTTCCACACACAACACTTGCCTGGTTGCTTTAGAGAAGAGTAGCGTGATGGGGATGCTATCATCTCGCTTGCATGGTGGCATACCACAGTTGACGCATAGCTCCTGTGTTTCGCTGTCCCCCGCCATTGCAAAAAGTATCGGTTTTATGTTAGGGCTAACGGCCCATGCCTCGCCCTGGAGTCCCTTCCTTGCGCAAACGTTTCAACAGAAGGTGGACCTGAAGTGGTGCATCCCAGGAACTGCTTCCAGGGGAATTGTTAATCCAATCTTGACTGACAAAGCCGTAGGCATCTCCCGAAACCCTGACTAGAGCTTCGCTTGTGGTGTAGTTAAGCACATGCAGCATGTTATATGGAATTCCAAAATGAGATAGCCTGCATTCGAGTGTCATACTGATCATTGACGCATTTAAGAGAAAAGTAAGAAATTTGAAACCTAACAGGTAATAATTGCCTTAGTGCTCAAGTGCCGAATCTGGAATCATACTACGAGTAAAGGACGAGTAATTTGCGCTAATCAGACCTCTGAAGACAGTAAACAGTGACCCTGAAATTGATCGAATGACACAGAAGAAGGGTTTTAGGAAATTGTGGCTTGCAAATGGCACAGTGCAGTGCAACAAAACGAAGAACAATATCACAACTCCTTTTTCTGGTACAATGCAGAGCTATTTCGATAGACACCTCATGACCAATCTTTCAAATATGATACTCGAAATGCAGGTTCCTGCCACCAATGAAAGCACAGCTAACAATGCTGCGTAGCGCATCACATGAAAGTAGGATGCAGTTCAGTTCTGGATTTAAAAGATGAGGAAGAAACTCACTTGTCTACATACGCACAAATTAGAAGATCCGATTACATGGGTCCGTCGCAATGATCGCAACAAGATAAGTCCGAAAAGGTGAAGATCACGTTCAGTGCAGTGAGCCTAGGAAGAGGCAAAATTATCTGCGACGCGAAACTGGCGAGGGACGTGGTCGACAAGGATACGCAACTCGCGCACATGTATGCGAAGCGTTTCAACTGAATCTCATAGGTCACTTCGTTATCAGATCTGGACTCCATCCATCTCCAGCGCTTTTTTCATTCATAAATGTACACGTGGAGCTGTGAAAACGTAGTAGATGCAGGAAAACATGCTCTCCTAACACACCACTGAACAGATACATGGAAGTGCAAGAAAAAATGACAATTCTATAAAATAGAAGTTCTACTTCGTGATACAGATCGACAGCTTGCCACAAAACGTCGAACTTCTATGAAATATTGAGGTGCAGTAATACTACATTACACACGTTATAGTTGAAGAACCATGTGACAACCACTATTCACATTGATACACAAGGTTGCAAACACGAAACCGCACTCAGAGTGCCCACGAAGAGCGCAGTACGAAAGCAGGGGTTTGTGACTGTTTATTTAGAAGATACACTAAACCAGGTTGTAGAGTAAAACCACGTCCCATACTAAGCTTCAGAAATGCCTCCATTTGCAATTGCATGTCACATGATCCACCTGATACAAAAATATGGCTAGAACGTGAGACAATCTTACATTCAGCAGACGATGATGCAAAACAAACTTGAAGGAACTAAGAAAACATCAATAAAAGCAAGAGCCCAGCTATAGTTGGACAAAAAATTCCTAGATTTTCTAAGATTTTCAACTACTATTTCTTAGATTTTCCAGAGGAAAGTATATCTTTAGATGTCGTAGCGAAAACCAGGTTTGCTCGAAACAAAGCTTACTAATGCAATGTAAAAGTTGAATAGCATACCTAAACCATCTTCAGCACAAGTATATCTAAGATCTTCGTTTCTGGTAGAGTTCCACAAGTCCACTTTTGAGCTACCCACACACAAACCCCAACCAGCCGTTGTCCCGACAGTTTTTGTAAGGCTCACTGTCCATTCGATTTCTCTGTTCTCGCCTTCTTGGAGCCAGTACTCTCGGTCAGCCTAAAACAAGCCACACAGTGCAGGAGTATGACTGATTGTATAAATAGTATGATTCAAAATCCAGCGAACACAAAGTTAACCTCAAATCACTGCCATTAAGGACAAAATTTCAATACACAACATGGTTGAGCATCACCAACCTGGGCCCAGCCTGCAAGGCTCACATTTGCACCAACATCAATTTCACCAGCTACTGCAATTGACTGCATTGCACTGCCATGTGTCTCCGGAATAGTAATGATTCCACGATCTGGTTCACCATTAGGTGTTCCCCATGAGGCGTTTGCAGAATATCCAGATGGATTGTCTGATGATGTCCGAAAATCACGTAGCCTTGTGTCCATGGATGTTCGAAAATCATACATTGATAAACTGTCCATGGGTATTCGAAAATCTCGGGGACTGTTCACAGGTGGGCTACTGGAACCCGAATTTTTCCGACTATGATGAGACTTCGAGAGAACTAGTGGTCCCATTTCACTCCAGTGTAAACCTCTGAAAGAAGGCAAGGGAGGACTAGGCCAAAAGCGATTAACTGCCGAGAGCGAGAACACAGAGTTCTCCCACGGTTGAAACATAATATGTGCCAGGGTGCTGAGACAGAGAGGCCCACTATTCGCTGGCCCATCAGATAACAATGACCCAGTGCCCCAGCCAGAAAGGAACTGTGACAATGAAACGAGCGCCGTTTTTCCTCTCAAAGTAGCTCCTAAAGCGGAACCCACACAATCGTGGTACATGGAAGGTCCTACCTTGGCAAATTGTGTCAATGCATGACCCTGCAAAACAAAATCAATTGATTAGACACTGTCCTTCTTAGAAAGCTTGACCAGATTAGACCACCCCCCTCAGTAAATAAAATTGGTAAGTCGATAGCAGAACATAGGTGATAATCACCATCATAATCACCTGCAATGGGTTCACAGTCTCCGTGATATCACTACCACGCGCTCCTAGGGGCGCAACCACAACATTTAAATCATCTGTAACTTGAGCATTGTAAACGAGCTTGGTAACTGAAATGGGACCCCCAAGTATGCTGCCATCACTACCAGAGTGCCCAGCTGAACATTCCGTGATCATCACATCTCTCTCCCTGTAAGAGGTCTCGAATGTGAAGCGCACATCCAGGCCTGTGTGAAGACCAGCTTGCTCGAGCGCAGCACGGGAGTGTCGACTGCTCTCATCGTCCAATAAAACGAAAGCACCGCCAGAACAAACTTCCCCCTTCAGTTTCGTCTTAGCACCACCTCCTTCAAGCGAAGTTTGCCCCTTTGATGGACGTAGGCCTGTGTGAAACTCAAGTCTATCCAGACGCTCTCTGACTCCCAACAAATCTGAAAAAGTCTCACGCTGTAGTCTCCTCAAGGCAGCAATCTGCACAGAGGATAGCTTGTCAACTGAATCAACAAAAAGAAAATATGAAAACAAACAACACAGACTAAATATATCGTTTATTTCAAATAGCATATTAAATGTGTAAGCAGTTCGCAAGAAGGGACTGCAGAGTTTCTTAAATTACAAACCTCAGAGCTCTTTGCAGGAGTCTCATCTCCATTGTTCTGCTGAATAATCTGCGTCGCGTATGCAGAGGCTTCATCCTTCAACGCAACTCGCTCGTTTTCCATTCCATTAGAACCAACCAAATAGCCTGTTAAATTGCACAGTGGACAACCAAAGGCTCGGTCTGAGTTCACACTCCGCACACTACTACTAGGAACCAGAGGAAAAACTGGGACTCCACAAACCAGGTCAACAAGTTCGGTTCATTACAACCTAAACAGAAAAAATAGGTGAATTTCTTGCAAGTATAAGATTTCATGAAATGTGAGTCCTTGCCAGATTGTTTTCAATGTCTACCATTAGCAGGAGATAGAAAATTAAAAGAACTGTATGCAGCCTTTTCGATTGATCTAAAAATTTCACGAGCCGTACCCTTGTCGGACGCTTTGGAGGGCACCTTTGCAGACGAATGCTCCGCAGCCCCAGCTCTATTATTCCTTCCAAGTGGCAGATTATCAAAGGGCCCCTTTCCACCTGAAGCATCTCCTGATGTGGAGGTCAAGGACGCCAGAACCGGTGCGCGCTGATCCAGATTCTTAACAGGCGCTTCCTTGCCATGTTGCTGTTCATCATCTCCCTCCTCCTTCTCAACTCCATTACTAACCAGAACCTCCCTCTCTATTTCCCATCCGCTTCCGTCATTGCCACTACTCCCATCCCCGCCATTCCCCTCATCCCCACCACCCCCACCTCGAATTCCACTATCACCTTCACCTCCATCTCCAGCTTCGCTAATCTCCAAACTATCATCCGCTTTGGAATTCCCTGCATTTTCCCAAAACGGATGCCAAAACGAGAACCCTGATGACGCACTCGCCACAATAGAACTCCCCAACGTCCTCTCCCCTAGGTCGCTCCACCACAACGACTTCGATCCTTGCGAAATTTCCTCCGTGGATGTCAAGGTGCGGCGAACCCTGCTACGTCCAGCAAATCTCCTGGAACTCTTCGCACCTCCCCTCGATGATAATACCCTTCTCGCACGACCACTCGAACGCAGCTCACAACCATAATCACCCTCTTTTCTCAAACATTTGGTGTCTTCCCCATGCTCCAACGCTAAATCAACAAAATGAGCTCTCTTGCTGCGAGGCATCTCCGACAGCCAGGACACATCGTTCGAATCCCCGAGCTTCACGGGAATGTCCGCCCCGGAGCTCTGCGCGAACTGCGCTTGCAAGACCCCCGATGTGGCGTAGTGCCACAACCCTAAACCCATGGATACTTGGAGCAATCCCCACACCCAACTCGACAATCTCAACCTTTTTCAGGAATCCTGCAACTCAGCCATCATATGCCAATCGACAATCGACACCCAACTCTCTGGAGTACAAAAGCTCAACGATTGCTCCAATTTTCGCTCATCGTCACTGGCTGATTGCATAAGAACATAGCTTGACTTCTTCCGAGTAATTGCCCCATCCCATTCACTGACGTCGTCGACATGACGCATTCTCCAGGTGAGCATCACGACGGAATAATAAACACAAAAGAAAAGCAACATGATCCACGCTGGAGATTGACGAAGTCCGTAACTTCGCACAAGACTCTGAAAAAGGAGCTCGTCAACAATCACGGCGGGTGCACACTTCATCGAACGGATGAGAGCCAGTGCGCATTCTTCGACAGGCATGAGTTGCACTTCGAACCTTTATTTTCTCGAAAGAATATACCTCTGATAACGAATTTCACCACTGGGGAAGAGTAATTCCATGGAAAAGAGATTATTCCTTTTGAGATGCACTAGGTGTGAGCCATGTGGTCGAAGTTGGATTCGACTCAGGTGCTGTATTACATTGAAGATGAGGGTTTCAACTGTCGGAGGATTCGAGCATTGGAGACCCAAAAGCTGGAAAACAGTACTGATCTCCATGAGAATGGTGACGATTTTCTACATCGGGTTATTCAAGGCCGAAAGCTGATCAGTGCCCTGGGGATCTATAACCCTGATACCTATCAACGCGGCATTAGTTTCCTACCAAAAGAAGTAAAACTATAATTAAACAGTTCAGTTTGTGCTTACGCAGGACGTCAAAGAGTTATGGGAGGAGTTGTTTGTAGGTAGCAAGAATTTAACTGATTTCTCAAATTATTCAGCCTGAGTTTTCAGCAGTTGTGCCATCGGCCCTTTCCTTCACCTAGTCTTAGCAATTGTAACTTCAGCTCAACAAGAGTTAGAGGCGTTGAAGGATTCCGGCACGCAACGTAGATCTCCACAGCCGAATGCCAATTCGGACCTTAATTGGACTATTACATGCCATGCAATTGGCATTGTTTATGCTAGAGTGATGATTGTACGATTATTAGTTGTGTTGAAAGCATTTGAGGCGATTTCATTCTATTCACTGTAACATTAAGTACTTCAGAACCAATTGTAAGTGTAACATGTTCGTGATCAATAGCTTGGACATTAAGCATCTTGAACAACCCGCTCTGCATCACCACAAAAAGGGTCGGGTCTCGATCTCAAAGTCGATATAAAGTCTTTCTGCGGTCCAATCAAATTTGGAAACAGTGTTAGTCCATTTTGTAAAGCAGACTTTTTTTCCACCACGAACACAGCTTATACGAATCCTTACAAACAATTGCACACAACTAGCCTGGAGTTGAACTTGTATGAGCATTATTCCACGAGGGGATAAGGATCGTTAGTATTGGTGCAAGTCACATGATGTTTCAACCAAAGTAATAAACAAAAATTCACAATAGTTCCAGCGTAGAAAATCAATGCTACCTCCGTTAGATTCAACAGCAGTTGAAATTCACCTGTGCACAATGGAACGTTCCAAGCCATCATACAAAAACACTTCCTACTACATTGCAACTGCACTTAATTATTTCTTCCATGATGATCAGTACCAGACAAGTTTCAAGACATTATTTTCTTGTGTGAATATGCTAGGCAATCAAGGAATCATCAACGAAATATCAAGCACACCTTTAGGTCCATGATAGCTCGTTGCAGCGACTCCCGCGCGGAAGCATAGATACGACCATGTACAAACCCAATTACAGTGACTATTGCCACAACGCCTTGTCTCTCATTTATGTCCGCAGAGAGTAGAATCATGACCACAACAAAATTAATCAAAATACGAGATAAAACACTTAAAGCCAAAGAAGTGTGCACAAATCAGCAGTGTGGGTATGTCAAAAGGGTGAATCAGAACTAACCCCCTGTTCTTCCATTATTATGGACATGTGCAAGGTGTTAAACAACCTGTTGGTTGCCCAAAATCTTTACACGGCTATGTGTGCTTAAGCTAAAAAGTGCAATAGCATACATGTTATGGGCGACAATCTTAGTCTGTAGAACATTTTGGATCACACAAGGAACCCAAAGTTAAAAAATAGTATAAGTATTCCAAAATCCTAAGTCTCAACACCAAGAAAGTGGAACATGAAGCTGACTGTCACTGCTTCACTAACCACAGCTACGGCGGACTTGAAGCGTGCAGATACAACTGATATGTTTGCATATAAATTGTCCCAAACAGTTCTAGCAGAACCTCCATTAATATTCACAAGTAATGATAATCTGTATTGCACCGAGCAAACAATCGTACTAAGAACATCGATGGTGGCAAGCTTTTCCCACAATCCACTAGAAACATGAAAATATGCAAGATAGAAATACTCAGAAGAAGGTGCTCATCATTTTCAAAGGTTCAAAGGAGACGCAGATGCCACTGCCCTCACTGCCCAGCTCAAGCGCCGCACCAAACAAAGACCATCTTCAACTTGACGTTTTAAGCCTTACGGATTTTTTTATTCAAAGCAAGACCATATCGTGGCCTGATATCGTATAAGGACGATGACCTACCACAACATCGATGTCGAGTTTCTTGAAGCATCCTCAGAAGCAAACATAATTCTACCAACCACATCCATTACTCCAACAAGCATCGTCGACACCTGCACAACACAAAGACTCCAATAAGTACGGTTTCGAAGCGGAAACTTTAACCACGATCTGCTGGGAAGAATAGCCCTGATTCATATCCACAAGCAGTTCAGATGGCATCTCACCTGGCGAGAGTGTTCGGCAACCCAAACAGCGTCAATAATCACGGAAGGGTTGGCTAATGCTGGCTTTGGATTTGCATTCCTCTTACCGCTGTTCTCTTTCTTGCATCTATATGCACCTGTCAGCTTAGCAGCTTCGTCTCTACTTTTACCTGGGATTGAAACGAGAGAAAATATAGAGTCACGGAAAAGTTATGCACCCGATTCTCCATCTGATAAAACATTCGATTCCCAAAGTTCCAATTCGGCACGCAGCACATGATTCTCATCTCATCTACGGTAGAATATCAAAACAAATTTAGAATGATGATAACAAAACCTACTTGGTGCGCGAAAAAACAGAAGAATTATCGATGAATTAACTCACTGAAGCAGGAAACAAATGATAAGAAAAATCGCATGCACTTGCAAGCGGGACTGGGATAGTGCATCGACATACAATTCCATTTGCCCCTTATTATTCTCTACCACAATCAGCACCATTCTGCTCCCACTCTCCGCTGCTTCCCAATTTTCACACAATGCAAACAGCGCCGAACCTTCAAAAGTCACTTCGAAAGCAACACACTGTCCCGCTCCTAAAAAAGCAAACTCTAACCATTCGTCTGCCCTTGAATATGTCAAAATCAACTCTCCTCACGGTTTAGGGGTCTGCCCACATTGTCCACTTGTCCGCAACAAATGATCTTCAACAGAAATACTAAATCCAAATCTCCCAGGGACACATGGCTCTGATAAGGACAGTATAACAAGTTCTTGTCTGGGTTATTCAAAACTTTTTACTGGGCATTTGTAGTTTCAAATGGAACGTGTCAAGCAACTTCTCCCTAATATTTATGCCAGCTTTTACATTATAAATGCCGACCATCAGACAGGCTCAAAACTGGGACTAAAAATAGGGCTACCCACTTCTTATGAAAGGAAAATTAGGGTACGGGTTCCTAAACCCTAGAGCACTTTCCGCGCTGGGTTTTGGTTTGACCTGTACCGCCTTAGTTTTGCAGAGTGATTGAGGTTTGGGTAGAAGTCGGAACTGGCGAAGCGCATGGTAGTAGTGGAGTAGTTTTGTCGTTGGTAGGGTTTTCAGCTTGCAATTCTTTCCAGTGGTTAATAGGAATTAGCAGCCATGCTTCGTATAGTGAAGCCCAAGACGAAGAGGGCAAAGCGGGAACTAGAGAAGCGAGCTCCCAAGCTTGAGGAGAACTCGAAGAAGCTGCTGCTCTTGCACGGGACCAAGACCACTGCGAGTATCAAGCAAGTGTTATCGGATTTCTACCACCTTCGCAAGGAGGGTGGGAAGGCTATTAAGTACACGAAGAAAAATGACGCGATTCGACCTTTCGAAGGTGGAGGCGAGACATCTCTGGAGTTTCTTTCCCAGAAGACGGATTGTAGCTTGTTTGCGTTTGGTTCGCATTCGAAGAAGCGGCCTAATAATTTAGTTTTCGGGCGCATGTTTGACCACCATGTTTATGATATGATGGAAGTAGGAATAGAGGATTTCAAGTCTATTGAGACCCTTGGAGGAGGGAGGAAGGCTGCACCTCAAGCTGGGTCTAAGCCATGCTTTGCTTTTGTGGGTGAGAAGTTTGAATCAGACCCTAAGTTTCGTCATTTCAAGGAGCTCATTGTCGATTTCATGCGTGGGGAGGTCGTCGAAACGATAAATCTTCAAGGACTAGACAGAGTTTTTCTTTGCGTTGCTGTTGGAGACAAAGTTATTTTCAAGCACTGTGCCATTCGATTCAAGAAGTCGGGCACTAAAGTACCCAGGGTAGAACTTATTGAAGCGGGTCCTTGCATGAACATGGTTCTTAGAAGGAACCGGGAGCCTAGCACTGATTTGCGGAAGGAGGCTATGCGACTTGCACCGAAGACTTCTAAGAAGAAGGTCAAGAATGTGAGCACGGATTCCTTGGCTGGTAAGGTTGGGCGCATGTACGTTCCCGCACAGGAGGTAGGTGACATGGCCTTGACGAAGATGAAGGGGCTGAAGCGGGAACGGAGGGCCGAAGCTGCTGCCAAGGCTTCTTCTTTGCGAAACAAAAGCGAAAGTGGTGGAGGTGATGTGACAATGGGAGAGGCAGAGAATGAGTTCGCTGGGTCTCCCAATAAGAAGCTGAAGAGCAAGGGCACGTAATCTACCAAGGCAACCATAGTGAGATTCAGGACTCGTTTTGGCGAATGATAAAAAAAAAAGCTGCTGATTCGGTTAGAGTTTTTAAGGCTTCAGATTTCATTATATAGAGTACAATTAGCAACGATTTAGTACAACTAAATTATATCTAATTTGAGAGTGCTAGAAGCTGGCCATCATAACCTTAAATCCGAAGGTACGCACAATGAAACAATGTGCGAACCGGAAGCTACGTGCAATTGTTTTGCAAAATTGCACATTACTGTTTTATTTTTTTTTTCGCTTAATTTATGACCTGAGCATTTTCTCAGAACGCGGCTTCCTTCTCTCTTTCTTCGTCGTGTCATTTCATGCTTGACGGAATCGATTCCCCTTGCAGATTAAGAAATTCTTTCTTCACAACTGTTAACTCTTGGTAAAACCTACTTGGTGAGATGGCATCAGTATAGGTGCTGCATTCAGAGATGCTTGATTGTGGGATAATCGAGCGAAAAAAGTTGTGGTTTTTCTCAATCAAAAATTGTAATTGTTGTAAGTTCGTCGGGTATGGATAATAGGTGAAGGAACGAGTACGTAGTAGCATCAAAAAAATCGCAAGTTTGCATAGGTTAGATGCGGGTTAGCACTATTTCAATCTCATGCAGGGCAAGTAGATCATTTGAGGCTCGAAGGACGTTGACAGGACGCAGATCATTGCCGGGTTGATTTGGAAACACCATCAGATCATCTATTAGAGACATGGTTCTAATAAAAAGAACGCAGATGTATATGGCCATTTAGGCGCAATATATTGTAAGTTTTCTATACAAAATCGTGTTATTTCCAGTAATACTCCCCAGCTGTGTTTGAGCTAGTCCGCCATTACGTGTGTAACGATCACCATATCACGGTTTTTTTCACAACTTCCTTCAGCATTTTCATGGTGATGGCCCTCAGCGTTTCCATGAAACTCAACTGCTCTTGCATAGATTTATGAAACTGTTGTTTGGAACTCCAAGCGCAAAGAATTAATCAGATCTGGCAAAACTTAAGGTAACAGATTGAAACGTTGCCAAAATCGTTTAGTCAGGTAGTCTACTATTGTCGACACATACGTAGGTACCGACAGGTGATTGCAGGGTGGCACACAGATGTGGACAGTGCAAGGCCTACGACAGTACTTAATTGAGCAAGAAGCGGATCTCGCGAGTCGAGTCAATTCTCATGTAAGTACAATAGTAGTCATTCACCTTACTTGTACAAATATACATACTTTAAATATGTTGTCTGCAATCGATCAGGCAATTCTCGTCCATTCGATACGAAATGATATCTCAATGTCACATAGTCCATAACTTCGATCGTAGTGAAGAGCTAACAAGCATCAAGCTTATTCAGAGGAAAGCTCAATGTGCATTAAATTGAATTGAATGATACGAAGGGAAACCCCTCAATGCCGAGAGTATTAATACAAAGATGTGATTGTGCCTTTCATAACCAAGAGTCCAGGAAAGACCAGCAACAGCTCTTCTAAGATTCCATGGACACATGGCATGCTGCACCTGTATCCAAACAACCAGAGTCTCATGTCCCCAAACGGAACTTTCATCGATTTGACATTTCGACCATTCAGTAGTTTTTCAATATTAGTGATGATTCTCTCCTAGTGTACAAAACAGTGAAAACGAAGCTCTAACAGTTGAATTACTTCTTCCCCTTCGCTTTGGTTTCCACAACCAAGACTTCCGAACCAAGATCAAACATCCTTTCCAGTGCATGCATGTTCTCGATAGTCTCGCTAACCGTCTTCGAATCCGTCCCATCTGATCTCAAGTGCTGCATTGGACCATGCAACAACTTGTTCACAATACCCCTGCTTAGATCCTCCAAAGCCCGTTTCTGCTTTGTCGTCAAATCCTCTGGCATTTTGCTCAGCGCTTTCTCTAGCTCTGCCTGCCTGACACGCTCAGCGTATGACCGCAACTTCTTAATTGTGGGCACTGTTTCCAAAGAATCCCTCCACGCCTCGAAGTTCTGAATTTCGGCGTCAATAATCACTTGAGCATCAGCAGCCTTTCGTCGCCTATCTTCCTTGTTAGCAGCCACCACTTCCTTCAAGTCGTCTACATTGTATACACGAGTGGAGGACAGGTCGGAGAGGCAAGCGGCGACGTTCCTTGGCACTGAGATATCAATGAAATGCCTCACACCGCCGCTAGTCTGTGACAAAAGATCAATGTTATTAAGCTTTACACAGCAATAAATTGTACCCAGAATAATAGATTGAGATATGAGTTTTAAAACTGCAAAATTATTAGGAAGAGATGCGAATAATCATTTATGCCATCCTCACCTGAGATGCAGGGGTCAAAGGCTCCACATTCTCTTTCGTAAATAGAGGAATCTCGGATGAGGTACTAGTGAAGACGAGGTCAGATTCTCCAGTACACCGCAGCATTTCAGTGAGAGGCTCGTATATAATGTTTGCATCTGGAAACTCAGTTTGCAAATCCAGAACTCTTTGCTCTGACCTATTGACGATGGTCATACGCGTACATCCTTTCGAAATCAAATGCTTCACCAATAACTTTGACATCTTCCCAGCTCCTACAATCAACACGTTCACTCGTGACACACCCCCTTCCGGGAGCTTCATGACGGCTAGCTCCACTGCAGCTGAGCTGACCGAGACGGCCCCGGCAGATATATTAGTCTCTGTTCTTACTCGTTTTCCTGCAGTAATTGCCTGCTTGAACAAACCTGTAAGATTACGACCAAAACCAGAAACTTCTTGCCCAACCTTAAGAACCTGTTTAACCTGCACATCAACATAAAACATCAGGAACTGATTAGCAAATAAGATGCACCAATAGTCATCTTGCTATGCTAATGGTGACACTGCGAGGGCATTCTGAATAAGACCATGCATATTCTCAATGAACACCACCAAGTGCGGGAATGTTCAATCATCACTAGGTCACGGTTATCGTTAAAGCAGCACGTTATCAAGGAAACCTCGGAAGTGTATCCCTCACCTGCGCAAGAATCTGACCTTCTCCAAGAACCAAAGAGTCTAGACCTGAAGAGACTCTGAACAAATGCTGAGTAGCATCTTGATCCCGCAAAATAAATATGTGTTCCATTAGATCCTCAACAGAGATACCACTAGTCTGCACAGCTCATACACGTCGAACATGTTAAGAGCAGCAACTATCTTTCAGGCTCGCAACTTCTTTTTCTTCTCTTTTTTCTTTTTTGGGTCCAGACGAAGAGATAGAGAAATCGAGAGAGGCAGTAATCGAAACAATGAAATACACCTGACAACGTAATTTACCACTCGAATTTAATACAAAACAGCAACGATGCCCAAAATGTGGTGTAAAGAAAGGCAGAAAAGAGGACGCGGTACCTTCGACATCCACTCGGTGACCTCCTTAACTCCTCTATTCCATGAGACAGCAACCACATATATCTCAAACCGATTGCATGTGCTGAGAACACCAGCTTCCTCAATATGATTCTGACTTGAGAGTTCGTCGATGGCACGAGGCCATTCAGCTTCGGGTATAGCAAGCTTCTCACGCATCTCCACAGGAGTAGTGTGAATACTTAAACCCAATACCATGACACTGCTCTTCACTTTCGTATACCCTGCACACAATGTAAAGAAACAACTAGTCTAAGAAGAGACGCGTCGCGAGGCACTGGCAACCATTAAACAGAACCATCATGTTGGAAGCAACTGCATCATTTAAATTGAACGCAGACAAAATCGGTTCAAGAGTGTTTTTGTTCGGTATAGTTGGTGAATGGCAATGCCTAAGACCAAATGCGTGCAATCCCCCAAGCCTTGTGGACATGATTAATCTGTGACCCCAAGAATGGCAATGCAAAGCACTTACGATTAGCGCGGGCGTTCTGGAACTCCTGAAAAGCTGATAGACTAGCAGCCTTAATCCTGTGGCTAGGGGGCATCTCACGATCAGACATGTCAGCCCTGGGAGCCCCAGAGTTGACAACCTTCATCCCCGCCAGCTTCACGGCGCACAACCCCTTCGAGGAACCCCACACACTGGACCTGCCGATTCGCACTCTGCGCAAACTCACGCCCTTTGACGCAACCCCCTCCACGAAGGAAGGCGCGACCACCTGACCCACCCGCATCGTCACCATGGCTATGGCCACAACCCCAACTCCCCACCTTGCACAAAACAGCTGCCAATGCTCAAGCCTACTGAAACCTGCCCTTCACGAAAACCGCGGGGATCCAAAAACTCCACACTAATGCCTCATCTTCGATTGAGTAGCCCCCAATTAGCGTACCCACACGAGACTTGGCTAAAAGATCAAACCCACAAACAGAATAGCACAATAGCAATCAGACAGAGTCCAGTGCACCGTTACAGTGCGAGCTGTGGATTCAGAGAAGGAATTGCAGCCACGAGCGGGCCGCAGGATCGACAACGACCAACCGATCAACAGCGGTTTGGAGCACATAGAATGAGCAAAATCTGTCCAATCCAGAAACAAGAAGGGTTGGTAGCTATCCCTCCGCATGGAAGAATGGATTCGTCCCAGCAATTGTTCGAGGATTGGCTGGGGGGCGATTTTACCCTCCGATGAGGATCACGGGTTGGGTATGCCGTCAGATCGGTGTGGGGTCCAGGAACGAGATGACACACGATAAGAAGAAGAAGAAGACTGGCGGATGGATGATTATCTGACTCTTGGGGTAGCGTTGGACTTACCGATTTACACCCACAATTCTGTGCATTTAGTATGTCCGAAGCGAGTAAAACAGTTCCTCTCCTGTTTTCTTTTACAATTCCCTCGAAATCGCACTGTCGAGCCTCACATCTTGTCGATATTTCGTACATCTTTTCCTGATTACTGGTTACTGACTCCACCAATCGCGTTCATTGTTTCGTGAGAAAGTGGGTTTTGGCTTTCGGAGGCGAAGTGATGTGCAGGGTTTCTCCAGACACAAGATTTGTTGCCCATCATCACGAGCAGTATCATGGCAACCAATCACGTTCCTGGTGGCGAAAACAGAGATAAAGACGCCGCGACGCCCCCTCGGGCACGGTTGCGACTCCGGCCCACTCCCAGCCACAAGCGCGGCTCTGACAAAGGCGCCATCGTCGTCACCGCCGTGGTCCAGCAACCATTCCCTTGGATATGACCGCCCTACATCCGCGGCTCCGCAACTGCCATGGCCTTGTCCCAACCCAGTTTCGAGAGCTTGTGGCACGCGCTGCTCCTCGACCACACTCCTCCACCGCTCCCTTCTTCCCCAACTCCCTAGCACCGCATTTTACCTCCTTTCGGAACTTGTCCTTATGCTTCTTCTTCTTTGCAAACTGGACCTCTGCAGCTGTGCGCACACATCACCTAGAAACAAGAAAAAAAAGTGGATGGCTCTGGGGAGAACCACACGATCTCCCCCATTGCTATGCTACCACCAGCTCGCCACGCCCACAGATCCTGGTGTATCGTGCACCCAGTTCTGATGCACCCGTGTCTTTCCTGTGAGATAAATCCCAATTGCGACGCTCCTTCGTCTTCTTCCCTGCCCAGACCGGTCTTCGGCGGCAATCCACTCAGCCATCCCGAGCAAGCGCGGAGCTTTTCAGACGGTGTTTTTGATTCCTGTTATGTTTATTTAGTGAAATTCATTGGGATCTTTTACAATCACTTAGCATTTTATAAAAATAAAAAATCATCTAAGAAATTTTAAAGAATGTTTTTTGATGAAGTTTTAGAAAAGATCTTTCAGCGGTTTTATGCTGCAAATCCTTTCATAACGTATTTGCTGTCTGTGATTTGTTTAGTGTGCATAACTTTGTTTTTGGATTTGATTTGTTTCTATTCAGGACCATTTTCATTCTTATTGCTAAAAAATACCAATTTCGGTTATGTTGAACATCTAGAGAGCTTAACCCTTTTTTCTATTTTTCTGGAGCACCCTGGTATTTTTATTTTTTTGAAAAGTTGCAAACATTGTAGTATAATTTCCAATGGTTTATGTTCAAATCTGCTAGTTTGTAGTTATATAGAGTGAAGGAAACAAATCACTTCCAACAAAAGTATTAAAAAGAATATGAGATGTGACATAATATTTTGATTCCATTAAAAGATATTGTTGAGCAATGAAAACCACTTTATTAAAGAAGATATTTGCCAAAAGTTTATTGAATCAAAGTTTGTTCTCATCAATCATGATGCCCGTGTATGTATGTATGCAATACAAGTATCATAAAAAGCAAATTTTAGATATGTGGGAAAAAAAAAAAAAAAAAAAAAAAAACCAGTAATTTTACTACCACCTATAAATGTGGCAAGATTGAGGCAGGTGGTAACAATTCAAAATTGGTAATATTGATTATATAGTTGTTTCAAAAACATAAAACCTATTTCATTGAAAACAGTGTTCAACAAACATTTCAACAAAGAAAAAATATGCATATTACATATTTTATAATTACTCTTCCAACAGTTTCATAATGATTGAGGAGGCTATATCCATGCTACGTGCATCAAGTTTGAACTTGAGAAAATGCATTTAACTGTTCTGCAGAGTGTCTCATTCTGCATACATAGGCCTCTAAATTTTACAACCATGTATATATATATATATATATTCCTAATTGTTGCGCCCACTCATTTTACATACACTCTCCAATACGGGAGTCATTTAAAGCCATTTCGAAAATAGTAGACCACAAGTATAAAATTGCAGACAAGAGACTGCATTATAAAATGGGAGGAGCTGTCCTTGGGCAAGAAAACATGTGCGGCTCTCTCAGGGGCTAAGACAATGTTATATGCTACAATCCAGTTCAAAATTTACACTCTGAATGCATCAATTCAGAAGCTGATGCTACGTCATTGAAGATACAGCCATCACCTTCTTCTGATACACCAAGGCATCTATAGATGAGGTCTGCCTACAGTGCCACAAGAAGTTCATACAGAAAAATAAAACATAGTACAAATGCCTCATCCAGCACACAGCCTTAAAACCCTTTAGTCAACTCAGCAATTTCTTCCGCCGTGATTTCCTGGACAGCACAACACGAACACTTGGTGAGAGATTGATACGAGACAGAGGAAAGAGAAAAATACTTGGGACTTTCACCCGCAGTGCACCCATTAAGTATTAAACTAAGGGTACTCTATCATACCATCTTCGCCATCTGCTGTGAATATTTCATTCAACTGAATGCACATAGAATTTAAGAAAAAGTATGCGTTGTCGCAGTGTTCAAAAAAGTTACTTTGACTAAAAGTATTAGTTCCTTAGATCCCACAGAATATGATCCAGACAAAACCGACAGCTGCAACATGAGAAGCAACAGGTATTTTTGAACATTCATATATTATCAAGGGTACCTGCTCATCTCCCGCAAAGTCGTTGTCTTTGGTCAAGAACAACATGCAATGGCACTCCTTCCTGAACAGACACAAGCTCTTGAGGAAACAGAAACCACTGCACGAAGGTAATCCCTCACTAGCCTAAAAGCAGTAGACTTTAATCGCAAGCAGGCATTCAGGACACAAGTCACAGCAGACTAAAGAATTAAATACCAGAAAAAAGTAGTAAGAAAGTAAAGCCACACCTCTCACGCATAGGAACACAAGGACAGTTCCAAAACCCTTGTTTAACTTCAGCCTCCTTATCATCGTAGTGCCTGTAAAAATGAAAAAATGTGATCTCTAACAATTTCACAAAATTGTAATGGTGGTACCTACATAGGGTTGAATCGCCGATTGTAATTCCTTTTCCCTATTATTTTTCAATGATAAGATAATACTAAAAAATATGAGGCTTTGAAAGACCAGTTTCTAGTAACAGGTTGAGAGAGAAGGCACTGATAGTCGGAAAAGACCAGGTGTACAACCAAGCAATCTTCCGATACAAACCTGCATGGACAAAGAGGAGCGCCTAAGGTGTCCTTATGCTCTGCCAATCCCTGCAAAGTAATGACCAGCCTACGTATCTCAGCAAAATCAAGAATTATAGGATATCATGATGCAAAAAACAAGATAATCGAACAGAGTACACCAAATATTAACTTGCGCGGTAATATACCTCCACGAAACCTAGTAAACAACAAGCAAGTTCCTAACTCATGTAAATTACTACTAACATACAAACTGCCCCAAAACAGTTCTGAACGAAATTCCGATTATTTAGTAGTATTTGAACTATCATGGAAAAGAGGGTGCTAACGATGAATACAAGATCACCCACCTTAATAACAACGGCAGTAACACCCTTGTCCACGCAGAAGTAAGTGTCTGATTTCCTAGCATACTGCTCCGAAAATTTGCGCATGGCATCGAGAGACTTCTCAGATGGCTCTCCTGCAATTAAAGCAGATCCACACATAAGGCACCAAGCTTCAACAACGTTCCAGTCTGTTTTTTGTTTTCTAAACTACCAAGAGGAGACGGAAATCATCGCCTCGGAGACAAGTGAACAACTGTTGCTTCAGAAAGCTCTTAACAAAAGCAATCCAGTAGAATTGCCCGACAAACTTGGCACGAGTCACTAGTGTCAAACATGCGGAACAATGGCACTTGCTCATGACACTACAACAACCCGCAGCAGCAAATTCGTGAAGTGGCAAACGATGAAGTAAAATCAAAATCGTCAAACAAAGTTCAGAACCTGACGGAGCCATGTCGTCGGCAAGCTTTACAACTACAGGATGCTGAACGCCCTAACTAATTTGCATATGTCGATTGATAGATGCTCTTTGGGAAAAGAATTGCTCTTAAATATGTTTATTGCACGTTCCATAACAAAGATAGATTGCAGGAAAGAGATTGGCAATATGATCACTCCCCAACTCTACTGTCCCGAGGCGAAAAACGACAGTGACTGCCTCAACTAAAACCCCCAGAAACAAAATTCTAATTTGTTACCAACAGAAGTGGCGAAAGTTGAGATGCTTGCGTACCTGCTGCGCGAATTCCGTGACCCTTTGAAACGACAGGAACAGAAGTACACGTCCCAGAGAACCCACTAAACTGCGAAGAGAGCGAGTAACGGCTGCTGAGTTGCGATGATGAAAAGACCGCTGTCATTCCAGCACCAGCTATCAAGCACGCCATCTTTGCTTCCCCTCAAGGTCCGCTGCAATCCAAAACCCCCACCAAACCTCGCCTTATCCTGCGCAGACACCTGAATGAGCAATGCAGTACCCCAGTTCAAAAAAACCAGAAACCAAAAATAAGTTACATGAAACGCCTCAATTCATCCAAAATCCAATCTCTCTTGACAGAATAGAATCCACTGCACACCACACTGTTTCAATCCCATCGACGTCGAAATTCTCTACGGCATTACGAAACCAACTTCGTACAAATCCAAAAATTAACCAAAATTTCAGCTCAAAGACCCCCACAGCAAAAACCCACCAAGCAATGAAACCGACGGAGACAAAAGCACGCCGTCTACCAACTCAGAGGCGCAAAAAATGGCACCGACACTGGCACTATTCTCCACAAAATTGAACCCAGAGAACGACTTCAACCGTGCAGCAATTCGAGGAGCCAGAGCGTGCAAGCAGAGCCCAGCATTAGGGCTGGCAAAGGTGATCGAAGCGGTGGATTCCTGTGGCTCATGAGACTCCGCTTCGGAGACGGCGAATACCAATAAGCATCCACGCCCAGTGGATCATGTGGATGCCGTATGGATGATTTCAGACGCGCATTGATGAACAACTCTCTTCGTCTCCGTCCTCATCCATGAATGAAATTATTTCATATGTTTGTCGATGGATGTATTTCGTCCTTGGAAGAATGTACATAATAAATGATGTCGTCGAGATGGGATGGATGATAACCGCTCGGCTTGTCGAAAGGGTGCTGTTGGTTGTACACTCTAGAATGTATTAAACTCTACAATAATCTAGGCACATCAATCGTCTATACTCCGTAAAGCAATTAGTGTTTATTAGATTAGGCGTAGATTTAGGTGGAAATTGAATACTCCCTTGGGATTGACTCTTTTCTTTCTTTATGATATTGCATTTAGTTACGACTTAATGTTTTCACCTAGTGTTTTATTTTATTTCATTCTATTTTATTGGTGATAGCAATGGATTTTGTAATGTGTGTAGAGTGTACACATGTGCTGTATTATTTTTGCTCATATCCTTCTGAAATCTGTTTCTGATTTTCGGATGGATAGAATGCAGTTTTTATTATTTAAAAGTTGTTATATATACATATAGACTAGTACGAGAATAGTGTTTTGCTATGTGCGTGATGTGTACTTCTAAATGAATTGTAAATAAATGGAACCATGGTTAGAGTACTTGAATGAACGTTTGAAAGTTAAAAATATCTTTTTAGTTACCTAATACTAAAGAATAACAACAACACTAAACGAAATATAAATATCATTGAAATTGAAATTGAAATAAAATATTTAAATAAAATAGAACAAATGAAATCATGTATTGATTGATTTATTTATTTTTGCTTCCAGTATTTTTTATATAATGAATTAGAATAGAATATTTCAATCAAATACTCAACTTTAATTTAAATACAAATGATTGGAGCATATTACAATTATTAAATTGAGCTAAATTGAATAGTATACAATAAAGGCCCTTTCATGTTACAATCAACTTCACTTTATGTTTTATGGAACAATCAATGTTAATCTAAAAAATATTAACATCAGTAAGTGTATTTCTATTAAAGTTTTAGAATGATCAGACGAAATAAAATTATCATAAAATTTTCACATTTCAAACTACATGGAAATTGTAATAAAATTTAATTACAGAAATGAAGTCTTAAAAAGAATATCATGCATATGCTAATAGACAATGTAAAATCTATCATATTTCATGCTTTGAAACAATCCTTAGAATATGTATTTTGTTAATAACTGCCATAGAAGTTTATAGAATACATTACATCAAAATAAAAATTCACACAAGAAAAAAAAAAACTGTAAAAAAAATAAAAATAAAAATAAAAAAAATGATGTTTTACACATGCACACATTATTAATAAGAAAAAGAAAAAAAGAAAAAAAGAAAAAAAAAACACAGTAAATTCTATATCACATCCTTACAATGCAATTAGGATAATGCTATCAACTTGGACAATTAGGATTGATTTGTGTGACTTTTCAATCCTCCAAATTCATTATTCTTTTTATCATTTAAAAATATAAATTATTATAATCCTAATTTTAAATAAGTAAAATAAACAAGACTGGAAATACAACAAATCAATAGTTCATCAATCAACATTATTTGTAGAATTCTGGCCAACACATTTAAAATTTAATTTTTCAAAAAAGACCCTAACAACAATTTACACAACTTTTTAATTATTTACCTCCTTAAAACATTTATGTATACACAAATTCCATTTGGTGTTGCAAGACAAAAAGACTGTACATCTATAAGACCTCTCCCATTTTCAAATCCCTCTAAACAAAACCAACAGTACTCTCAAATTCCATTAGAACTCAAATCTAAGTTTGATTACTCAACACGCAGAGTAATCGAACTATTGTATCTATAGTATTCCAAAATCATCCTGGTACTATACGTCTACGTTATTGTTGTACATTAATATAAACCACACGCACCCATTTCAACTCTTCAAGCAAAGTGACACCAGGGGGGGCATCAGACGAGACAAAAATAGCTGGGGATTTATTTTACTTTTAATTTTTAATGAACTTAGTTGGGGTCCTATTTCCACAACTACGTTTTTCGGGGCTTCACAGCCTGGTGCCACGCCGAGGTGGAAGGCCGAGCACGGGGGCCACAGTTCGGGAAAGCTGATGTGGAACAGCAATACAGCACGAACGAGCCACGTCGGAGGGTGGAAATGGAAACAGGGTGACGTGGAGGCAAGGCTGTGCCACCTCACCTTCCAACTCAGACTTGCGCTCCCGCGCGTGCCCTCGTTCCCTTTCCTCACCTCCGTGGTGCCACCAGCTAAAAGAAGAAAACGCGAAAGATAAAGAAGGGAGATAATGAGGCGAAATGAAAAAAGGAGCGAACGATTAAGAAAGGAGTGATAAAGAAAAGAGGAAGAAGACGATGACGGCGAGCTCCGCCCCGCAAGCAGCAGGAATGGTGCAAAGGTGAGTGCCGCGAGCAAGAATGTGTCAACAGGCAACGGGGGGAGGGCGAGGGAGAGGCAGATTCACTCTGCCAGTTGAAAATCGAGGGATCTGAACTCCAAACTCAGATTATCTGGCAATTTTACGACGACGCCAGCGGCGAGTTTGGTGGAGTTCCCCGCAGTGAAGGTACAGCTGACGCCCCTGACGCTACCGCGCCTCGAAGATTGGTGAAGTGGGTTTGCAGAGCAAGAGGGAGGGAGGGGGAAAGGGAGGTGGGTACATGATTGGTGGTGTTGAGGATGATAATTTAGGCACTCTGCCTGCGTGTGTGTCCTGCGGTGTAAGAAGAACCCCTGCTACGCTGCAGAATGCAGTTGATGTTGGTGATCGGTAAGCTATATCTTACACAGTAGTTGCTTTGGTAAGTGTGTGTATGTGTGTGTTTGACGACGTACTCATGTTATTGCATCCACATTATATGGGAATCAGTATGAATGTATGCCGCTTGCTCCACGTGTGTGTTTTTTTTTACCAGTGATTCGAACCATGTTAAGTCATATCCTCTTTCCGGTTGTTTGCAGATCACACTGAGCTACAACCAAGGTACTCAAATCTGGGATATAGGGAATTGAATTCAGATTGAGCACTGTGGGCGACGTTAATGGCCTGGTACTTGCAGATTCAGCGACCTTGGCAGATGAGTAGTACCACAAGGAGTCAGGGTTGGTGTTGTTCCTCAAGTACCTGGCTCCCCTATGGACATAAAAAACATGGGAGTCAATGGAAGACTGGTGTACTAACTTTTTACCTTGCAGGGAGGGAGGAGAGGGTAGCTTCAGTGCAGAGGCTTCACTGTCAGATGTGGAGCTTATGCTTGGTTGGCAACTTGGCAAGTAACTGCATTACAGCTACTCAAAACAGAGCAATCTTTTTACGAACCCTTGACGATGGATTGTGCGAAGATCAGGGATTTACCTTAATATTCCCTAAGAACTCACGATAGCGTGGCTATCGCTTGTTTCGTGCGAAGTGAATACCTTGAGATGGGCCAAGATTCTGCGACAGAAAGAACACAGTAACTATTTAATTTTTTGTTTTATTTTTATTTTTATTTTTTTGCTCCAGAATCAGGTATTAGATTGTGATGTGACACGAGGCGCTGTCTACTAAAATCTGAAAATCAGCTTGAAGCTACTTGCTACGTTGCCAACTTATTCACCTTCCGAAACTTGCAATTCAACGGTGCGATGTGGCAGTTCTCCACGCGAGGATTTTTACTACCACAGTGTGAAGAGAAGAGAAGAGAGATAAAGAAAGAGAGTGTCTGTCCCTGTCTTGTAAGCATTATAAATTTTTACTTGAGGCTCGGTGAATCTGTGAAGCAGACCTGGACGTGCAATGATCAGCGTCTTTGCTGTAGTTACAAGCACATTGAAGAGAAAAAGGGTTCTCATACATCCCGATTACAACAAGCCTGTTCACAGAGTCTTAAGGAATACGTCACTGTTGAAATGAAAAAAACAATTTATGACAAGGACAATGATATGGCCTCCCCCTTTAAGTGTAGTCACAGACCTTCCTTTCTGCACCCTTGCAACTGGAGACCCAGCATAATTGATGGAAAGAAAAACAGAGCCGACTCTTGCAGAAGAAAATAATAATTGCTAGTAAAGCCTTGAGATTGTGCAGATACATCAAGCAAATCTTTTGAGTTACATATATAAAAATAAAAATCTTAGAATATATTTGGGTCTAAATCCAGGGGTTGTTCTTCAAGGCACTTCACCATGAGAGGTAAGCCTCAAAACTATGAAGGCTCAAGGAAATTAGAGCAGATAAGACAAGATTAATATAGAGCTCCAAGTGACATCAAACCCAATTGCAAAGTACAGTACTTTCAGGTGGCAATCTGAAGGCATTGTTTGTTAGACAAGCAGGCCTTTGTTAGCACCAAATTTCAAAATCTATTTTTGCATGCTGCCCTAAATGCATCCTTCTGCATCCAAGTACCCATGTCATGGATTATACTTGTGCAGGTGTTTGTTCAACCCCCCCCCCCTATGGAAGGTGTAAGGCAGCTTTAGATTCCAGTTTCAGAGCATGGGATGCTGCTGCTACTTCTGCTCCTCTTCCTCTTCCTCTGCCCACCATGGCCAGATCTAAGCTACCCAACAAAGTCTTGTGAGTTTGACTCAAAACAGTCCTTGCTGAACTTGGCATTTTGTGCATTCAAGAGAGGAAAATTCTTGTCTTAAATAACAACAGTCCATAGATGAGGGGCAAGATTTGGAGACATACCATCCAAAGTCAAAGCCCAGCTCCCCAAAAATATATCCAACTTTGCAAAGGATTGGTGTGTCATACAACTCACCTGGACTCAGAAGATTTCAATATAATATGTCAGAGTGCTTGTGGGCCTTAAGGTGGGTAATCCAAGCAACAGCACAGCCTCTCCCACCACCAATCCATCCAAGCATTCTGGAACCTGTCTTACAAGTGTTATGATTCAATCTATACAATATGGAAGCTTAGGTATATGACAAAGACACAAAGAAGTCTTCTCATTTTCTGAAGCCCAAAAAATTGTTAACCAGCAGAAGCCCTGTATAACTTGTAGAAAGATCTCCACCTTTTCTGTGCTTAACTGCACAGGTTTCAGCTAGTCTATATAATAAGAAAGTTTAGGTATAAGACAAAGAGACAACAAAGCCATCTCCTTGATTGAAATCAAAGAAATTGTTAACCAGCAAAAAGCCCTTCATAAACTGCAAAAAAGACCTCCAGTTTACTATCTGTAAACAGCTTTTCTGTACCTGAATGCACAAGTTTCTGCTAGTGTTTCATTTTGCAAAAATCTTAACAACCTTTACCAGGAGTTGTAAGGAAGCTTTCCACCAACTAGTGCACATCAAAGGGCCATTGATTTTCCCATTCTATGTTGTGCCTTCTAACCATGTTTTAACTCTCATTCAAGCTTTTGTTGATGCTTGATGGGGATAGACTGTGTACTTGACATAGTCAGTGGTAGTTTTGATTTCTACAAAGGTCATGAAAATATTTTAGAAGGTTGCCAGCTTGGTATTCCTAATAAGAGTTTATTGACAAGTTGTGTTGCAAGAATGAGGGTTATGATTTACTGTAATAACTGTGTTAAATGATTGTGATGTATTATATGCAAGCTCAAATAAAATGTTCTGAAATTTGGTTGCAAAGTTTTCTTAGTATTTGTTGCACTACTTTGTGTGTATTGTGCTTGTGTTAAGCACTTAAGTCAATTTTATATGAATAAACTCTAAAGTTGAACATGTTTTAAAAATATCTAAAATTATAAAATATTTGGCAGATAGACTCTACAAACATCATTTCAATAAACAAATATGTTACAACAATGTGTGAAGAGTAATTGACAATTAACAAGTACTATTAATTGAATTATGGAAATTTATTTTCAAATTGGATGATAAACATATGTTCAGTGTTTTCATTAATATACATGATTGTATTTTAGATTTTAGGTTTTACTTTGGATATCATATAGTTTGAACATTTCAAAGCTATTCTTAATTTAGAAATAGATAAAAATATATAAAATAACTAATTTAATTTGATGGAGTAAATTTGGTACACAATTAAGTGAGAAAAAAGCATTGGAGTACAAGTTGATGTTAATGTTTTCAAAATTGAAAATTTATACCAAATAATTAAAAAAATTGAATCCACATTTAAGAAAAATACTTTACATTTCTGATACTGAATCCAATTTTGAATAATAAAAATAAATTATTAGAAGGCCTCAAAGTTCAAATGAATATTATTAAAATGGATTATGAACATAAGAAAGATGAAATGGTTTAATGACCTCACCAACCTATGATCTTAAAACAGAATTCAAATATTACATAGTTATTTATTACCATTTTTCAGTATATAAGACCAGTCCTTGGTGTAGGTCAGTTCACAGTACTTTTTAAAAAGTGCGAGATAAATTTAAACACTTGTAATAACACACATCAACAGTTTTACTATTATCTTGCATGTAGTTAGGATTGAGTCATGAAATCAATATTTCTTAAAGGTCTATAATAAATTTTAAATTTAATATAAAACCAAAAATAAAAAAACATCTTGTAGAATTGCAATAGGTAATCAATGATTGCATGATTAGCAAGAAAAGCGAAACACACTAAAATGAGCCAACACACAATAGAAGTTATTAAATAAAGATATATCATTAAAAAACCATTAGGATTTTAAAATGTTGAAACTGGAAACTGAAATTACCTATATTTTTACAAAAATAAAAAATCATATTCAATAGAATATTGTGCATTCTAACAACACAAAAACAAATAGAACACTGATGTTTAATAAATAAAAAGTTGCAAAATAATTGTATAAATGTAGAACAGCATGCATGAATTATGATTAAAAAAAAGCTTATGGTAGCTTCTCTATTCACAAATTTATCATTAGTTGTTGAAAAAGACATTCTTTTTTTAAAAAAAATACCAAATTGAAAAAAATAGAAATTAAAATGTATCAGAGATTATGTAGAAATTGAAGTAATAGTGGGTTTTAATTTTAATTTTTTTAAAATAAAAATAAAAATCATAAGATTACTTGATTAATTCAAAAACTTTACAACATGTCTAAAAATTTCAAAAAAAAAAAAAAAATGCAAAAAGGCTTTTGGAGAAATAAGTTTTATGTTACACTCTGGAATAGGATGCAGCAAAGCTTATGCCTACAATAAAAACAAAGTCACAATACATTGCACAAGAATACAAACAATGATTTGTAGAGTTGACATGCATCTCTTTGCAAACACTCCATTCAATTATATTGTCCATAAACTCTGCTTTTCCAAGCTTTCTATCACTGTACATGAAGAATCATGGGGTTGACTTGCATCTCTCTAAAATCATTCTATTACAACATCTTGTAAAAAGTCCTATACTTGTCCAAACTCTCTATTATTGTGTCATACCAATATTAGTATTAGTATTCCAATAATTGATTTGTTAATAAAGACAACTTGCAATACCGCGTTCTACACAATTATCACAAGTTAACTAATTTATTCGTTTTCTCCTCCTCCATTCATTCATTCATTTTATTACATTTTATCTATTTTTTTGGTTTGTTTTGTGTTTTCTTCCCTCCCCTTGTTATGCACATTTCCATTCTTAGGTTTGTATGATGCCCTCGACTGACCATGGCAAGACTTTTGGCTGAACTTTCTGAGGTCATGGTCAAACCCAACTTTAATGGTCATACGTGAAGCAGTTTGAAAAACCCCCACAAAAACAGAGTTTTGAAAAAAAGAAGGAAAAAAGAAATAAATAAAGAAATGCCTCTCCCCAATGCAAAACCCTAATTGAGTGCTATGGGATTTGGAGTGTACACAACACCAAGTTACAACAACCTGAAGCATGAGAGTGCTTGGGTTCCAATGTGTCAAGTGGTCCCAGCTCAGAGTCCACACTCCTCCGCATCAATGCTACACACTCCCCACAATTACTTCACTGAGCTTTGCCACGACTTGCCTTTAAAGGATAGCTTGTGAAATCCCCCACCTTGTTTTTTAAGGCATTGGTTTGACCATGACCCAAAAAATAACAAACAAGCAAAAAAAGAAAAAGAAAAAGAAAAAAAAAAGAGGAGGGAGGGGGGGTCTTGGTGGTCATACAAAAGCATGTGTGGATTCATGCAAACATGGGGCCCAATGGAAGTCTTCAAAGCAAGAATAAGATTAAAGAGCTATAAAAGCTGTATATATATATATATATATAAATGTGTGTATGAGTGTGTAAAATAAAATAAAAATAAAAACTCAAAAATAAAAACCTTGTTGTGATTAATATTTGGATTAGTTTATGAAGGAAATTCATTGACTTAGTGTTTTTAATTGGCTAGAAGAATTTGCTATGGGTGGAGTCTTCATCTACTGCAATTAAACAAACTACTGCAGTTTTGAAGCTGGCAATTGCAACTTGGTCTAATATAAATTTATCACACACACACACACAGACACACACACACACACATATATATATATATATATATATATATGTATGTATGTGTTTGTGTGCATGCATTCCCTATGTAACCATGATTATATTTTGACATTACAAAAAATAAATAAAAAGAGGCTTCTCCACACATTTTTCAAAAGAAAAGACAAGAAAAAGCAATATCTATTTTAGACCTGCAACCCAGAGAAACATCACCAATAGTGACACAAAAAAAACACATTGCACAAACCTATGTGCCAATCTAACCAGCTCCAGTGCACTTTTACTCATAATGTAAAGAAATCTCTTCAAAACAACATCATCACAAAGGACAGAATCAAACAAAAAGAAATGAAAAAAAAGAAATCTTCACTTCACTCCACTGGCTCCAAATCCACCTAAACCCTTTACAGCAGAAACCATGGATGGGATATGAAAGCTGGGGGAGGGGGCAAGTAAAGGAGGAGTAGTCTATAGACTGCTACTCTCTCTCACTCTCTTGTATTAAGTTACATTACAATTATATGTGTATGTATATTGATGTATTTGTAATACAGGCTTCTGCTTCTTCTTCTTCTGCTGCTACTTCCTTATACTTCCGTCTACTTAGAGTTGTTGTGTACTGAATTCCTGCACTGTAGTACTCTGCAACACTGACTCTGTTGTTGTTGAAGTAGAGCTGTGCAGCTATGGCGGCGCATCACTCTGCCTGACAGACAGACAGACACCGCCACTCTGCTCCCAGCTCTCTCTACCTCTCTCTCTCTCGCTTCCCCAACCTCGCCATGGATCGCATTCATACCTCGCTCGCCCTCGTGGCCCCTTATTAGTCAACTCTTCCACCTGCTCAATCTCCCTCACCATCCTCCGATACATCCCTCCTCACTCACTCACTCACTCACTCACTCTATCTCTCTCTCTTCACTACTTCTCAGTTGCACTCCCGATCGTTGTGTTTCTGTTTTGTTTTGTTTTTTGTAATGTGGGTGCTTATGGAGCGAGAGGTGGATTAGTTGTTCCATCTCATGGGGTTCACTTGGAGTGTGTTGTTGTTGTGTGCATTGTGAGGAGCGATGTGTTGCGATCATTTGACGTCATTTGACGTGGAACCGATTGTTGGGGTGCTTCAGTGTTTCTGCTCTTGCTTCTCGGTCTCTTCTCGATTGTGAGATCTTGAGCTTCTGTTGGTGAGATTTTGGGTGGACCGATTCTTGTACCGGGTCGTCTTCTGTGTAGATTGAACTGGGTTTTTCAGTGAGGCTGCTCCATCTTGTGGTTTGTCTTGGTTCCGTTGCTGGCGTTGGACCCCGCATGGCTTCGATGTGCAATGAGAGCTCTTCCTCATCTCGCTGTAGTCTGTTTCTTGAGCTGAAGCTTTCTGAGTAGCATTCGAATTGAAGCCCTTCTGCTGCATCGAATGTTTGTTGCCGCTCTTAATATGACTTGCTGATCGTCACGTGCAGGATGGGGACTAAATGGCACTGTGTAAGTCGATCGACTATTTAGAGCCGTAGAGGGGATGGACAGCACTTAGAGTGCTGATGCGAGCCGCAACTCATCCCTTGAACGTGCTGCATTTTAGTTCCGAGTGCATTTTCCCCGTAGCTGGAGCTCAAACAGCACTGACATCCTCTCTGACTCAAACTTCCCCCCCAAATTTGCGCACACTATCATTACGTGAAGCCAAAACGCTACAGTCCCAAGATTCATTCCGAGAACATGGCATCGGTTTACTCTGATGCTGGAGACATGTTGTCGCGAGCTAGCAATGTTACAGCCTACGAGGATCACATTGGCATGGTCTCGGCTGATATTCATAGCAATGTGCAGCACCTTCGCACAGATCACTCCCGAGGCTTTATAATGGAGAGGTTCTTGCCTGCAGCGCAAGCTATGGCGGCAGCCAGAGGAGAATCCTCCTCAACATCCACAATCAGTTCATCTCTGCCAGCACCAGATAAAATGCCACATCGTAATTCCAGTGCACGCTTTGTATCAAGCAAGACTTCCAAGAGTCGGTATATTGACGAAGTCAAGCAAGATGTGCGCCGCGAGGACTTCGCCAACGACGGCGACGAACTCACAAAGGCGTGCGGGTTTCCGCTTCACTTCGGGAGGCTGACTCTCCAACATTTCCGGTTGAGCTTCTGGACATCGAGATCAGTGCGCGGGCGCAAAAGCAAGTCGAGGAGTCAGACGCCGACGAAGCCTAACCTCCAGGAGAATGTCGCGACTCAAGCGGAGGCGAGTGACAACTCCGAAGAGATGTTCTGGTCCGATGAGGAGGGGTTCGACAACGCAGTCACTGCTGGCTGTGATGCGCAAGGGACAGCAAATGACCGAGACGAGAAGAAGCGTCTAGCGCAGGAGATGCTCAGGGACGAGGTATTTCCAATTCGGATGCACTCCATGGAGACGGTGCACACACCGAATCATCGAGGGTTTCTAGGTTTACCCAAAACAGCGACGAAATTCGAAATCGAAGAGGCAGAGCGCACTGGGCAAGTGGATCGCCTGGGAGCGCGGCTGACGCGAATGATGAGCAAGACGAACTACATGGAGCCACGGGTGGGTGCGTCTCGCATGAATGAGCACGAGGAAACTGATTTAGGAAGAGAGTTTAGTTCCAGCCAAGGACACTCCGCCACCACTTCGTCCTCCTCGGTGGAAGCGCCTCCGGCACAAACCAAATGGCTGGACGCGGTGTCGAAATTGTTGCCCCCTCCGTCTCCCAAGATGCCTTCGCAGTCATGGCTGTCCAGCGCGCTCCCCCCAGAGCGCTACTTGGAGGTGAAGAAGCTTTCTCGCAAGTCGCTCGGCAGCTTCATTCCCATCAAACCTCCACCAAAACCTTCATCGTCCACCGGCAAGCACCCTTACTCATGCGAGGTACACTAGCACCGTCCAACCTGATCGTCTACTCCCGAGCTTGTCACCGACAACGAAGCATGGGTTTTTGCACGTAGTGCCCAGACTGATTGTGTGCTGGACATTCGCAGGAGGCTGTATCGATCCCCATTCGGCAGTCGTGCAGTTTGAAGGAGCATTTGCAAGGCAGGTACGAGGATGCGTAAAAACATGAGTGCCGTGAGAGATCTACAGCTCCTCTAACCTCACACCAATCCTTGCAACACCACACCCTCGACAAAGATCCACTTCGATTGCTACTGTGACAAGTTCTGAAATCACGGGCCACACACTAAAAGTGCTGGCTTTCTAGATGACGGAGTTCAGCTGTCTGGGTTCTCATCGCACCAGCTAGCTCAACACTTATCGTGTTTCAAAGTCACGTCCTCAAGTCACCTTATCTGCGTACCGACTGCGATGTTTCCACACTGTTTCAGATACAAAACACTTGCCTTGCAATATTCGATTCCGGTGCCGAATTTTTCACCGACAACTGTATCAAGCCTTGTCACGCGCGGACCCATGTTTGATCTTTTAACTATCCAGGGACTCTCTCGCAGTGAGAATTTCCTAATGTATAATTCCCTACAAATTAGCTTGTAAAGACTGAATTTTGTTATCACTTCGATGATCAACAGCATCGACTTCGCGGATTTCCTCCCACCCACTGCTCACTCATCTCACCGAATTAAGAATGTGGGTTGAATTCATGCTCGTGTGAATGTTCTCACTCGCACTTAATGCGGCCACTTCGTATGTGACGATCTTCTCTGAGAATTTGTGGATTTTATTTTATTTTTCGTCATAAATGTCTTAAATTGTTTCATCAAAGTGATGGTGAGAATTTGCATCAGTGCAGTGGATCAATATTGTTTGATAAGTATAAACAAGCTACCATGTTTAGCTGGATTAACCCCATAATCTGGCTTGTTTATCTTATTTTGTCCCCCTTTCATTGCTTGGTTTTTGTACAGAAAATGGAATTAGGAATTTCATGACTTTTGCATACTAAGTGAAATCCAATACTCTTATACTATAGGGAAAAGCTTTCAGCTTGTTCTATTGGTAACAAAATACTAGGCATGTGAGACCACTGTTAATTTCAAAGTCAATTTCACTTTTCTACCCTTGAAAAGTATATTAACTAAATAATGAATCATAGGAGTAAGAATACACTTTAAGAACAACTATAGTTGGGTTTTTGAGAACTTGTAGCAACTAAAAAAACTTATATGTTTGAATTATATAGAAAAATATTTTTAATTATCCAAGTAGAGAATATGCTTTATTCTTTTTTATCTATTATACTTAAATCTGAAAATGTCTATCTTTATGTCAAATACAAACTACATTTTAGATTATTTTGGTATAATTTTCGAATTTTCTTGTAAATACTAAAAAATGCTTCTTATAGATATATAAAAAACCTAAAATCTAAATGCTGAAGATTTAAAGATACTTTTCTTGAAATATTAAAGAAATGAGTATAAATGGTATATTTATAAATAAATAAATAAACCCTAAACTATCAATCTTGTGATGATTAATTGATCAAAAGTTCTATAGTTGGATTTTTTTCTTAAGAATGATATTAAAAGTATTATTGACATTGAAAGAAGAAACACAGCAGCCAGCAAAGCACACAACCTGGAAGGGAAACCAAACAGAAAGCAAAGTGTATTGTCGCTCATTTCAGTGGATATGGCGCTATTTGTTTGTTTGCTTGTTTGCTGGTTAGTAAGTTTTTCATGGCTGCTGATATGGATCACTTGGGCAGCAACCATCACGACACTTCCTGCAACGCCGTTCTTCAGATACTAGTGACGTTTTGCAAAACGCACTAATCCTGCAGATTAATGCTCATGTAGTGAGGAATAGTTCCACTAAAACGGATCAGATGTAAATTCAGGTGGCATTGCCAACAACTCCTCTGTCTCTCTCTCGCTCGCTTGCTTCCTTTCCAGTCTCCTCGTCTCCCTTCCCCTGCTGTTTGTATAACCTGCATTTTTTTTTTTTTTGGAACCTGGGTCATGGTGAAATCAATATATATATATATATATATATTGGATGGGTATTTGATGCTGTGGCGTAGACTGTGGGATTGACAATCTAGTTGGGTGGTGCCATACTTTTAAGCTCGAGACTTGCGGGGGGGTATCGCTTCTTCGAGACAGTGTTGGAATGAATTGATGAGGTTGTGTTCATCCGCAACAGCAAATTTATTGGCTGTCTCAGGCTTTCGGTTCCCATGTGTTGAGTATGTCATAGATCAGGAGGGTTGAGCTACATAACGCCAATGGATTTATGGAGGAGGTGTCTTTTTTGATTAATCTGTGAGCAAGTTTGTGTTTGAAGTATTGAGGAAGCTACCGATTGAGGTGACCTCGAACAAGCAAGCGAGCACCATGGCACCGAAGAAAGGAAAGGCACCGAAGAAGCAGAAGGTAAGTTCTTTTATTCTTGCGGACAAACTTATGTCGGGTGTAGAAACCAAAGATTTGAGGAATCAAAGCCATGAAAGATGGGTACGATTTTGAAAGTTCTTTGGTTTTCCGCATTATCGTTTGGAGGGTAAGTCTCATTGTTGCGGAGTGTGTACCTTTTTCCAGGGGCCACTAACAGAGGAGGAGAAGAAGGCGAAGGCCGAATTCGAGGCACTGAAGGTAACAGAATTTGTACATGAGCCTTCACATTGTGAGTATTTTTTATCAACATTTTCGGCCGCGATTGACTCAAAACATCTGTATATTACCATTGCTTACAGAGTACTTGCTCAACCAGAATGTCGCCCTCAATTTGTCGCAGGCTGTAGAAATGAAGAAGAAGGCCATTCGGGATCGAAGAACAGCAATCAAGCAAGCAATGGTGTGTCAGTTTTGTTTGAGAGTTTGTGATATTGTCTCCAGTCTTATAATGCCCAACCAAACGATTTTATGCTATTCGTGAAACTCTGTGATGAATTGGGTGGTACGAATTCTAAGGCTTTTCACTTCCTGAACTCACTCATGGTGGAGTGTAAGGTTGAGGAGGAGAAACGCAGTACAAATAGCATGCTTCAAATTCACAATCAATGGAGGAGTATTATGCGCTCTGCCAAGTTGAAGGAGCAGCGAGAGGACATTGATTGGTTGTCCAAAAAGCATGTGCATCAGGTGAGGCTGCTCTTCTTCTCATTCCTCTCATTCTGAAAAATCACCTTCCACTTTACTGGTTCCCTTTCTATGTGTTTATCAATTCTACAATGTGTATGTCAAACAGCACAGTCGACGGAGAACAATATAGAAGCGGGTGGATGTAATGTTTTTAGCCCTCATAAGTTCTTGAGTCCTGCAGGTGGAGGTGAAAGACCGTGTCATAGGATTGTACCAGATGCAGATGGACGAATCTGAAGCTCAATATCACGCTGCTCAGATCAAGCATCTAACAATGCTTGATATCTTGATTGATCTCCATCACTTGGGAACCATGGTATTGCAATTCAAAGCTCCAATGCCGTCTTTCCGCCTTCGTCACGATGATAGAAACCATTTTTAAGCGGATTGGTTGTTTCATCTCCCGATGTGTGCCCTGGCAGATTTCATTGTAATCGATACCATTGTTCGCTTGATCACTACAGAAAATGGAAGAGCAATTTTCTGAGCAGTTGAAAAGCCTCGAAGACTCCTTCGTGACGGAGAGGAAGCTCATGACAACAGGGACTGAGAAACAGAAAAAGGTAGCTAAGTACTTCTTTTCAGACAGAAATTCGTAATCTTAAAGCATTTGTGAACTTGAACAGGAAGAAACGATCACTTATGGATGCAGGAATTGAAAGACATAATTGCAGCAATGAGAGAAGAAGCCGAAGAGATAATTTCTGAAAGGAAACAATATTTCGAATCATCCCGAGAAGAGCTTAAGGTTGGAAATGTCGCTTATTTCGATTGCTCTACATCACGACCACTTCCGTAACGCCTTTCTAAAAAGTTGTGTTCTATATTTGTACTCATACAAACTAATAACTACTAGTTGTTCGATTTTTCACGGGATAGAGCAAAAACATCGTGGAATACAATATGCTGAAACTTTCGCTTGAAGCGGGATTGGAGGAACTCGAACGGCGGATTGATCACACACATCAGGTCACAGTTCAGGATTCGGTTCTATCAACAAAGTTACACTTGATAAGTTCGATGTTCAAACTTGATGGGAGTTGTTTGGATTGGATCATCTACTTGAAACTCACGTTCTTTGTTGCTCCAATGCCAACGATGGTAACAGTCATACCTGGCAACCACGGAGGCAAATACTGTTTCTTTCAAAAATTTGGTCGCCAAGGATGAGGTTGTGTCGCGTGTCATCGAGCAACGGATGCGCAACCTCATTCAATTACATGAAAAACTGTCGTATTGGCGCGTTCGCATGATAAATCAAGGGTTTGTGCTTCACAAAAACTCCAGACTCCAAACCCCAAACAACAAGTTGTATCCATATCCCTCCCTACTATGCATCCAATGTGGAACTGTAGCCAGTTTTTAGGATTTCATCCATATTAATCCACGATGTGTCGTGAATTGCATGCACAGCAAAGAGTGGGATACCACGAACAAGAAGGTGAAAGACGAGAAGGAATACTTGCTCAGTCACTACATCCACTTGAAACGACTGTTGGACAGGATACAGCATCACGAGCATAACTATCTCAAGGTGCTGTGAAGTGTTAAGCAAGAGAACAGCCGAACTACATCACAAAACAGCTAAAGCTAATCAAATCACATGCATTACTTATATGATACTTTTCGTTTCATTGCGGGTGACTGGTTTGTGACCAAGACCCATTGCAGGAAGTCTCGAAAAATGTTTTGGAGGCAAAGAACATACTTCTGCAGAAGTTGACGGCGGTTCAACGAGTCCAGATCATGGCCCGCCGGGTCGCCAGAGTAAATCTTCGAACCTTGTCCAGATACGTAGCCTCTTGCTAATATTTCTTTCTGTTGCTCTCGAATGCTTGTTTTGTGTGAATTTCTAATGGGGTGGGTTCTTCTTAAACAGCTTGAGACAGAGCACGAGAAGATTTTCCCATTCGATCCATTGCATTGTTCTGCCATCCCACTGGTGCCTGGTGTGGTGCTCGAACAAGAGCTGGATGGAGACGCTCGTAAGGTCCTGCATTGATTCCCATTCGAGCATATGGATGTGATAATTTAAATAGTTTATCAGGGGAGGTGAATGTAGTGTTTCCAATAATATATTATAAATTGGAATGTAGACTTTAGCAATGATCTTCAGTTGAACTTCGACTGAATGAAAGTTTTGTCGAATTGTGCATGCAGTTGTTAAGCGGGCGGAGAGGAAGAATGAGTTGGGAGTGGGCTTTCTACTAAAGCCGGGGCTGTTAGAAGCCGAGCCCAAAGCGCCAGCAGCAGAAATTGGCAACAAGCGATTCCACTGGGCATCCTGGGCTGTCAGTGACGCTGGCGATGAAGTGGAAGAAATCAACTGTATGATCAACTTCGATAAGCGATTCAACAAGGTTAAATTGCCACGCCATAAACTTGTGTTCACTCTCAAGATCAGATTTGAATACCGTGAACAGATTGGTGTTAGGTCTGTTCAGTAATGGTTGGTGAGTTCACAAGTAGCTTCATTCGGATGTGTGATGTGCACGAATGGAAATGTTGGAAAAAACCAAAACAGGTCAAGCTTGACACACTGGCCATCCAAATGGAAAGAAACAGGCTGAGTAAGGAGAATACGAAGCTTGCGAACGGCTTGCGCAACTATTTGAATAGCGCCACGATCCCCGAGCACATCAAAAAACAGCACAATATCCTGGTGGTTGGTTTCACTTCCCTTTACTACAAGGGCATGTTACCTAAAATCTCCCGACAGAATCTGATCTTAGTGACGAAAATAAAAACACTTGCAAGATCGGATAAAGGTAGCGAGACTTGTTCTTGTGACAGTTTCTGGGAGAAGAAGATAACCTAAAACCAAAGCAAACCCTTTGTTATCTGTTTCAGGCTGTACACAAGAAACTAAAATCGCCCCGAATGAAACCTCCCCCGGTGTATCGGCCGCCACCAGTCAAGACGCCGACATATGTGGAGGAATTCTAGAACCCATGTGAGCAGTAGGGCAACTGCATGGGTTCACATATTTCGACTATTTCGATCAATTCAATGCACCGCAAAAAAGCTTGAACTGATCCCATGACGTCCTTCACTGGCACATTTCCTGAGATCAGTTAAAATCCACCGAAGTGCACGATAGTGTGACTGAACCCTTCAGTTTCATGAAAGAATCTTGTGGTTGAGGAAGAAACTCTGAAGACCTGTTGCAGCCTGTCTGAGCGGCAGATTTCGAGAAAGCTAGGCTTGAAACTTATTACACGTCTGGTCCTTCTAGCGCAAAACTGACACGACCAGGTGAGAATGGAGCTTATCTTGCAAGTCAGGAGAATGAAACCTCACCCACTTTCTCCGAGTGAGCGCTGAATGAATACCTGGAAGAGAGAACACGAGTCATCACCGGAATCTGAACTAGTCTCAAGCATGATTCTTCTGCTTGACTCATTCATTTATGAGCCAAAGTTTGGAATAGGTTCAACACCAAAAACTTGACCAGCTGTTTCCTTCACCATGTTACGTGTGAGCTCTCAAGCATGAGAGTGATGAAGATGGTGAACAGCCTAAACTGACAATTGATTGACTCCACTACCGTTTCACCACAGCTTTTCTTGCTTTGTGGCGACGTCCATGCTGAACTCAAAATGCTTTTGTGAGCCATGTGAGTCTCTTACCTCGGCGTTTTGAAGTGTTCCAGGTTTGTTTATTTATCACCCACATATAAGATACACACATTTGGGAGTGAGGCTCTCCAACTTGAGATTCTCCGCAATCTTCACAACACTAAACCAGCCGTCCATCAATTAATGAAAATCGCCCGATAAGATTGATTTTTTATTTTATTTTATTTCATATCATTTTTTCGTGTGTGTGTGAGTATTGTCTTCTTCAAAGATGAAGTCTTTGGTGAGAAATGGAATTGTGGTTGATCTGTCTCAGTGAAGTCTATGCAGCTGAATACTTGAAGGTATTGTTGTATTTTGGACACTGAATTGTTTGAACACATGTGAAGATGAGTATTCTGTCACTTATGAACATTGTCTGTGATGCTGAGGTTGAACTTTGTGGGACCCATGTCTTTGAGGAATTTAAATAAATAATAAATATGGTTCATTTCTGATTCCATAAAGAAAGAAAGATAATATAAAACAGAATAAAACAAATGTTCATTGGTCAGTGAAATACTTCATGATGGTTTGTTCTTAAATGATTTTTAACCTATATTTGTTCAGTCATAATCATAATCGCAGAGTTATTAAACAATTTTTGCATAAGTGTACATCTTTCATTGAAATTTAATTGAGAAGCAACCACAGATGTTAGAGTAAGTATTTAATGAACTTTCCAATTTTAAGGTGGTGGGTGTGAACATGACGATGTTATAAACAATTTTTATTTAATGATTTACCAAAAGAATTGAATCTGTAGCAATATATGTTGTTTAAAAAATAATTATTGTAAAAAAATGCATTAATAAATAGACATGTGTGAAAAATAATTTAAAATTTTAGTTGATTAAGGAAAACAATTAGTTTTTTTTATAAAATTTAAGGAGGTTGTGATAAAATGAGATATAGTTTTCAAATTTTCTCTAAAAATCATAAAGGGATATTCTTATATAAAAAGTATGCCTTTTTTATTACATAAATTATTTGGATGGCATGAAAATAATAAATAAATAACTTATCATCAACTTAGATGATTGCAGAGACTATTTTGAAAATCATCATTTTGGTTATTAAAAAGTCTTAGATTAAATTTATCACCAAGTTTAAACATGTCAAAATCTAACTTTTATGGTTTTTTAATATTCTCACACCAATTCTGGATCAAACGAGTTTTCTTTTAAGTAGATAATTATTGATATATGTTTTAACTCTCTTTATTTATGTATTCATTCTAAATAGGACTTCAAGATAAATATTAAATTTGATACGAAATACTCTATCTACAAATACAAATTACAACTTCAACACAAGGAATCAATTGTAAACTTTAATTAGAAAATAGAATTTTCAAAACGTGATTACAAAAAAATTAAATTTTCTAATTCGAAAATGTAACTTTAAAAAAAATAAAAAAATAAAAAAAAAACTGTTGTTCTTATAATCATGAATAAATTAAAATGGTGTACAACTTCCAAATTTGTTGACATCACTCCCTTGATGAACTATCAATTGTACAATCGGTAGTGCAACAAGCTTTCTCAGAAAAAACAGTGATTAAAATTGAAAGGAGAAGGGAAAAAAAATAAAAAAAAGAAAAAGAAAAGTTTACATACACAATATAAATTTAAAATACAAAACTTTAAAATGTTTTGTCCTTTACCATGTCATATAACTGGCTACTTCTTAACTCTTGGATACTTACAAATATCATCCTGATTAAATGAGATGAAAAAATGAAAAATGAAATGATTGGTTTATTTTAAATAAGAGCAAGACAACACTTGAATCTTATTTTCAATTTGTTTGCAACCAACACAAATAATTAGACCACTCGTTTTATTTATTTTTATTTTGAATAATCTAGCATAAACCAGATAAATATATGTTTAAGGTGATCAACCTAATTATCTAACTGAATCAAATAAAATCAAAAGTCAAATGAATTAATATTTTACTATTAACTGATTTTTACCCTCCAAATGTGTGCATGAAATGTGATACAAATGATACTTAATGTTTTACAAAAAGTTTCATTTCAAATGAGTTACAAAGGCTACACATCACAACGTAAATGATTCAATACAAAATTCTATGTTACAGCATACACTGACTAAGACATTACAATACCTTTATTTATTTATTTATTTATCTTGTTCTCACAAAATCATTCCATAAGCAAAACATGGTGTGGATTTGTATTTATTTTTGTTTTTTCTTCAATGTGAAACTTCCACTATATTGAACACCCACAAGGGCTTTTACATGATTTCAAATATTTCAAAGCCATGGAGTCATATATGAATCGTTTCTTAATCAACCTGAAAAATGGGTCATAATCTGCACATGTCAAATTTACATTTATCTTTAAGTCCAAACAAAATTCATGCAACCAAATTAATTATACAATAAATAAGTAATAAATTAATAAAAGTTTTAAAATCAATGAAAAAAAGTATTGGAATTGAATGCTAGAAAACTGCTCATGAAAAATTCAAAAACTGACAGTACGAATAATTTGTTGTTGGCCAAATAACATGCAGCATTGGACTTGAGAGAGGATCTGATTATTCTTTACTCTGCCCGCTGCCCGCTGCCCGGAGCTGAGTGCGTTGGCGGTTAGGGCTTCTGTTGCTTTACGGGCAGGGAGGGCTCTGGGGATCCACTTCCAAGGAGTTTCGAATTCCGAGGGAAGCTTCTTCGAAACTAGAGAGCCGTCACATGTACTGGGTGCCGGATGAATGTGTGCATGGATGAATGTGGACGTCCTCATTAATTATGGACTTCAAACATTAAGTCTCCAACATAATTTCTTTTTTCTTTTTTTTCTTATGAAGTTTTAAGTTTATTGTCTTCTTTGGATGAGACCTTCTAACTAATTTGAATAAATTAAGCTCCAACTAGATTTTATTAATACAATCTTCCTTACCCCACAGACCTACTTTTAAAAATTGGGACATATCTTTTTAAGTTTTTATTATTCATCATTTAAAGTAAACTAGTCTATAAATAATATTCGTAAAATTTCATAAATTATTTTAAAATGTAAAATACCTTTTTATTTCAAAAATGGTATGTCACTTTCTTCGAATAAAAACACAGTAAAAACATTTCTTCTATAACTCATTTTTAAAATCAAGTTTCAAAACTGTTCTTTTTCACTCCATCCCACAACACAGTATTTCTACTTCAACAATTTGTGAATGCAATTTCATTCAAAATTCACTAAGTTAGTGACATCTACTGTGAACTGCAAATTGGAACGAGGTTTAAAATTCTTAGTACTCCACTAATTTTATATTCATCCAATAATTGCTAATTTTGATGTGAAACGAAGGGTCTTATAGCCATCATGTAATATTATCAACGAAACAAGGCACCAATCATAGAATGAGGTCAAAACACACGAAATTAAAACACGGTGTGAGTTAAGAAGCAAGACAAGAGAGATTCTTTTTATTTACTTTATTGTTTTGTTTTCCTCCAAAAAGTGATTTAAAAAAATGTACTGCAGCTTTCAGAAACCCATGTTGAAGCACTTTCCACCCGATCAAGAATAACTAGAATATTCTGCAATCATTGTTTCCATGTAAGATTTCAAATCAATTCCATAAATGTTGTTATATTTTATTTTATGTATATTTAATTATTCTGTTTGTCTGATATGTAGAATCTACGTCATAACTATGCACCCAAATGAAAAATTTCAAACCTCAAACTTCACTTCACGCATCTTAAAAATGATCACCGTCATTAAAAGCATAAGATAGAGAATGGGCTGTAGTTTGGATCATATATTAATTGAAGACATTGGGAAATTGTTTATATTAACTGTAGCATGAAAATAAAAGGCACTACGTGAAAATCAATATTAGGGGGGTACATAAACCTAATAATCCCGTAGCCGTTTTCAATGAGGGCACTGATACACCGGTGACCCGATTTAGAAACCCAGGTTTGCCGGGTCTTTCCGAGTATCAGGGGGATTCCAGCCCACTGAGGCACGCTATCCATGAATATACCGTGTTCATATTCATCGCTCCAACCACAATGCCGATGGGCACCCATGCCCGCTCGCCCGGTCCAGCCCAGCCAGCCCAGCCAGCCCAGCCCGCCCAGCCCGCCCAGCCCGCCCAGCCCGCCCAGCCCGCCTGCTGTCGTGGTCATGGCGGAGTGACGTAAGACCGAGGAAGGGAGAGGGGCACGTTTGACCATGCTCTTTCCTTCTTTCTTTCTATGTTTGTGTCTTTCTCCTCCTCCTCGTTTCTACCCTCCCCTCTCATCGCCCTTGCGGAGGAGTCCTTTGGCTTGGATTCTGAATTCCATGCCCCGCTATGGTGCCCACCACTTCGTACACGATCGGCGTCTTACCCGTCGGCGGTGTGCCGTAGCCCCTGGCTTAATTGCGTGTAAGTTTCTGGAGGAGTAAGAGTGGTGTGTGTTTGGAATGAGGTTTTAGCGTTTTGCCTTGAGAAATTGAGGTCGTCCAGAGGGTGGAGGAGGAAGAGTTGGCATAGTTGGATTGTACATTGGTGACGAGGTGTTGGCGGTACGGTGCGGAGGTTAGTGATAGGAGAGTTTCTGGAGGTTGTTAAGTGATGCGAGGAGGGCGTTCAATTTTGAACGCGTTTGGGAGTGTGAGGTTTGGCTCTATGGCGTGGGGTTGTGTGTGATTCGTGGTGTGGCATTGGCTTTCGAGGAGCGGTCGAGAGTGTTTCTATTCTGTATTTTTTTTTTTTTTTCTCTCTCTCTCTCTCTCTCCACCTCCCTCCCTCTCCCTATTTCTATTTGTTTGAAAGTGCTTAGTGGCGATGGCTGGAAGAGTAGAGGTCGATTTCTGGGGGATGGCTGCAGCTTCGTTCTCGGTAGGTTTTCTGTAACGAGCCTGGACCATTTCGGCCAGATAGTTTGAGCATTTTGCGCGTATTCCTTGGTTAGCGGCAGGTTCCATGTTTCATTCCCTGGTGCATTGAAGTCTTAGATTGAAATCTCAGACTGCGGAAGGGAGCATTTAGTAATTTTGAGTACCTTCCTCGGAGAGACCGGGTGGTTTGAGTAGCTTTGCTTCTCGGACGATAGGTGTACGGAATTCATGGCGTACGTACACGCTGATATTAGGATCATCCTCTTCTTATAGTTTCCCTGTTTAGATGTAACAGCGAAATGTGCGAGCGGATTGCATTTTTCTCCGAAGAACAAGATGATTTGAGCAGATTGAGGAGCAGGGGTTGCTACAGGAACGTCAAGTAAGTGGTTACAGCATGGGCAATTCGTTTGGTTGCTCTGCGTCAGGAGAGCGCTTGGTATCCGCAGCACGTGATGGAGATTTGCAAGAGGCACAGGCTCTATTGGAATGCAATCCCCGTTTGGCAAAGTATTCCACCTTCGGAGTGCGCAATTCGCCCCTTCACTTCTCGGCAATGCAAGGGCACAATGAGGTTGGCTTTCCTCTTGCCTTCATTAATGTTTATCACTCGCTCTCATTCGGTTTGGAGTTCTGGTATGTTTGGTTCTTCTCCAACTCGGGTCATGCGCTCTATCTCTTTGGCAATCCTTTCAACGAGTTGAGTAAAGCGACAATCATGGGTAAGAGTTGAAGTATGCTCTGTTAAGCTGGAGAAAGGGACATATATTTAATAGTTTTACCAACATTTCTCGGATGATGGATGCTGTTCGAAATCTGTCCGGGGTCGTTACAGGTGACTTCCCTACCGAAAAAAAAATCATAGATGTACATACATGATCATCTAGTGCGATTTTTTTAATTTGAGGTTGGCAGAGTTTGTCTTGTTTTTGGGGCTTACCAGATAGCATGTCTAGATTGTAGCATCGTAGTTCATGGTTGATTAGGCGCACGTACTCTAGGAGTTGTGAATGAAGTGTCGGACTCCTAGAAGTTGCTTTAGCTACGCTTAGGTTAGCAGTCATCTACGACTTGTAAACGGTTATATTAGAAGAATGATAAATTCTGCGCATAGAAGTGTTAGTAGGGCCTTGGGCGTTTTAATCTTGGTTTATTCAACTTGCTATCTTCCCTTGAACTTTTTCTTACTTTGTTTACCTGTGAACTCGCTATTCAGATTGTAACATTACTTCTCGAATGCGGAGTAGAAGTCAATACGAGGAATTACTGTGGACAGGTATTAGGCTATCTTCCACGAATGATCAGATCGGAGCATGCCAAATTTTAATGGTCAATGATCAGCCTACGTCCCGAATTCATTTGTGTGACGTTATTCTGAATGTGTACGTATTTTTGACACTATTTTTATTGTGTATTTGCAGACTGCATTAATGCAGGCTTGTCGTTATGGGCACTGGGAGGTGGTACAAACTTTGCTACTCTACCGAGCAAATGTGAGTGAAATTCTAATCCTTGTAGCTAAGAAATTATGGTGTTGTTTGACTTGTAAGGTGTAGCTGAATTGGAATGCGTATAAGTGGCCACAGCAATTTCCCATCACGTCAATCTTGACCGCCTCTTCACAGCATGAAAAATGTAACGATTTGTTGGAGTATCGTAGTTGAATTGCGATTCTTTGACGGACTGCTGTGCTGAAGTCGGTCTTTCTTTTCTTTCTTTGAAAATTACTGAATTTGTTTTTACTGGTTCCACTACGAACATCTTTGTGAGGCTCTGACACCCATATCGATGCATCCCTTACAGACACATGGTGGTTTCCCCCTAGTTTTTCCAACATGAGTATCTAGTGAATAGATTGTGTCAACCTTGCGCATTTGGAACTTTATCCGTTATATTATTGGTAGTCATCTAGATGGAATTTAATACGAATTATAGGTGTTTATTGTACCCGCGACTCATTCACTACGTAGCCTCAGACAATTTCAGTGTTTTTGGGATTAAGTAGTGGAGGCAGTATGAATTTTTTTACAGAAACGAGAACAGAAAAAAGTGATTGTGTACATCTTTGGTTTCTGTTACGGGCTTAAGCCTGAGCAGAGCTGAACAATTCGCCTGAAAGGAAGGCTCTCTTCAAGCATATTGTTGTGATCATGAGTGGGTACTTTGGAGGATGTGACAACCTGAAAGTGCGCGCAGCCGTGACAGCTTTAGTCTATTTACCTAGTACAGTTCTCACAACGCCTGGATATTCAAGGTTTTTAAGTCTTTTTGTGCAGGTGAACAGAGCAGACTATCTAAATGGTCGCACAGCTCTACATTTCGCAGCAGTCAGTGGCCACTCACGGTGCATACGCTTGATCTTAGCTGATTTTGTGCCCAGTATTATCCATCCGTCGAACATATTGCAGCCAGTGAACTGCGATGAATCGGCACCTGTGAAAAATTACCCAGATCGAAGGTTCTTTATTATGATATACTTAAACCAACACACAATCTTAGAGTGCATGTTGATCGGGATATGTTTGTATCAGTTGAATGTAACTGATGATAAATATCATCTTGCATGTTGAATTACAACTGTTTGTCCGTTCTTTGAATTGAACAGATTCTATTGCTCTTGCAGTTCTTTGGCTAGGGTTGTGAACAGAGCCGCTGATGGAGGTATTACGTCACTTCATATGGCTGCTCTAAATTGCCACACCGAGTGCTTACAATTGCTGTTGGATCTTTCTGCAAACGTCAATGCAGTAACCATTCAAGATGGCACTACTATTGACTTGATAGGTATTTATTTTTCCCCTCTAATCCTGAAAGCGTGGTGTTGAGAAGTCAACATTGAGTGAGTGAACCGTTTTATTAGATTAGGATCTTGTATTACCAGAGTTTTACACTTGTTACCTTGTTCCTAAGCAGTGATGGCATTTCAATTTGCCAGGTAATTCTTAAATTACATAATATCTTTAATTTCTTGCCCAGGACAATGCCGGTCATCATTATTAAGTAGTTTGAGGCCTTCGTGTGGAACATAGTTGAGACGAAAGGCCATTGTGTTATTTGTTACAGGAGCAGGTAGTGCGCCGTTGCATTATGCTGCTTGTGGAGGCAGTATACCCTGCTGCCAGGTGTCTACTCTTCTCTTTGCTTGCTTTGTTTGGTCTTTAAGTAACTCCATCATCAAGAATGCTCTTGCCACTGAAATTTGTTTTATACTTCTGTTTAGTAGTCCTTTTCAACGTCAGGAAGTTAGTTACTCTTAATTGAGAAAAACTTTCTTCTGTGTGCAGGCTCTTATTGCGAAAGGGGCAAGTCGAATTGCTACCAACTGCAACGGGTATACCCGCTGCTTATCCTACATTCTTGTGCTTGAGTGCCTCATGCTATTTGCAGCAGGTACTAGAATTGTAAATGTAAATTTGCCTCCGGTTTTCGATGACATGGTGAATCCTAGCACTAGTCTACTAGACAATTGGAGCTATGGTAGTGACTTAGGTTGTCGACCCGTATTGTGTTTTGGAGGGTAAGCCTTCAACTTAACTTTATGAAAACATTTTGTTCTCGTTGTACCAATGTCCTAGCAAGTCATTAGTGTAGAGCACTTACAAATTTGATGTGATGTAGATGGACACCTTTGCAAGTGGCACGGTTATTGCGGCGGCACTGGCTGGAGCCTCTGTTGATCCCAGACTCATCAATTCCTGTCCAACCTTTACCACCATCGCGCTATCTCGCCCTCCCTCTCTCCAGCATTATGAAAATAGCTAGGTAGGTCAGAGGTTGACATTCCCCTTATGTAGTTAATTTATTTCCACTTTTTGTGTCCTTGTTCAGGTCTAGACGTTGAAGGCTTCTCTTCCTAGTGCATGTTCTGGTAACAAGGCACCAGAATTTTTAAATCACATATTCTGTTGATCACCTTCCACGTGGCAGGGATTGTGGCTGGCGAATCGTAGATCCTGCGCCTGTGGACGCTGACCCATGTTCTGTCTGTTTGGAAAGACGGTGCACTGTGGCTGCAGAAGGTGCTGTTCTCATATCCTTTCATGGCAGATAAATCGTGATTAAATATGCTACACGACCTGGTTTTAATTTCCTTATTTTCTAGTATGGAAGGTTATTAGTTTTTGATATCTTATTTTATTTCTTTTAGTCCTAACCAAGCGTTGCTTCAGGTTGCGGACATGAACTTTGCACTCGTTGTGCTCTCTACCTGTGCTCCACCAACATCATTGCAACTGCAACCTCAAGTCCACCGGGAGCCATTCCCTGTCCTCTTTGTAGACATGGCATTGTTTCATTTGTGAAACTCCCGACTACCATGTCCCTCAAGGATCTTGCTAAAATGAACTTGGCTTCTCTTACTCTTTGTACCACATGCACCATGGAAATCCCGGAGCTAAATTCTGCAAGAGCCCTCCTGCATAAGGGTGAAAACCGAGGTGGTTGTCGAGTTTCTCCGCTTTCCATCCACTCCTTAAGATTGACTTGTCCTGGCTTCTCTTCTCTGAACTGTCCAGGAGGTTTCGGTTCAAATGATGAGAATTCCGGCTGTACATCCCCTGCTGTGACATGCGGCTTTGCAAGGTCAGATTCTCGGTCTGAGGTCCGAACTGATGACCCTACAACAATTGAGACTCTTGCTTGGCCTTTGCCTTCCAGGGTGTCGATCCTTAGAACCACTCCAGTGGTAGCGGCAAATACTCTGCCTGTACAGCCCCCCAATAACGATGGTGTGCCGTCTACTTCTAAACCTGCCCCACAGAGAGACTACTCTTCCCCGAAGGTGACGACCAGGCGGTGGTTAAGGGAACCATTTCGATGGAGCAACTATGCTAGCTTGCGGTCTCAAAGGAATTAGTCTCAAGTATATCCACTTCTTCACTGCACTCTTTACTTCTCATTCTTGGCTTTACGTGGGAGACGGTAATTCAAGGGCAACACGATTACAGTCCGTATTTAAGCGGTATCATACCTGACCATGACAAGTCATTCTTGAATCAACTTTTCCCGGTATTCACTTTTTCACTTTCGCGAGCCTGACAACTGAAGGAATCAGAGTGGCAGGTGAAAATCAGGAGCTATCGTACTTCTTGAACATCATGATTTGATGTGAAACCTTCTTTCAAGAAGTGGATTTGGGTACATATTGCGTACACATACTGACTACGATCGGGAACGCCCAAGAATATTTGTACTATGTGATACACAAATGAATTTGTCGATAAGTGCGATCTTGTCTAGCATGCGCTTGCGACTATCTTCTCATTTATTGTACGGTGTGTAATATCCTGTTACTGAAATTGTTGCTGGACTACGTATCAAATGATCTGCAGATGGTCAAGGATATAAATATGTGCAAGTGGTAACTAATTTTTGTCCATAAGATGAATTAAATAGACATCATTCTCGTAACAATCCATCACATACATTCCAATGTATTCCACTTGCAATGCTGTTTGCTCCCATATAGTCCACCCTCGATATGTGCTACCCTGATAAGCGGTGAAATTGCATATGTGATAAGAAAAATTGTGCTCTCGAAAAAAAATCCAAAAAATATACTGAGAAGTAACAACAGTTAAGAGAATTTGTATAATAATTATGCTTTCATATTCAATGAAATCACCTCAATAAGTATTAATTTCAATGAAAGTGAGGCTAATTAATTGTACAACGTGGATTAAATTGAATTAGATGCAGATTATGTTGTGGTTGATACTTACAATAATGTACATAGATCACAATATCTTCATTGCACATTCCACATCATGTAGATATTATTGGCTACAAACTCCAACAACCTCTCTTGGAATTACACTACAAGTTCTCTTGCATTAGCCTCTTCTAATGTTGTGACAAAATTGTAATTTGATGATTTGGAGGTTGGAAGTCTAGGTCTACAATGAAGAAAGACTCTAAATTTACTTAAGTGCAAAAAAAAGAGATCCTCCAATAGCATTAGAGGTTGGTGGTTAGTGAAAAAAATATTACTAATAAGGCTTTGACTACATAGACTAATTCTATGTATCATACTTCAACTTCTAAGATGAGTATTTGCAAGTTAATGAAGAAGAGAGATTTATTGGATATTGATGTTCAACATCTACTTGTCTCAAAGTGCATTAGGAAAGTTCAATGTCCACATGTGGAGGAAGCTACTTTCACCTAGTTTAAGCTTATGGAAGATTATAATGTTGTTTTGTCTAATGATCTTATAGTTGCTATTGCAAAGAGATTTTATAGTATGATACTCAAAAAAGAGCGTGAGAGGGAGCTTGAGTTTTCACATAAATGGGTAGATTAATTCAAGAAGATATTTCATATCAAGAGATATATTTGTCAAATAAAAGATGCATTTGTTGATACTTCTCTTGAGACCTTAAAGAAGATAGAGGCAAATAAACTTTTTATATCTTAGTATATGATTTCTCACATATTTAATATGGAAGATATATGCATCATTTATAGAATTCAACCAAAATCGTACACTTACTATGAAGAAGCTATGTGAAAAGAAGGATGAGAAGGGATACATTACAATTGCACTTATTGCAAATGTTGATGGTACCATCAAACTTCCTCCTTTGGTTTTTAATAAATATATGAAGCCTCAAGAATTTTCATGTAGGCACATTCAAAACCTAAATAACCTTAAAATTAAGTAATTTGCAAATAAGAAAGCTTAGATGACTACAAGTGTATTAGAGAACTTTATGCTTGATTTTGAGAAGAGAACAGTTGTTGCATGAAAAGAAAAGGTATTACTATTGGTTGATAATTTCTTAGGTCACAAAGTACCTAATTTAGGTGCATAATTGAAAAAGACTAGACTTAAATTCATACTTCTAAATACTATAAGTAAATTCTAATCTATAAATATAAAAGCTATTCAATTATTCAAATCTCAATACCATAAGCTATTGATTTAATACCAAATGGACTTTTTTTTATTGAAAAGAGCAAAGATATTATTAATGTGTACTCATATGTGACGATGATAGAAAATACTTGGCACATTAGTATTATTGCATCAATAGTCATAAATTCTTGAAAATATACACCTATCTTTTATGTTTTATTTGACAATATAGAAGCAAACAAGGCAACTATGAAAATCTTTAAAATCAATATAGATAAAAGAGTTCGAAAAAATTCCTACATAACTAAAATAATTTACATTGATATTTGCAAAAAATGAAATTAAACATACTATGAACATACATGAGTTTATTGATTATAAAATAGAATTCGATCTACACAATGCCAATACATCTATTCAAGACAAATTTATAGGTATTCATAATGAATAAGATGATGCAACTAACAATAAAACCATCAAAAAAACTCATTATATGCAAGAAATCCATTAAAGATTATAAAGTAATGTAGTTGTAGCTGGTGTAGGATTGAAGGATGTTGAAACTGGATTAGTGCCCTCACTAATTATTGATATTGAATTACTGATATTATACATGGTACATAAGATTTCACACTTCAAATAAGATTTAAAAATTCAAAAATAAGTAGAACCTTTGTATGTATAAGAATCTCATCTTCTACTTTATATTTTATCTTCCTTGAAATCCTCTCTATTATTAAAAACAAAGCATCGAGATCCATTACATTAAATGTCGTGGCATGTGTTATATGACTATTGGCTAAACAAATGTCATCCTAATACCTTTTCATAAACAAACTTGACTATGGTTGCGTTTTCTTGTAACAATCTCACACATAACTATTCATAATCATATCTAGTCATAATTATTTTTGATGAGTGGAGACTTTTGTCAAAGTACCAAATATTGAATTAATAGAGAAATTATGATGAATGGTTTGGTTTATAGAGATTTACCTCCAAGCATGTAATGTGTCTCAAGTATATTGTACATGATATTGTAGTTGTTTTCCAATCATGTCTATGTTTATTGCCACTTCTATTATTTATTAGTTTGAAATAATCCAATTATCATTGAAGGTGACAAAGGCTTAGATTAAAAAACTATCTCATGTTTGCCATCTATGTTTGAAAGTTATTACTTTATAGGTGTTAGTTCGTCGCTGCATAGATATTGAAGGCAATGATGCCATTGCAAAACAATGGACAACTCTTAGCTAAATCAAATAAATAGAGGAGGTCTGTAAGATTATATGGAACAACATTGTATCATTATTATCTCTCCTTTTTCATCTTTTTTTGTTGCAAAAGCATTCAAGGTGGATATACTTGTTGTTCCAAATATTCTTACTCCATTTTTGTCAAAATCTCTTCTACTTCTCTTTCCATCTATTCTTCAGTTAGATGTATTAAACTTTAACTATCTTTATATGCAATTTGTGATACAAATTGCATAGCATCTGAACTAAAATAACCTTATTGAATTGTAAATGTACCTAAAAGACTTGGTTTCTTTGCTCTTATTGGAAAGAAAATATTACTTGTATTCACTTCATTTTGCAAATATAGTTTAGAAAGGTGCCCTTTAATCTCTCAATTTACTTCATCAAAGAACTTGTCTATGATAAAAGAAAGGTCCTTACTTTTTAAAGTTATTCCTATTAAATCCTATGAAAAATGTGATTTAAAAAATATACTTTTAAGTGGCTAGAAAACATTCTTCACTAGTTTCAGCATAAAAAAAAGATAATTGGGAGGAGCCAATTTCAATGTGAGGAGTTTTTTGAACTTACAAAGATACCACATTTTATTCAAACCTTATAGAAGATAATAGCCAGGTAGGTGATCTTATTTGGTTTGCATTTATAATAAAAAATACTTTGCCACATCTTTGTCTCAATATGTATAACCATTTTTTATATGTAGTATAATGTCTTGCTTAAGAAAAAAATATGTTCAAATATTTCTTCTTTGTACTTTTGAATCCATATGTTCTATTTTGAGCTACTACACAAGAGATCCTAGGGCATGTTGTTGTTAATTTGTATATGAGATTTTGTATCCTAAGAGCTAATTGAGGCTATATTGGAATTATTAAATTAATTCATGATACCAAAATGTATGTTATGTGAGATGGTGTAGTTGTTTTGTAGGTTGTAATGGATCCAAAGGGCATTGAAGTGATGTCATGTAGAAAAAATCCTTAAGAAATTGTATAAGGCATGTTTGTACATCTTTATAAGTCCAAAGCTGCACAAATTATATATACCATTCTCAGAGGCTTCAACTCTCTATTTCTCAATAGATAAATTTCTAGTAAGATGCAACCATTGTATAGCTGCAATCTTGCAAAAAAAAGTACAAGTTTTTGAATCCTTTAAATTAGAAGCCTTTTTTATTTTGAAAATATCTATGTCTCTTGAGATTGTGTAGTCTTTACATAGTAATGTTGGTTTTGGATAGGCTAACTCAATAGCCTTATTTTATTATATACTAGAAGTAATTACATGTTTTAAGACTGCCGAGCTTAGTCCATTGTCAATTTCAAGGATAATATGCCAAGTGATTGATAAAAACCGTATTATAGAGCCATAACCTATCTTTTATAATATAGGCCTTGGAATCAAAAGAGACAACTTTATCTTTTATATCAAATGTAAAATGAATTTAAACATGATGAAGGATTCTTTGAAGGAGCACTTGTAAGCTTGCATCATTTGACATTATTTCCTTGGAGTGTAGTACCTAGAATACATAGCATAGTCAATCTAGGCATACTTATTGTTCAACAAGGTATACAATGCAAATGCTTGATGTAGTTGAGATGATCTAATTATAAGATTTGAATAAGTTTGTACAAGATGGCATCTAAAAAATAGCTTAAAGAAGTGTTGGCTACTACAAGGTAATTACGTGTGAGCCAATGGCTATTTTGATAAAAAGCTTTAATAAGCCATTGTCTAGAAAGTTGATAAAATACATGCTTAATTTGGAACTCTTATGTATTTATGGAAGTAGAGTAAGTAGAATCAAATATAGCTCTTGATGCCTAACATATTAATTGATTGCCAAAAAATAATTGTTTGAGTATATCTATAGCATGAATTGAAGAGATATGTTTTAGATCCGATTTTATTGAAAGCCATATCTAGAAGGTTGTTCTTTGTAGAGAGGAAGATCTACAAAGAAGGAAGAAAGAAAGAAGGGAAGAAAGATGGAAGGAAAGAGAGGAAAACAGAGGGGTACATCATGTTGAGATCCAATAAAGGTGATGTGGCTATCTTCCCACCTTGGTGGATCTAATATGACCAAAATTGTGTTTGGTAAAGACTATTTATGGTTTGTAGCCTAGTTTGAGACTTTTGATTACAAATTT